GCTAGTCTAGCTGGAGCTGTGCCTTGCCTGCTCACGGGCGAGTGTTCTCCACGATAGTTGGTCAAGTCTACGCGCTCTTCCTTTACTCGACGTCGATGAGAACGGGAAACGATTCTTTACTTGCTCAAAAAGAAGGCCAGCCGAATCGAGAGAGCTGTGCGCTCGCAGGACCTCATCACTCGTCAGAAGTGCTTCAACGAAGCGCATCAGCCGCTGAAGCTCTGCACGCCGGATCTTTTGTAGTCTTGAAGCCATATCGTGCTTTGATAGCTGCTTTAGTGGCGGTTGCCCAGCACACCATTGCTGCCACACAACGCGAACGGTTCTTGGGGGTAGCACAAACTCTCTTGGCACTCGATGAAAGCCCCCACCCCATGTGTTAAGCTCGGTGTGCATCGTTGCAGTAGCATTCACCGAGGACTTTCTGTCTGAGTGTGAAGGTACACTATCACCGAGCGAACATTTCCAAAGTCGACTTTCCGGTGACACCACGCTGCTCCATCGAGGTCAAGTAGCGCATACACTCCATAGTACTTAATACACTTAGATTGGCAGGGCTTCGTAAAGGGACGATAGAGAACCACTGCGCGATACTCTACCCATTAATTGCACCCAGCTCACGAAACGTACTAGTAAACAGGACTTGCCGTCGATCCGCCTCCGTATTCTCGTAGAGCCACTCTATGAAGCGAGATAAAGTTCGTAGATAGACGTACTTGGTATTGTCAGAGGTGATACTTCCCAGCACTTGCTCAACGCGAGCATCGAGAGCTTCCATCGTTACTTACCGAGTTTAAGTAAGCGCGCAAGAGTGCAAGAGTCTGGCTCTTGCCGATAGAAACTGTATCGAAATAGCATAGAAATATTTCTATTTTTTGTTTCGTTCACTTTGCACGACGAATTCCATTTATCTATACTTCTACGGAAATCGCCGTGCGAATCTGCCACTTCGTATAGAATTCGGGGTGCAAATTGACCGGCGAATTCCACGAATGCAAAAATGCCAGCTATACAAAAATCAAATGAAAATGTCCATAATGCAAGATGTAGTGGAATTCATCGTGCAGTTTGCACGAAGCATATTGTGCCGCACATTTGGTACACAGTGTGAAAGTAGAAACACTACTACTTCGAAGTAAATGTGTATTGTGTAAGCTTACCGCTACTTACCTACGTAATGGTAGCTAGTCTAGCTGGAGCTGTGCCTTGCCTGCTCACGGGCGAGTGTTCTCCACGATAGTTGGTCAAGTCTACGCGCTCTTCCTTTACTCGACGTCGATGAGAACGGGAAACGATTCTTTACTTGCTCAAAAAGAAGGCCAGCCGAATCGAGAGAGCTGTGCGCTCGCAGGACCTCATCACTCGTCAGAAGTGCTTCAACGAAGCGCATCAGCCGCTGAAGCTCTGCAAGCCGGATCTTTTGTAGTCTTGAAGCCATATCGTGCTTTGATAGCTGCTTTAGTGGCGGTTGCCCAGCACACCATTGCTGCCACACAACGCGAACGGTTCTTGGGGGTAGCACAAACTCTCTTGGCACTCGATGAAAGCCCCCACCCCATGTGTTAAGCTCGGTGTGCATCGTTGCAGTAGCATTCACCGAGGACTTTCTGTCTGAGTGTGAAGGTACACTATCGCCGAGCGAACATTTCCAAAAGTCGACTTTCCGGTGACACCACGCTGCTCCATCGAGGTCAAGTAGCGCATACACTCCATAGTACTTAATACACTTAGATTGGCAGGGCTTCGTAAAGGGACGATAGAGAACCACTGCGCGATACTCTACCCATTAATTGCACCCAGCTCACGAAACGTACTAGTAAACAGGACTTGCCGTCGATCCGCCTCCGTATTCTCGTAGAGCCACTCTATGAAGCGAGATAAAGTTCGTAGATAGACGTACTTGGTATTGTCAGAGGTGATACTTCCCAGCACTTGCTCAACGCGAGCATCGAGAGCTTCCAACCGTGCGAATCTGCCACTTCGTATAGAATTCGGGGTGCAAATTGACCGGCGAATTCCACGAATGCAAAAATGCCAGCTATACAAAAATCAAATGAAAATGTCCATAATGCAAGATGTAGTGGAATTCATCGTGCAGTTTGCACGAAGCATATTGTGCCGCACATTTGGTACACAGTGTGAAAGTAGAATCACTACTACTTCGAAGTAAATGTGTATTGTGTAAGCTTACCGCTACTTACCTACGTAATGGTAGCTAGTCTAGCTGGAGCTGTGCCTTGCCTGCTCACGGGCGAGTGTTCTCCACGATAGTTGGTCAAGTCTACGCGCTCTTCCTTTACTCGACGTCGATGAGAACGGTAAACGATTCTTTACTTGCTCAAAAAGAAGGCCAGCCGAATCGAGAGAGCTGTGCGCTCGCAGGACCTCATCACTCGTCAGAAGTGCTTCAACGAAGCGCATCAGCCGTTGAAGCTCTGCAAGCCGGATCTTTTGTAGTCTTGAAGCCATATCGTGCTTTGATAGCTGCTTTAGTGGCGGTTGCCCAGCACACCATTGCTGCCACACAACGCGAACGGTTCTTGGGGGTAGCACAAACTCTCTTGGCACTCGATGAAAGCCCCCACCCCATGTGTTAAGCTCGGTGTAGTAGCATTCACCGAGGACTTTCTGTCTGAGTGTGAAGGTACACTATCGCCGAGCGAACATTTCCAAAAGTCGACTTTCCGGTGACACCACGCTGCTCCATCGAGGTCAAGTAGCGCATACACTCCATAGTACTTAATACACTTAGATTGGCAGGGCTTCGTAAAGGGACGATAGAGAACCACTGCGCGATACTCTACCCATTAATTGCACCCAGCTCACGAAACGTACTAGTAAACAGGACTTGCCGTCGATCCGCCTCCGTATTCTCGTAGAGCCACTCTATGAAGCGAGATAAAGTTCGTAGATAGACGTACTTGGTATTGTCAGAGGTGATACTTCCCAGCACTTGCTCAACGCGAGCATCGAGAGCTTCCAACCGTGCGAATCTGCCACTTCGTATAGAATTCGGGGTGCAAATTGACCGGCGAATTCCACGAATGCAAAAATGCCAGCTATACAAAAATCAAATGAAAATGTCCATAATGCAAGATGTAGTGGAATTCATCGTGCAGTTTGCACGAAGCATATTGTGCCGCACATTTGGTACACAGTGTGAAAGTAGAAACACTACTACTTCGAAGTAAATGTGTATTGTGTAAGCTTACCGCTACTTACCTACGTAATGGTAGCTAGTCTAGCTGGAGCTGTGCCTTGCCTGCTCACGGGCGAGTGTTCTCCACGATAGTTGGTCAAGTCTACGCGCTCTTCCTTTACTCGACGTCGATGAGAACGGGAAACGATTCTTTACTTGCTCAAAAAGAAGGCCAGCCGAATCGAGAGAGCTGTGCGCTCGCAGGACCTCATCACTCGTCAGAAGTGCTTCAACGAAGCGCATCAGCCGCTGAAGCTCTGCAAGCCGGATCTTTTGTAGTCTTGAAGCCATATCGTGCTTTGATAGCTGCTTTAGTGGCGGTTGCCCAGCACACCATTGCTGCCACACAACGCGAACGGTTCTTGGGGGTAGCACAAACTCTCTTGGCACTCGATGAAAGCCCCCACCCCATGTGTTAAGCTCGGTGTGCATCGTTGCAGTAGCATTCACCGAGGACTTTCTGTCTGAGTGTGAAGGTACACTATCGCCGAGCGAACATTTCCAAAAGTCGACTTTCCGGTGACACCACGCTGCTCCATCGAGGTCAAGTAGCGCATACACTCCATAGTACTTAATACACTTAGATTGGCAGGGCTTCGTAAAGGGACGATAGAGAACCACTGCGCGATACTCTACCCATTAATTGCACCCAGCTCACGAAACGTACTAGTAAACAGGACTTGCCGTCGATCCGCCTCCGTATTCTCGTAGAGCCACTCTATGAAGCGAGATAAAGTTCGTAGATAGACGTACTTGGTATTGTCAGAGGTGATACTTCCCAGCACTTGCTCAACGCGAGCATCGAGAGCTTCCATCGTTACTTACCGAGTTTAAGTAAGCGCGCAAGAGTGCAAGAGTCTGGCTCTTGCCGATAGAAACTGTATCGAAATAGCATAGAAATATTTCTATTTTTGTTTCGTTCACTTTGCACGACGAATTCCATTTATCTATACGTTTTCTCAGTATACATTCTTTACGTGCACTATGGCTTTGGTTACAACGCTTTGCAGCAGTTCATGGTAAGTGGGGCCATGCGGGGCGTCAGCGACGATTCCTCGCTGAAAACCCATTTTGAGAGGCATTCCTCGATTCTCGTACTTTTTAGGATGTTCCTCGATGAACATCCATGGTTCCCGCCGCAACAAATCAAGCGAAGAGAGAAATTGTATTTGGGATGCTAAGTTGGAACAAAGAGTTTGCAGTAACTGCAAGCTTGTGATAAATAAGTTAGCTACAGTACTTTACAATCAGCGCAGCGTACATATATATTTTACGAAAAACTAAAATATTATGATGTCGAGACAACTAGGGCTATGCAGTAGATACCAAGCAAAAGATAAAACTGCAGGCATGGTGGCAGGATATCGGGACAACAAATATTCCTATAACCTCACTGTATTGAAACTCACGTGCAACCTGAGGGGATGCGATTCTGCTAATACCAATGAGAAGAAGGAGTAGGAACAGACAATACCGCGCCTACCGTTATTAGTTGAGTTCTGATTGCGTGAAGACGAAACAAAACAAGAGTATGAAAATCCTGGAGGGGTACCAGGTAAAGAAAGCCCTTGTGCACCTACCATATGAAAATGTAGCCATTAGAAGGGTAGCCATTTCTTTATCTGCTCAATTCTTTAACTGAAACAGCGTCTTAGACCGAGCGAACTGGGTGTCATTTATAGAGGTGTGACTGTATTCAGAACCGAATCCACCCATTTCTAAACAAATAGAAACGATGTCAGGCATTCGAGCCACTAGAAATTCCGCTGCGTCAAAGGCTCTTCCCGACCCAGTGGTTCCCATGGCGTCTGCGCGCGTGACGATCGGCGCCGACCGCCTCTCGGTGGCGGACGTGTGCTCCGTGGCTGCCCTGAAGGCTTCTGTCGCTCTGGATGCGTCGGCCGAAGCCGCCGCCACCTCCGCGGCGTCCTTCACGCTGCAGCTGTCCTCCTCCTCGTCTGCTGCCTCGCTGCCCGTGCGCCGCGCCGTGCTTGTGCTGCTGCTGCAGCGCCTGCTGCGTCTCCAGTCGCTCGAGAACGCCGAGTTCGTGGCCTCGCTGCTCAACCAGGAGGACAAGACGCCCGCCCAGGTGTCCTCCATCGACCTTCCCGTGGCCCTCGCGCCGGCCGAGCAGGCGGCCATCGCCGGCACGCTGCTCGTGCTCCTGGCCGAGACGACCCTGGCTGTGGGCGGTGCCCGCGCGCTGCTGCCCGTGGCCGACGCTGTGGCCGCCGTCACGTGCGAGGCCCTGCGCGCCGATGCTGCCGCCTTCGAGGCCGAGTTCGTGGACGCCGCGCGCCCGCACCGCGGTATCGTCACGTCGGCGCAGAACCTGCGGCTCATGCTGGACGGATCCAAGTTCATCAACAGCCAGAAGGAAGGCGCCACCGACGTAGCCGCCGTGCGCTGCATCCCGCAGTACCACGGCCCTGCGCGCGACGCCGTGCTGGTCGCCTACAAGGCCGTGGAGGCCGAGATCAACGGCGCCCTGGGCGACAGCGCCGCTGCCAAGCGCGCCGGCGCAGGCATCCACCCGCAGGCGCTGAAGACGGCGCTGTCGGCTACGAAGGAGGCGCTCCTCGTGCTGCTGCAGGGCAGTGTCGACCGTCTCCAGGTGCTGGACAGCACGGCCACGGACGCACCGCAGACCGCCGACGCTGTGGAGCTTGTGGACGCCACGGCGGCTGCTCTGGCGCGCGAGCTCGTTCCCGCGTTCAAGTTCTTCGAGGAGGAGGAGGCCCAGCTGAAGCTCCGTCAGGCGGAGAAGAACGCCAAGGCGCAGGAGGCGGCGGCCAAGGCTGCGGCGGCTGCTGCCAAGGAGGACGAGAAGCTCGCGGCCATGCCGGAGGCGCAGCGCAACAAGATCCTGGACAAGCGTCGCAAGAAACTGGAGAAGCAGAAGGAGAAGGAGAGCGCCAAGAAGAGCAGCAAGGACGAGATCAAGGTCGGACTGGGAAGTCAAGCCGTGCGTCAGCACCTGCTGGCCCTCGGCGACGCGTGGCAGACCAGCGTGGAGAAATCGGCGTTCGACCTGCGCGCTTCGAGCTTCTCGCTGTTCCTGGAGGAGCTGTTTGTGCGTCTCGGCAGCGGTGGTGCTCGCCGCAAGCCCAAGATCGCCAAGGGCTCGCAGGACTTCCTGCCGCACCAGATGGCTCTGCGTGAGAAGATCTTCAACAAGATCCGCATGGTCTTCAAGCGCCACGCGGGTGTTGAGATCGAGACCCCCGTCTTCGAGCTGAAGGAGACTCTTACCGGCAAGTACGGTGAGGACAGCAAGCTCATTTACGACTTGGCCGACCAAGGTGGTGAACTGCTGGCGCTCCGTTACGACCTGACGGTGCCGTTCGCTCGCTTCATGGCCCTCCACAGCCCTGGCAACATCAAGCGCTACCACATCGCGCGCGTGTACCGCCGCGACAACCCGCAGATGGCGCGCGGTCGCTTCCGCGAGTTCTACCAGTGCGACTTCGATATCGCCGGTACCTACGCGCCTATGCTCCCGGATGCCGAGGTACTGTCCATCGGCATTGAAGTGCTGCAGCAGTTCCCGGAGCTTGGGCCTGTGAAGGTGAAGCTCAGCCACCGCCTCCTGCTGGATGCCATCCTAGCTATCTGCGGTGTGCCCGCAGACAAGTTCCGCACTACGTGCAGCGCTATCGACAAGCTGGACAAGGAGCCGTGGAGTGAGGTGCGCCGCGAGATGGTGGAGGAGAAGGACATCCCCGAGGCTGTGGCCGACCGCATCGAGCCTTTCGTGTGCAAGGTGGGCTCGCCGCGTGAGCTTCACGCGCAGCTCCTGAAGGAGAACATGTTCGGTGACAATGTCAACGCGCGCCGCGCCATGGACGACTTGGCGCTGCTCTTCAACTACCTCGAGGCCATGGGTGTGTTGGACTACATTTCGTTCGATCTGAGTCTCGCCCGAGGACTGGACTACTACACGGGTCTGATCTACGAGTTCGTGCTCACGAGCCCGGAGCACCACGTCGGCTCCATTGCTGCTGGCGGCCGCTACGACAACCTGGTGGGCATGTTCTCCGCCACGGACCAGCAGATCCCGTGCGTTGGTGTCAGTCTCGGTATCGAGCGTATCTTCGGTATCCTCCAGGCCCACGCTGAGAAGCAGTCGGCCAACGCGGCTCCCCCATCGCAGGTCCTGGTTGCCTCCACGAGCAACGACCTGATGCTGCCGCGCCTGGAGCTGTGCAAGCAGCTGTGGCTGGCCAACATCTCGGCCGAAGTGATGCAGACGGAGAACCCCAAGTTCATCAAGCAGCTGCACTACGCTCTGGAGCGTGGCACGCCCTACATGGTGGTGATTGGCGAGGACGAGCTGGCCAAGGGCGTCGTCAAGGTGAAGGAGATGGCGTCCAAGGACGAGGTGACGGTGCCGCGCTCTGAACTGGTGGCCGAGCTGCTGCGTCGCGGTTGCCCCACGACCAGCACCCTGAGCATTTAAGCCCGTAGCGATGTGGGAGACAGCAGGATAGAGCGTCGCTATAAAGCTTCGCTGCAAATGTAGTCGATCATCGAACCGAACGCCAGTGGCGACGAGTATCAATCATTCATATTCACTTTAGTTGTCGTTGACTTAGTTGACAGCGGCGGAGAACGAGGATACGGTCATCTTGGCGTTCGAGCCCGTGAAGGGCTCCGTGCCGGCTTCGAGCGTGGTCAGGTACTGAGTGGAAGGCCTGGTGGTTGATAGACGGTGGTGCTGCCGTTCGGGCCCTTGTACAGCTTGAAGCTGTTGCTGCCGATGGTGACGGTGGCGATGGCCTTGCCCGTGCTGGAGATCGGGCCGGCGCCGCCGTACGCGGCCAGCCAGATCATGATCTCGTACTCGTTGCTGCCGCTGGCGGTGGAGCTCGTGAACAGGTCGTACGACACGTCAGCGACGAACGTGCCCGAGGAGTGCGAGTACGAGTACTTCATCTTGGTGGGGATCGACTTGATGTTCTTGATCTGCTTCTTGGAGAAGACCAGCGCGGCGTTCGAGTACGACTTGACCTCCGTGGCCGCGCCTCCCGTCCAGGTGTACGACGTGTGCCAGGCGATGGTGGAGCCGCTGATCTTGTCGACGCCCGTGCATTGGCTGCCCGATGCGGCGGCGTTCTTGTTCCAGAGGTTGTTGTAGATCACGTACTTGCCGGCCTTGGACAGACGCCACTGACTGCAGAAGTCGGCGGTGGACACGGACAGCAAGGCGGCGACGACGACAACGAGTTGGAGAAAGCTCTTCATGGCATTGGTGTTCGGGGAGGGGCGGCGAAGCTTGCTGGGCTCAAGGAAGATTGTTGAATGAGGAGCTCGTTGGTGAAGATCGAGCGAGCACTGCAGCACAGTGGCGATCGCGAGGTCACTGCGCACCTTGGACCAGATCGCTGGACCGCGGTCGTGAGCGCGGTGGCCGGCATTCCTCTGTTCGGGTGTCCTTGACACGGTGCACACCTGACACCCTGGTCCTTCACGGTGACATACGTCTACAGCCAGCTGGTTTCGCGCGTCAAGTGTGTCAAGGGCAGACGCGCATTCGCTCCATTCTGATGGATCCCTCGCCGCCGTAATGGCGCTCTATGGAGACCACACCCAGGCTGGCTGGAAGCGCGTATGCTGGCGCGTACCGTATGCAGCTCGTGATCTCGTTGCGTCGATGTTGCCTCTCCAGCGCCAGCACCTGGATTGTCGACTGATTTCACCTCGAGTCGAGAAAGAGGTCACGCCGTGATCACTGCGCGGCTTGCCGCTACACTACTGGCCAAAGTAGCGTCGTTTGAACCACAGAAGTTGCTCCGGGTGCTTGGTGGTACACATGAAGTTGTAATTCACAGATTTCTTGAGAACTTGGCACGACTAACTTGAGTGATGGAGGCCCGAAGCTGACTTTGTGCCAAGGTCTGCTTCAGGCAGCTCTGCGGCGTACCAGCTCAGGCCCATTCTCAACCCGGTTGAGTCAACCGGCCGCACCGCATCGCACAGTTTTGTACCATGCGGCCGCATCGGTTGAGAGTCTCAACTTGAGACTGAAAATGCGGCCGCACTTGCGCCCTACCCGCCTTTGTTACCGGATGGCATCGGCCACTTCAAACTCAGAACAATACATGTACCAAGAGCAGCAACGCGAAGTATGCAAGAAGGCTCGTATTTCTCGACGCTAGCTCATAAAATAACTACAACAATAATTTGTGCACCATTCCTCGCGCCTGTGGTGGAATGCTAGTAGGTAGGTAACAGGCGTTAGTGATACTGTACATCTAGCAACAGTGCCAGACGAACTCACAAAATCAGTATAAAAACAAATTGAAAGGCAGTAAGCATCTCGTTAGGGACCACCGATCCGAAAACGCTACGCTTCTCTCCATCCGCAGGGAAATGACTAGTCTGGTGGGTTAATTGATCAAGTATGTGGCAACCAACTCATTGAGTAGCCCAAGCACGTCACTGCAACGCGTTTCCTCGTAACTTTGGTATTGCTGTCAATTTGCAAGCCTAATTCTCCTGCAGCACCTTCCTTTTAGCTAGCCGCGTCAGCCTTTCGCCGGAGGTTTTACAATATGTGGTAAATCGACGATATTTTTTTAATATGTACTCACGTTTCATTTCAATGACCTCCGTTGACTTAGCTTTAATAGCTTAAAGTTACACGGATCACACACACTAGTGTATGCGTCCTATGCCTAAGCAAACCCTCGACGATCTTGCTCGAGCCTGAGGGACACGTTGGAGCGCTTAATAACCGAACATCATCACGTGTAACTGTGGTTACCATCACTCAATGAGTAAGGATGTTGATTGTGCTACATGTTGTGAGCCATCACGTGACCCCTGCTTGCACGTGTTGGGCACATCCTATTGTTGCAGTGGCAGTAATGTTTGTAACTCGCTCCATCCTTGACGTCTTGACGCCAGGATGTTCAAGTTCCTTAGCCTCCATACACTTGAATCTCTCGCACGCCAAGATACTTCGTAGGCGAAGGTATTGTAGAAAGGTGCTTTAGCACAGTTTGCTCGTGCACTTGAGATCTTCGTGCAAGATGAGCCGGGAGCTTTGTGCTCGCAAAAGTTTTGCCCGCTGTCGTCGGATGATCGCGGCCAGTGCTGCCTCCACCGAGTAGAGGCTGCTCTTCTTCCCGGTTGCCCGCACGACGCGACATTGGCAAGCCAAAGCACGGCCTGGGGTCGCTGCGCAGGAAGCGAAGAAGCCGCCCCCTGTCCAAGCGACGTCTCTATCAAAATCGGCGTGATCCCATCTCTTCACCGCCTTGGAGCTCCGAATCGAGATGGGTGACGTGATGCAGCGAAATGGGCTCGCTCTGCTCGCCACAGCTGGACGACACGACCTCGCTATGGATGTTGCAGTCCGCCATGTGCGTGTCAACACGCTGCTCTCTGCGTGAGGCGCGTCCTGCTGCGATCGACGATACTGCAAAGGCAACTCGAACGGCTGGAGCGTGGGATGTCGGTCCGTGTGTTCACCGCGATGGGGAGCCTCGCTTTCGCTTTCGCGGGCCGACCGACTGGAGAGCGGGAGGTAGAGGCCATTCCTCACTTTGCATTTTGCTTCGACCCACTCAACCACACTCCACTCCAACCACTTCCTCCACACTCTCGACCATGAAGGGATTCTTCGCCGGTGTCGTCGCTGCTGCCACCCTCGCGGTCGCCTCCGCTGGAGACTACTGCGGCCAGTGGGACTGGGCCAAGAGCACTAACTACATCGTGTACAACAACCTCTGGAACAAGAACGCCGCCGCATCGGGCAGCCAATGCACGGGCGTCGACAAGATCAGCGGCTCCACCATCGCCTGGCACACGTCGTACACCTGGACGGGAGGCGCGGCCACGGAGGTCAAGTCGTACTCGAACGCCGCGCTGGTCTTCTCCAAGAAGCAGATCAAGAACATCAAGTCGATCCCCACCAAGATGAAGTACTCGTACTCGCACTCCTCGGGCACGTTCGTCGCTGACGTGTCGTACGACCTGTTCACGAGCTCCACCGCCAGCGGCAGCAACGAGTACGAGATCATGATCTGGCTGGCCGCGTACGGCGGCGCCGGCCCGATCTCCAGCACGGGCAAGGCCATCGCCACCGTCACCATCGGCAGCAACAGCTTCAAGCTGTACAAGGGCCCGAACGGCAGCACCACCGTCTTCTCGTTCGTCGCCACCAAGACCATCACCAACTTCTCGGCCGACCTGCAGAAGTTCCTGAGCTACCTCACCAAGAACCAGGGCCTGCCTTCCAGCCAGTACCTCATCACGCTCGAGGCCGGCACGGAGCCGTTCGTGGGCACGAACGCCAAGATGACCGTATCCTCGTTCTCGGCTGCGGTCAACTGAACAGACAGCACCGCGGTAGCAGCAATACGTATTGAGTCTTGTACTCATTATTAGCGTAAGTAAACGTCTCAATGTCAAATGCGCAGTAGTTGCCTTTTTTCAAGAGTGTTGGCCAGAAAGTTTCTTTTTCAGGAGTGATGGTCATAACTGCAACCGCCATCGCCTCCTCTATTATCTTCCCATTCCCATCGACAACCACATGAAGCGTGGACGCGAAGCGAACGCCTCCTTGCATTCATCGGTAGCACGCAGCTCCAGGGCTAAGCAGGTGCAATCGCGTGCAGCGGCATTAGTGAATAGCGAGCGAGGTTTCCGAGCGGTCTGCCCAGAAGTTGAACCGGTTCAAGACCACCACCACGACACCAGTGGCAGGGCATCGTACCCTGATGAACTGATGGCTGCGTTCAAGCGCAAAACGCAGGAGCTTTGTGACGAGACGCGGGAGCGGTGCGAGCAGAGACTCGAGCGCCAGGAAGCCCAGCACGAGCGGCAGGTGCAAAGTCTGCAGCGCCAACTGCGAGACGTGGTGGGCTCCTGCGTGTCGCTAGCGGAGCACGAGCAGATTCTGGCCACGACAGCGCAGGAGCAGCAGCGCCAGCTCGAGGAGATCCGAAGACGGCACCACTCTGAGATGCGCGAGTTCGAGCAGCGGTGCGACGAGAAGTGGCAGGCCAAGATGGCCGCAATCAAGACGCAGAGCGAGCAGGAGAAGTCTCAACTTACGCAACGCATCGAGCAGCTCAAGCTGCAGCAGAGCGAGGCAGCGGCTGAGGCGAAGGAGCGCGACCTGGCTGAGTTGCGGTGGAGCGAGAAGCTCGAGGCGGCAGCGCGTGAGAAGGCAGAAGTGGAGAAGCGGGTCGACGACGCGAAGAATCGACTTGAGGAGGCTTGCCGGATCATAGTCGCGTTGAAGACCCGCCTGCGCCACCACAAGAGGCTGGCCCGTGACTTGGAGTCGCAGCGGGACAAGAACTCTGCTACGCGCGACGAGGTGATGCAGTGCAAGCTGGCGTATGCAGAGCTGAAGGGCGACACGGATTCTCGAGTGGCGAGTCTGGAGAGGGAGCTAGACCACGCTCTGCGCGCCGTCGTTGACGAGAAGGCCAACGCGCGCGCTCTACAGGTACGAACCGCAGCAGACAGATCTGCGGCATCACAGCAGGGACTAACGCTCTTGAGCTGTCTTCCCACAGAGCGAAGTCGCCGGTCTACGTGACCAGCTGCAGCGGCAGCAATGCGCTGCGGCGGAGCTGGCCGCCAAGGGGACACTCAGCGTGGAGCACCATGCGTCCGAGCGCAAGCAGCTTCAGAAGGAGGTGGAGGCGCTGCAAAGGGCTCTGCAGCAGGAGAAGCAGTCAGTCAAAGAGGCCGCGACACGGACGCACGAGATGCAGCAGCGCGCCGCCGAAACACAGCTTCAACACCAGACCTTGGTCCAGGACCTGCGCACGCGGCTGGAGCTGCAGCAGGCGACGGAGGCCTCGCTCAAGCGGCAGGGCCAGCGGCTGAGGCAGCGCGTGGAGCAGAGCAAGGCCGTGGTCGAGAAGCTGCACGCCGAGAACAAGCAGCTCGGCGAGGAGGTCCACAACCGCGACGCGTCCACGGAGGCCTGGGCCCGGAAGCTCTTCGGAGGCAAGTGAAGTGAAGCTGCTGGTGGCTTGTCTTGTGCACAGCAAGGGAAGCCGAGACGCAGCAGGTGATTGGGGGCACAGGCCGCGAAACGGCAGCCACCTCAAACGCACTCACGCGCTCTCGCCATTCGAGAACCTTCTCGAGCGCGTGCTGGCGTCGGAAAAACCTGCGGCCGGCGACGAGCAACGCCAATGCGCGTCTCGGCCATCATCATGCGGCTGCAGCTTACAGCGCGGAGGCGGCCTGGTTGCCAGCACGCCTCCACTGCGGCGAGCCCCCGCAGCAGATCGTCCCCGCAACAACGAATGGCTACGGCACGTGGCCGGCTGAGTTTTTGCTTTGGCGGGATATCGGATACCAGAGGTGTATTCGAGTCATTGTGAGAAAATCCGGTAGATGATATCAAAGGATATGTGGTGTGGAAGGCATTGACCCCCGCTTAGGTGCGTTCTGGAATTGCCTGGTCGCTGCCGACCTTAACCCCCCCCTAATCCGAGCCCCACTCTTCGATTCGGCGGCTCCGTGGCAGAAGCAAGCTCAGCTCTCGACCCCCTCTTTCTCTGCAATCATGTCGGTCATCGGCGTGGACTTTGGCAACGTGGACTGCGTCATCGGCCAGGCCAAGCGCGGCGGCATCGACATTATCCTCAATGAGAACTCCAACAGAAAGAACCCGTACGTCACTCACTCACTCACTCACTCACTCACTCACTCACTCGCTCGCGCCTGTTTGGCCCTGAGCATTGTCAACGCCTTCTGATGGCCCGGCCACTAACTCCTTCTGCCCGTTTCCTGGGTATTACAGCAACATGGTGTGCGTGCAGGGCAAGCAGCGCTTCATCGGCGAGGCGGCCATCAGCATGGCGCGCATGCACTACAAGAACACGGCCACAGACATCAAGCGTCTGATCGGCCGCAAGTTCAAGCACCCGGAGGTGCAGCAGGAGATCGCTCAGCTCGCGTACAAGTGCGTGGAGCTGGCCAGCGGCGACGTGGGCATCGTGCTCAACTACAACGACGAGCCCGTAACCTTCTCGTGCGAGCAGGTGGTGGCCATGATCCTCAACAAGATGCAGAACATCGCGGCCGCCGCCAACGAGGGCGTCAACCCCGCCTACTGCGTGCTCTCGTGCCCCGGATTCTACACGGACGTGCAGCGCCGCGCCCTGCTCAACGCCACCAAGATCGCCGGCCTCAACTGCCTGCGCCTCATCAACGAGCACACGGCCATCGCCCTCGCCTACGGCATCTACAAGTCGGCCCGCAACCTCTTCCACGAGTCGGAGCCGCAGCACGTCATGTTCATTGACCTGGGCCACGCCAGCTACACGGTCTCCATTGTGGCCTTCGTGCAGGGCCGCCTCACGGTCAAGTCGGCCGCCTTCGACCGCTTCCTCGGTGGCCGTGACTTCGACATGGTCATCGCCAAGGACGCCGCGGCCAAGTTCGCCGCCAAGTACAAGACCAACCCGCTTGAGAACCCCAAGTCGCGCATCAAGCTGCTGTCGGCCTGTGAGAAGGCCAAGAAGAACCTCAGCCCCTACGGTGTCACGGCGACGCACCTCAACATCGAGTGCCTGGCTGACGACCGCGACTACAACTCGCAGGTGACGCTCGAGGAGTTCGAGGAGCTCATTGCCCCGCTCCTCACGCGTCTGGACGGCCCCATCGAGCGCGCGCTCGCGGACGCCGGTGTGGAGAAGTCGCAGCTGGCCAACGTCGAGATTGTCGGCGGAGGCACCCGTGTGACCAGCGTGAAGCGCCACCTCGCCGAGGTGCTCGGCCTGGACAAGGAGCAGCAGAACTATGGCCTGAGCACGACGCTGAACGCCGACGAGTCGGTCGCCCGTGGTTGCGCCCTGAACTGCGCCATCCTGTCCCCCATGTTCAAGGTGAAGGAGTTCAGCGTCACGGACCGCGTGCACCTGCCCGTGCGTGTGTCGTGGGACGGCAGCGCGTCGACGGCTACGGACGCCGCTGACGACGACGAGGACGTCAACATGGAGACCCCCGCCTCGGAGGACAGCTCCCTGGTGATCCTCAGTCGCAAGGACGAGTACCCCAAGACCAAGCGCATCACCTTCCGCCGCGACAAGCCCTTCTCGATCGACGCTGTGTACGACGAGTCGGCCAAGGCTTACCTGCCGCCTGACTACGTGATGGACATTGGCAAGTTCACGGTCTCGGGCATGCCCGCCCAGGAGGCCGGTGCCGAGATCCCCAAGATCCGCGTGAACGTGCAGCAGGACATGAACGGCCTGTTCTCGATCGCGTCGTCGCAGCTGATGCAGGAGATCAAGGAGGAGGAGAAGCCCGCCGAGGCTGAGGGCGAGGAGAAGAAGGAGGGCGAGGAGAAGAAGGAGGACAAGCCCGCCGAGCCCAAGAAGAAGCGCTTCCGCAAGATCGAGCTGACCGTGCAGGCGCAGGTTGGTGGTCTGTCGGCCGCCGACCTGACCACGGCCACGGAGCAGGAGCTGAAGATGGCCCAGCAGGACCGCGTCATCGAGGAGACGTTCAACAAGCGTAACGAGCTGGAGAGCTTCGTGTACGAGATGCGCAACCAGATCACGGACAAGCTGGCTGGTTTCATCACGAGCGAGGAGAAGGGCAACCTCGAGGCTAAGCTGATGGAGACGGAGGACTGGCTGTACACGGACGAGGGCTTCGACAGCACCAAGTCGGTGTACCAGCAGAAGCTGGACGACCTGCGCAAGCTGTCTTCGCCCGTGGAGTTCCGTCTGACGGAGAGCACGGAGCGCGGTGTGGCTCAGGCTGAGCTGACGGCCGTGCTGGAGGAGTACAAGCGCGTGGTGAACTCGGGCGACGACGCGTACTCGCACTGGACCGAGGAGGAGAAGACCAAGCTGCGCCAGACGTGCGTGGACGCCGAGACGTGGCTGTTCGACGGTCTGACCAAGCAGGCCGACGTTGGCCCGACGGACGCCCCCGTGATCACGTCGGCTGCCATCCGCAGCAAGATCGTGGCCGTGCGCGCCGTGGCTCTGCCGATCACGACCAAGCCCAAGCCGCTGCCGAAGGTGGAGACGCCCGCTGCCCCCGAGCCGACCGAGGCCGAGTCCGCCCCTGCCGACGAGAAGGACGAGGCTGAGAAGATGGACCTGGACTAAGTGCGTCCGACCACGGAGACGAGGGCATTTTGCATATGACGGTGCTGCTTGTGCCCCCATGCGCTCGAAGTAGACGCGCACGCAGGCAAGCAGGTAGGCAGGCAGGCAGCACGCGTGCTTAGGTAATGATCCCGGTAGAACCATCCATCCATACAGAAACAATCTTTTTCGTTTGACACCTCAACTGTCGCTAACACCAGGGAAGCTGGACCAATCTCAATGTCGAAAGCGTTATCGCACGCGGTCCTTGTCTAGAGGTTGTCGCACTAAGTACGATCCCAAAAGCTCCAACCATCCAAAGCGGCTCCAAGTAACAAATTAGCGCGAGCATCATGGCGAGGTACGTTGTCTGCGCGGGGGTCTCCCGCCAAGTTGAGGCATTGATGATCGCGGCCACGGAGCCGGCCCGATGGGCACTTGAATGAGGATTTTAACCGTGGTCTTTTTGCTGCCAACCGCGCGCCGCAGCACTGGGGAGAGCGAGTTCAAGCGCGTGCAGGAGGACGAGGAGGAGTTCCAGAAGGGCCCGCTATCGGTGCTCATGCACAGCGTCAAGAACAACTCGCAGGTGCTGATCAACGTGCGCAACAACCACAAGCTGCTGGCACGCGTTAAGGCCTTCGATCGCCACTGCAACATGGTGCTGGAGAACGTCAAGGAGATGTGGACCGAGGTGCCCAAGTCGGGCAAGGGCAAGAAGGCGGCCAAGCCTGTCAACAAGGACCGCTTCGTGAGCAAAATGTTCCTGCGCGGAGACTCGGTCATCATCGTGCTGCGGAACCCGCACGCCTAGGGACCTCCTCCTTTCGTGTAAGCCTTTTATTGCGATGGAATAGACGGCGGCCAGCCTCTTTTTCGGTGTGTTTGTTGCCCAGCAGGTGGCCACCTCTGCCCCCCCCCACCTTTGCCAAGCCGGTGATGTATTGTGCTCGGTTGTATTCATTTCTGTTCATCCAGGGAGATGACCAAATCTCTGCTACTGGAGCTGCCGTCCGAGCTGCTGGAGCATCGCGTGTGTCAGTTCCTGGACGTGGCCAGCGTTACACGCTTGAGTCTTGTAAACCGGCGTCTGCAGCAGGATGTTTCAAGTTGCGCCGAGCTCTGGGAGCTGTTCGTGGCTCGTCACTTCGGCTACGTGAACAAGCCGTCGCTAATACTCCGGCGAACCAGAATCTGCAGTGTGAAGACCGACAAGGCTGCTATCGACTGGAAGGCGGTGTTTGTTGCGGCGTGGCAAGATTCGAGATCGCTCTCTGCGGCGACTTTGCAGGAGAGGGACGTGCTGCAGGTCTACTACGGGAAGAGCTGCCCCATGCTGCTTCAGCCGCGAGAAAGTCAGATTCGGCAGGAAATTGTGCTCATGCAGGGGCTGCGGCGGATCCCGGCGAGCTCAAAGCTGATTCAGCTTTACGCAAACGTCATTCGACAGTCTCATGTCATTCCACGTGCAAACACTGCCACTACGGCAAAAGTGCTTCGCAGGCTGGCGCAATAGATACCTGTACCGAGCGTTCAAGAAAGAAGAGGAAAGAAGACGATCATGTTTTCATTGCCGACACAGTACATATGCATTTATATCCATTGCACCCACACTACTCGCTTCGTTGCGTCTTGTTGCTGTCCTCGTTTCTTCGGGGTCGAATTTTTCTCCTGGCAAACTCTTTTCCTCCGCCGTGTCTAGGTATTCATTCTTCAACTCCATGAGCCGTCGGGACTGCATGAGTGAGCTCGTTCTTGAATGCTGTTGCGTAACACAATGTGTTCTCGAAATCATCCCACTGCACGCTGCGAGTTTCGATCTAATAGCCCACCGACTCGGTGCACCGAGGCTCCAGCCCACCTCGTCAAACTTCCTGAATCGTGGGGCGTCCACCACCAAAGGCTTCGGGCCCTGCTCCTCTCCACGAACTACACACACAGAGTCCAGCATGAAAACGAAGTCCGGAGTCGCGGGTTCACCGTCCAAAAGAACTTGGTAGGATGCCAAAACTGAAGACTCCACTTGTAAAAACTTTCAGGAACCCACCCCCGAGGAATGCTTCCAGGCCAGCTACTTGAGGTAAGCCCCCCGTCAACACTCGCTTCTCGTGGAAAGCTTTCTCCCATGCAGACGTCCGCCCTGCTTTTGGTCTGAACTCCGAGGATGAAGACTGAAAGTGCACAAGTGCCTGAGCATGGAGCCACTCACGGCAAGAAGACAAAAGGATCAATCGCGCAAGCATTCTTTTCAGTTTATTCAGTGGCAACTTCACTCGGGCTTCTCATCGCCCTCGTCGAGCATGCGCTCGTTGTCTTAGCACATCGTCTTCAAGCCCGAACGTCGGATCCCAACTCGTGCGTATACGGAGGCGCGCGTGTGGTGAAAACAACCCGCAGCTCGCGCTTGTTCCGTGCAGTAGTGGCCAGGGATGGATGACTCGAGAGCAACGCTCTCGACGTGGCCACGGCGGCAGGCTTCACCTCTTGGACTTGGGCGCTCACACCAACGACGATGGTGTAAGAACCGCCTTGGGTTGCTGCATCACCTGCTTCTTCGGCGAACTCGACAGATCGATCTCGCGATCGGTCTCCTGGGCATTTGCGAGATCATCCTCACCGTCGCTGCCGCTACTGCTAGTGCTTGTGCTGTTCGGTGCGTCCAGGTCGGTCGCACCGTTCTCCTCGACAGTGGCGGCAGCTTCTGCTACTGATACATTGTGAATGGGGGTGCTGCCAATATCGTCGAGAGACACCTCTTCTGCTGCTTCCTCAACCGCCACCACAGTTGTGTGGGCAGGCGTCTGCATGATCTCGATCGCAACTTCTGCCTGGGCACTTCGTTCGTGCTCAGGCGCTGAAGCTGGCACTTGCTCCAAAGGCGCAACCGATACTGTCGGCATCGGTGGCATAAAAGCAGGCACTGTTGTCGGTGCACTTTCAGGGACCGACGGAGACACGGTCTCTGGGGTTGTTGGGGAGGCCACCGCGTCTACAGGCGTCTCAGATGGCCGAGCTTCATGGATAGAAACCGAATTCGGGGGCAGTAATACGACTGGCGAAGGTCTAGCTTGGACTTGGGGCTGCTGAGAGTCCGCATCAACCTTCTGAACTGGAGGCGGTAGGCTTCCGGGTGCTACGAGGGAAACCGGCGCCGGTGGTACGGCCACCGAAGCGGCTACCGCAGACGCAGCGATAGGGGCAGCCGTGACGGAGACATTGGATTTGTCGGAAACTGGCGCCAAGGTGGAATCAGCCCTTGAGAAACCATGAGCTCGACTGGCAGTTGAAGCAACCGGAACCACCGGGTCAGGGATGCGTGCATCTGGGTGGAACGCACAGACATCCTCAAAGATGAGTTCCTGCAGCTTCTGCTTAGTCAGATCAGTGTTCTCAAACGCGAAGTCGAACGGAGTTGGGCACGTCTTCTCCAATGATCGATCACGCACGAGGCTCAGGTACGGGTGCTCCAGCGCTTCCGCAATGGTGATACGCTTACGAGGATCGAACACCAGCATCTTCTCCAGCAAATCGAGACACTGCGGCGTAGCGCGGGGGTACACCGATGAGAGAGGTACCTTCGGTTTCTTGGGTTGACGCAGAATAAATCGCTTCGCCTTGGGGTTGGTGATGAAATCCAGCGAGTCCTCTGACGGCGAGCCCACAACGTCCATAATAATCTTCAGCTGGTGCAAGTAGTCGTGACCAGGGAAAAGCGGGCGCCGTCCTAGCATCTCGGCCAGAATGCAGCCAATGGCCCACACATCCATTTGCTTGTCGTACTTGGACGAGAGCAGCAGCTCTGGGGCGCGGTACCATCGGGTGACCACGTACTCCGTTAGGCCCGAGTCCATACCCTGGATACCGCGAGCGAGACCAAAGTCGCATAGCTTCAAATCGCAGTCCGAGTTCACCAAAATGTTTGACGGCTTCAAGTCGCGGTGTAGCACCTCGGCAGAATGCACGTAGTGGATAGCCACCAGCATCTGATACAGGAAGTACTGCACGTGGTCATCGCTAATCGACTGGTTCGAGTGAATCACACGGTGGAGATCAGTTTCCATGAGGTCCGTCACGATATAAACATCGTTGAACTCTTGTAGTGTAGGCGGTCGCAGCAGGTCCAGCAGATTTACCAAGTTCGGGTGATTCAGGTGACGCATCAGTCGAATCTCACGTAGAATACGCTTTGCGTCAATGAGGTCGTTGAAGGCGTTCGGGATGTTTTTGATGGCTAGAGCTTGGCCCGTCTCCATGTCGCTAGCAGCAATCACACAGCCGTATGCGCCTTGCCCCACAGCCTTGATCATCTGATAGCGCTTGGGGACATCAAAGTTCGTGTTGCCTACTCGGAATTGGTGGTTGTTCCGCTTCGTATCGCGGAAGGAGCAGCCACGAGCCAAAGCGACGCGATGACTCATTGACTGAACCACCGCTCCAGACGGACGAACCTGCGGTGTTGGCGCGTTGGGGTCCAAACTGGGTGGTTCTTCATCGATGCCATTTCTCGACGCGCTGGCAAGGTTAGAACGCGACATGGCAGCGAAAGAGGCCATGGAAGCCTCAAAGCTAATGCTGAGCTGCACGCGTCCACACGTAAACTTGGTTTCATTCGCAGACAGCAGCGTGTACCATTGGGGCACAGCACCACGAGCAATGTCCGAGTGGATAACACTCTCCCGGACCGTGCGCGACGTACTGGCCAGCGCCAGGAAAGGAGCAAGGTTGACCTTGGCCACACCAATAACACGCTCCGAGGCCTTGGCCGTGCCACTGTCGCTGTCCACAACCTCCCACGCTTCAATCAGGATGAAGCAGGGCTTGCCTCGTGAAGATCCAGCAAACGAGATCTCGTGCTTCGAGTTCCACTTGGGGTTCCGCGCCTCATCGGGGTCGCACATGCGCGTCCTCGCCACGCAGTTCGAGGAAGACGTCGGCGCGTACACATTGGTCTTGCCGTCCGTAACCAGGCGCATTCCCAGGAACACCCGTCGGTTGGACGGGCGCTTCTCGTCGTCCGCCTCGGATTCGTCTGTCTGCTCTTCGTCGTCGATGAAGCCTTGGTCCGAGATCTGTTCGCCGCGGAAGACGACGACGTGCAGCCGTCCGGGCGGGTTGTCGTGCACCGTGTTGCCCACCACCGCGGCCATGGGCAGCGACAGACTGGACGTGGCGCTGCAGCCGAAGACGGCCGAGGCCGCGATAGGGTCTGCCGAGATGGTGAGGCTCTTGACGCGGCCGTCGGGCGCGAACTCGATCGTGTGCTGCCACTGCTGCGTGAACTTGCGGCCGTTGTCTCTGTTCTTCATGGTCTCCCTGCCGGCCACGACGGCCGTGCAGCCCTCCTTGGCCTGGGCGATGTCCGTGACAAAGAAGGCCGTGATCTCCACCGTCTCGTAGAGGATGGAGAAGAAGTGCAGCACGCCGTCGAGGCCGTGGTACTCGCCCCAGAAGGGCACCGTGGGCGCGTAGTTGGACGTGAGCACCACGTCGCGCGACAGCTTGGGGAAGAACTGCGGCGACGACGAGTGCGAGATGAGCAGCTGGCGGAAGGCGAAGTAGAAGCCGCGCAGGTCCACCTGCGTGGGGGACGCCTGCATCTGCAGTGCCTCCATGCCCTCCATGGACACGCGGCTGTGCGCGCCGTGGCGCACGCCCTCCTCGATGGCGGCCTGCATCATCTCGACCCACATGTCCTTCTCGAGCTCCGTGGAGCAGCACAGGTGGAAGTGCTTGTGGCCCTGCGTCTCCAGCAGGAAGCCGTGCGCCTTGCCGTAGTTCTCGGGCCGCACCTTGCTGATGATCATGCGGCCGCGCAGGTTGCGCGCGCTGCGGGCCTCCTCCTTCGAGTTGTAGTACGTGAGCGTGGCGCCGTCCAGGATCAGGTAGCGCTCCTCCCAGCGCGGCAGCCAGTCGCCCTTCTTGCGCACGTAGCCCTCCCAGTGCACCTCGTGCGTGATGGCGGCGGGCGTCGAGGCCGCGGACGAGTCCATGAGCAGGTCGTCCAGGTTCGTGTGGGCGTTGCTGGCGGCGCTGCTGCTGGCGGGCGCCGCCGCACCAGTGCTGCCGTTCGAGAGCGCGCCCAGCAGCAGGTCGCGCCCCTGCGCCGGCAGCTCCGCCGCGGACACGGGCGCCGCCGCCGACGCGGGCGCGGAGGACGCGGAGGGCGGCTCCATGGCCGGAGTGATTGTCGTCTGGGCGCTGAGCTGAGGTTCTTCCGCTCGGGCGTGCGCTTGACCGACTGAATCGAAGGCCCGCGCTTTCTTTCCCCCGCCCCATGCATAAATAGATCACGACGACACAATCCCGAACGGCGCCGTCTTTCCGGCACGCTAAGCCTGCATCCACTATGTCGGCTGTAACAAAGCCAGGATGAACAGACCTTGGACTTAAGTCTCGGCAGCGACCTGCGTAGCGAGGCCCCGCAATGCAATGGCCAGCGGGTGATGAACTATTGTCTGCACTGCGCAGTGGCTGCTTCGCCTTTGAGCGTGAAGCAACTGCAGCTTCCGCCCCCAAGGGAAACACTGCAGTTTTTGACGCCTAACCACCGATCCCTAATTTTAGCCGCCAAGTTGAAGTGGTCTGCTACGAAAAAGGAAACTTCAGTATTGAGTTGCCTTGTCCGCCCGCCATGGCCGCGCCGCTGCTGGAGCTGGAGCTGCCGGACGCGGAGGTCGAGGGCGACGGCGTCTTCGAGGCGCTCGTGGACGCGAACCAGCGCTGGCTGGGCCGCTACGCGCGCCTGCACCCGAGCTTCAGCGTCGAGCCGGCGCTGCTGGCGCGCAACAGCCTCTGGATGAACGCCTTCTTCCAGAAGAGCCGCATGACCACGAGCGCCGCGTCTCCGCAGGCCAAGAGCCTCATCAAGAAGCACCGGGACGCGGTCGTGGAGCGGCTGCGCTCGACGCCCGTGGCGCACTCCGAGTCGCCCTTCTCCACGTGCGTCGTGGACCCCATGGCCGCGCTCATGTTCGCCGCCTCCATCGACCGCTGCCCGCACAACAACCTGGTACGAAGCCGGCAAACAAGCGAGCGCATTGACTGTGGGATTGTGTCACCAACAGCTTTGGGGCTGCTGCCTATCGTAGGAGGATCTGCTGGCCGAGGCCTGGGAGCTCATGCACTGCGCGTCGATTCGAGCGCACGCACTTCGGTCAGGTGCGGTCGGATGGAGTAGAAAGCATTCATACAAGTTACTTGGTGTTTTGGGCTGATAGTGGGGCTGCGTGTATTTGCACCAGGTTTCGCTGGCTGCGTTTTCAGGATGCTAATGCAGTTCACGGAGACCCAGAAGCGTGTACGACACAGTAGAAAAAATACCCTCTGCAGGTCGAATTTGTGTACGACTGACATGTGACGATGCTTGTTGTTGCAACGTTGTTGTCGTCGTTGTACTCGTTGCTGCTGTCCCTGCAGATTCCGTGTTTACGGATTCTCGTGCTGCTCGCCGAAGAGGACAGTGCTGCGGTGGTGAACGCATGCAAAATTGCGGCCCAGGGACAGTTTTGGCAGCCCAACATGTTTGTCTTTTCGTTGCAGAAGCGGCACCAGGACAACTCGACGCTGTGCGAGCTGGCCGCGAGGCTGCTCGAGTGTTTTTCGGTGGAAATGCCGATCCCTCCGCCGATCGTGTTGGACCAAGCGTATGATGAAGACCGGGAAGTGTTTGCTCGTCTCGGAGGCGACGCTAGCCCACTGCGGATTGCCACGGCCCCGCTGTCCCCATTTCGGGCGTCGGGGGAAAACATCGCGCTTCCTTATTTGACTGGAGGCCACAGGAGTCAAAGTCCGCACCGACCTCTTTTCTCGCCTACGACAACGATATCCAAGCTGTACCAGGAAGCGCCTTCTCCGTACTGCCCCTCGATGAAGCTACCGCTGACGCGCCCTCCGACTTCTCCAGTGGAACAGACCAGACGGGCAAAGATTTTCAGTATGCCAAAGCTCGCCGCTGTCGAAGGCCCGCGGCAGTACCGATGCAACACGCCTAACGCGCCTCCTACTCGGCTTGAGAGAAGTATCGACGTGGAGGCCAACAGAACTCTTGATCCGCTGTTTGGGTCACCGCCTCAAAGCCCGAGCGGTACTAGTCCAAGCAAGCGACTCGTTGTGTCTGAAAAATACTCGTGGAATCCTGAGTGCATCAACTCTGTGAGCGGATTCGAGTGGTGGTGGCGTTCGTTACCGCAGAACCATGCGAGTCTTGAACCGACTCAAAAACTGAAGATGGTCACGAAAGCTGCCGTGCGCCTGCACTCAAAAGGAGAACTGCAGCGGGCTATCGAGTTGTACCTGCTCGCGTTGACATCGGCGACCAATGACGAAGTGAACTTCAGACTGCGAATCAACCTTGCCTGCGCGTACGAAGCAGCCGAAGACCTGCCGTCCAGTGTTGACGAATTTCGACTCGCGTTGGAGCTCAACCCGAACGATCCTTACGCGATTTACAAACTCGGAAGCGTGCTTACTGCGGCCGGTGAGTTTGACGAAGCACGCGCGCACTTCGAGTCGATTCAGGATAAATACCCTCAAGCAGCAGACGGCTTAAAAGCTCTTGAAAGCGCAGTAGAAGCCCACAGGGTAGAAGAAGAGGCTAGAAAGGCAGCAATCGCGGCGGCTACGCTGCGCCGCTCTCCGCCAAAGGTTGTATCACCGAGAGTTTACCTCCCAACACCTCGAGAACCGGTTGCTCCTACGACGCCAGTAGCTCAACCGCCTGCTCCTCGACGAAAGAAAGCCCCAGCGGTGAAACGAGAGCAAGCAGAAGTCAGCGTCACACCTAGTGATACAGCGGGGGTCCCTGGTGCGGACAATCCAGTGAATATCGTGCCCCCGCCTAGACCAGAGACAGCAACAGTTGCTACATCGACGGACGAGCATGTATCATCGCCACCAAGTCTGCTAGAGATTCTGGTGAGGCGTTGCCAGGAGGCTCGAATCAATATGCTGGACATTTTGCACAAGCTGGATCCTCAACAGAGAGGCTTGGTCAGCCGAGGGAGCTTCATGAACGTCCTTCGGGTTATCGCTGGAGCTAGTGCCTCTCAAGTGGACGATGAAGCAGTCCAGGCTTCTCTCAACATTTCCGCGAGCAACTGGGTAGAGCAGGAAGGCCAAGCGAATCTTAAGTATGGCGGCTTCCTGGACGCGTACGAGGAACAGCACCAAGTGGAGGCGGCACTGCTGAGCTCAGGGGAGGTGGTGCAAGTTAAGCTAATGATTGACGACCTGATCCGGCATGACATGGCATACCTATCGCACCACAACGTCTCGGAATGGATGCGTGAAGGCAGCGAGCGAGCTGCCGCAGAAGTGCAGAGGACCTCCTCTGTGGCCTCGAACCTCAGCTCTTGTGGTGACGAAGCTACGGCGGCAGTCCCTCCTCACATGCAATCTGCATTGGCTGAACGCACCCAAAGCGCCCCCGACTTGCAGCCCAGCGAAGAGGAGTCGATCTCACCTCGCGGTCGTGCTAAGAAGGATCGAGCTCGAGAAGAGTGGCTGCTAAAGGCAGAAAAGGCTCGCGTTCTTGCCAGGAGGCAGCAGCACTGCATGAAATCCCTACGAGATATTGCGGCACGAGCAAGAGCGCATGTCGTAGCTCGTCGAAGCGCTTCTGCGTTCCTTATTATGGTTGCTCAGAACGCACGCGACGAGTTGAGCTCGCGCAAATTACGTTGCTTGACATCTAGACTGGAAGAGGCTCCAGTGGAGACCCACGCCGACGGTGAAGGATTGGACCAGGCTGTGGCTTCTTCTTCTTCACAACTTGCCAGTGAGTCAGATGTGAGTGGCGATGGCAGTCATGTCAGGACCGTCAGAGAGTTATCCGCGCAAACGTACGAGTTTTCGGTGCGAAGTGCAATCTCTCGGTTGCAGAATACTGACTTCGACGACGTGAAGGTGGTTGCTGCTCGTTTCGCTGCTTTCTGCCAGGTACCTCCGTACTTCTTGGACATCCACGACGCTCTCTCGGCAGACTAATAGCATCATGAAATATAAAGACGAAGCACCTCATTAACGTTTTGTGGGGGAATCGAGTGCATTTTTCGGGAATACAATACATGCTGTCCACGTGACAGCAGCTACCACTTAACGCCATATGCAGTACTTCAGCTACGTCGCGGCAGACTACCGCGCGCATACATGTGCTCACGGGTTGTACATGAAGTCGCGCAAGTATTGGGCCATGTTCTCCGGCTTGGGGACGGTGGCGAAACCTTGTTCGTAGCCCTGCAAACACAAAACACGCACACAACCATCGTCAGGTTAATCAGCTCCGCCAACGTAAGTACAGGAGGAAGGAGGAAGGGGATACGTACATATTCGGCGACGGCTTCTGCGATCTTGAGTGACACTTCCCGGATTGAGGAGAGCGGAGGGTAGACGCAGCCAGTCTCCAGATCGGCGGGTGTCGTGAGACCTGCGAGCGTCTTGGCGGCGATGATCATGATCTCGTCGTTGACGTGGGTCAGGCCAGCCGCGACCACACCCAGACCGACACCAGGGAAGATGTACGAGTTGTTGCCCTGGCCAGGGACGCAGAGCTTGCCGTTGATCTCCACGGGGTCGAACGGACTGCCGCTCGCAAAGATGCACTTGCCGTCCGTGAACGTGTAGGCCTCCTCAGCCGTGCACTCGGCCTTGGACGTGGGGTTGCTCAGCGCGAAGATGATCGGGCGCTCGTTGATCTCGCTCATTTTCTTGCAGACCTCCTCATTAAAAGCCTTGGCGATGGTGCACAAACCGATGAGAGCCGTGGGCTTGATGCGGTCGAGTGCCTCGACCAAACTCGGGCATTCAGGAGCGTCGTGAGCGTACGGCAGCTTGTGCGGCTGCAAAGACTCCTTGCGTGACTCGACAATGAGACCACGCGAGTCCACTAGCCAGATCTGCTTGCGAGACTCCTCCATCGTCTTGCCAGTCTCGCGAGAGATAGCCAATGCAATGAGATCAGCGATGCCCGTGCCAGCAGTGCCAGCACCAAGGAAAACAAACTTCTGCTCCGAGATCGGCTTGCCCGACAGGGGCACAGCGGCCAGCAGGCCACCAAGCACGACGGCGGCCGTGCCTTGGATGTCGTCGTTGAACGTGCAGTGCGTGTTCTGATACTTGCGCAGCAGGTGGAAGGCCGTCGAGTTGCCGAAGTCCTCAAACTGCAGCAGCACCTTGTCGCCGTACTTGGCATTGGCCGCGTTCATGAACTCGTCCACGAGCTGCTCGAACTTCTCGCCGCGCTCGCGCTTCTGGCGCAGACCAATGTAGAACGGGTCGGCCAGGTACTCTTCGTTGTTGGTGCCGCAGTCAAGAACGACGGGCAGGCACATCTGGGGCGGCACGCCGGCGCAGGCCGTGTACAGCGACAGCTTGCCGACGGGGATGCCCATGCCGTTGGCGCCCTGGTCGCCCAGGCCGAGGATGCGCTCGCCGTCCGTGAAGCAAATGGCGCGGATGTCCTTCTCCGGCCAGTTGTCCAGGATCTCGGCGACGTGGCCGATGTCGTTGATGGAGATGTACAACCCCCGCGGGGTTTGGCGGTAGATGTGGCTGAACTCCTGGCAGGCTTGGCCGACCGTGGGCGTGTACACGATGGGCAGGAGCTCGACCGTGTTCTCCATGAGCATGCGGTAGTACACGTCCTCGTTGGTGTCCTGCATGCTCTGCAGAAAAATGTACTTCTCGATGGGGGACGTCTTACGGCGCAGCTGCATCATGGCCCGCTGTGTCTCGAGCTCGATGGAGGTCACAGCCTCGGGCAAGAGGCCGCGCAGCTTGAAGGCCGAGCGCTCCTCCTTGGTGAAGACCTGGCCCTTGTTGGCGATTGGCGTCCGCATGAGCGCGAAGCCTGGCTGCGACTGCACTCGACCACAACAAGCAAGGTTCGTTAGTCGTTGACATCGGTCCGAGCCTCATACCGAAGGAGACCGTTGTGTGCCACGCACCGCGGAGAAGTCTTCGACCTCCTCGTCGAGGGCCACCGCCTCAGCAGCCGCGGAGCTCGCGGGCCGCTTGTGGTTGAGCTTCTTCAGCGCCGTCGAGGACCTCTCGGACGCAACGTACGAGATGGCGGCGCGGGCGGCGGCCGCTTGGGTCCGGCGGAAGGCGGCGCTGCGGAGCGTGGAGATCATCGTATCGGGAAGGGGGCGAATCGAGAAGTGAGCTCCTCGGCCGGCCCAGCGCGAGCGCGTGTTGGGTCTCGCCTTGTCGGGCAGCGCGCGGAACTCGCCGCCGCCCTATCCATCCGAGCGGATCCACCATCGACTTTGACGTCAAGATCGACGTGAGACAGACCCAGCGCGGTGCCGCGGGGCCAATCTCTGCTGCCGATCAGCGAAAGTGCAGCCGCAGAAACACGGGCGAGCGCTGCTGCTTGGTGGCGAGGCGTGTTTGCGCGTCGCCCCGGGAAAAATTTCGTGGCAGTGCCGCGCGTGGGGACCCATGTACGGAGCGTCAACCGTCCATGGACGGCGACGGGGGTCGTGACTCGGCTGCGTGATCAGAGCCACAAGAACTCTCCCGACGCCGGGCGTGCACGTCAGCACCCCACCCACGCGTTTGTCGGAGCTCAGCGGTTCACGGCGGCAAACGGCGTGGTTCCGGAGAGCACCACGAAAGGGCTTCGCAGCCGCACATCCCAACTCACTTTTGGAAGCTACATTGGTGAGTCGTGCTTCTTGTATGTCGTGGCGAACGTGCATCGTAGAGAATGTGGTGGCAGCTACCTTTGCTTTGAGGTTTATCGCCGAGTCAGCAGTTAGTTGATTTCCTTCCTGCGCCACGGTTATCCTCGAACGTGCTTCGCGCCTCGACGTGCTTCACAACGCGTAGCTATGGCGACTCGTTCTTCTCGGGTGGTGGTGCTGGGAGGGGGAGGGGATTCTGTCGTCCTTGACGCTTTCGTAAATACACAGTGTACCAACCAACTTCGGAGCCCACGTCAACGCCGAGGCGCCGTTGCCGGCTCCGGTGATCAACTCCAGCTATGAATGATCGTTAGAAGAGCAGACTCCCAGTTGTAGGCACAGGCTGTGTGCCGTGTCACGGTGTGTCCTCCAGTTCGCATTCGCATTTTCAGTGCTTAATCATGAGTCAGCTTCAACATGCGCATACCGCGTACGCGAAATGACGATGAGAATGGCTACGTACACAGTCTTTCCGGGAGGGGGTGAAAGAGGGCCAACGGAGGTGAGCATTCCAGCGAGCCGAGCACTGTTCTCGCCAGGTGAGAGAATCTTTTTATCGCAGGAGCGCAGCGAAGCAAAGTACCCCCCACTGGGTGTCATCCGTCCTGTACCAGATCGTCCCGTTGTAGGGTGATGGGCAGCCAATACAAATTCTAAGCTTTGTAATAATATTGGCCAAATCAGACTGTGTACGTAGCCTTTAGCAAATGACGATACCTGCTGACACCAACGTTGACGCCGGACTTGATACGCGTTGCACAGACTCTGGTAGCTCTCCAATATGCATCTACCAGCTTGACCTTCAGCGCATAGTACACTCGCAAAAACCATGATCCGATGGGCTTCAATGGCAGTCAAATGGAGCGAAAAACCGGAGTGAAAAACCGGAGCGAAAAATCGATCGTCGACGGTGGAGAGGAGAGTCGAGGAGCTCCGACGGTCGCTGTTGGTTGGAGCTCTCGATGTTGTCGTCCGTAGCAGCCGATTCAGGTGGAGAACTTCCCTACAATGGGACGCAATTCCATTCACGAAGAGGTCGGCAGCGCACATCCGAGCGAGGGGCTCGACTCGCGATTGTCAGCTACACGTACACGAGTAGCTGGCGTGTACGTATGCACACACACACGGGAACTTTGATTTCTTCTGGCAGCTCGACAGTACATGTATCGTCTCGCCACATACCAAACGGTGAACTTGGGCTCACACCACGGCGCTAAGACCCTAGGAAAGTGAGTCCACGCGTACCACAGACCTCGCACGAGCCGCTACTTTCGCTTGACATTCTTCGCTTGACTGCAGGTTCCAGGGGCGAAAACTAGACTGGAAGCACGCCGCAAGCAAGCGACCCGGCATGGAAGAACGGCTGGAGACACGCTGGCAAACTCGGCAGTGGATGGGGCGCGATTTGCGCTCTCCGAGAGAAACGCGGGGGCAGTTCTGCATGCATGCGAGTCGAGAGCTGGAATATCCGGATCACCAGCCGCGGCTATTGCAAACTGAGCGCTACAGTATTCTTCAGCGTTCGCGCCCCGCCGGAAGCGCCGAGTTGAGAGCGGCCAGCGGCGCCCGTGCCATTGCGTCCTGCAACTTGCAGCAGCGCGCATTCAGCGCCAGAACCCGAGCGCGTCTCGCCTGAAGATGCCGATGGGGACGCTTTGAGTGGCTGCGCTGCGCGTTGAGGACGGTTCCCTTGCAGGCGAGATTTGACGACTTGAAGCAAAGATACGACTGGTGTTGTCTGCTTGGTCGTCCGCGGGCAGTCAAGTGACCGGAATAAGTGGGGCTGAAGCCATGTGTTGCGGTGGTGGCGGACCTCGCCCAGGTCGGTGGTCGCATCGGCGTTGGCGACGGCGATGGAGAAGCCGCGGGATAGCTCCCAAGGCTCGCCTTCGTACCGACACCTTCACCTCCAAGCAGCAGCGCGCTGAGCACCATCCGTTTGTCTGCTTGGAGACCGCCGCAACGGTTCGAAAAGACTGGGGATCCGCATCACGCGGACCCTCCGAAAAAGCCGCAGGATGCCGAGCAACAAGAACCTCTGCGAGTACAAAGGAATGGATGGATGGAGCACTTGCAGCTGCCATCCCTAGCGCGGCGCTAGACCACCAGCTTCGAGCGCGGGCAGGTGTGCGTGGAGAATCGAAGGGTGACGTCACGCGCGTGGCACTTGAAGAACGCGTTGCGCAAATCGCGAGCTGCGCAATAAGTGCGCCGCCATCTCCGCCCGACGCCCCAAGCCGATAGAGTACAGTATTGCACGATATGCGTCGGGCCGACTGCCAGGCCAGGAAGAGATGTGCTGCTGCCCGATGCCGTCGGGCGCCGAGCGATTGCTCACCCCGCTCCAGAGAAACACACGCTCTGGGCCGCACAGGTCGCGATCTTTTCGTCACACGCGCATACAAAGACCGAGTGCGCCCACTTAATCTGGGCCGCTGCCCATCCTCTTTGAGCTTCAGCCCAGCCGAATCCAAGCGCGCTACGTACCCCCCTCTTCCTTCCAACAGCCCCATTGCCCAACTTGCCCGCCGCCGCCGCTCCGCTCTCCTCGCCCTCCCCGACCGACCGCGCACAATGCTCTCTCCTTCGCTCGCCAGCGCCGTGACCGGCTCGGCCGTGTGGCAGCAGAAGCACCGCTCCACACTCCACCCGCTGGCGCTCAGCGCCTACCGCGGCAGCCCCCTGGCGCTCAGCGCCAAGAAGGAGCCCAAGCCCGAGAAGGCCGGCGTGAAGCTGCTCGTGGGCGCCGGCGTGTGCCTCACGTACGAGTTCGCGCTGGGCCACTACCTCGAGTTCATCAAGATCATGAAGCAGACCAAGCCGCAGTTCTCGTACGTGCACCTGACCAAGGAGATCATGCACGCCAAGGGCCTCGTGGGCATCTGGGACGGCTTCTTCCCGTGGGGCGCGCTGCAGGGCGTGGCCAAGGGCTCCGTCTTCGCCTGGGGCCACTCCATCGCCCGCACGGCGCTCACGCCGCTGGTCAACAGCGACAAGATCGGCAAGGGCACGTCCGAGGTCATCGCCGGCGGCATCGGCGGCGGCTTCCAGGGCTTCGTGCTCAGCCCCACGCTGCTGCTCAAGACGCGCGTGATGACGGACCCCGTCTTCCGTGAGCACATGACCCCGCTCGAGACCATGTCGCGCTCCATGCGCATCGGCGTCAAGGTCATCCACAAGGAGGGCGTGGCCGCGCTCATGAAGGGCTCGGGCATGTTCTCGGTCAAGCGCGTGGCCGACTGGTCCACGCGCTTCTTCTTCTCCGTGCAGGCCGAGAACCTTGTGTACAAGCGCAACAACCCCGAGCGCGTGCTCACGACGAGCGAGCAGGTCATCTCGTCGCTGCTGGGCGGCCTCGTCAGCGCGGCCGTGACGCTGCCCATGGACGTGCTGGTGGCGCAGATCCAGCAGGCCTCCAAGGCCGGCGTCAAAGTCTCAGTCGCGGAGCTCTTTCGGCAGCAGTACCGCGCCGGAGGCCTGAACCAGGTGCTGACCTTCGGCACCACGGGCTTCGTGGCGCGATTCGTGCACGCCAGTTTCACGACCATGATCATGAAGACGGCGACGAGCGTGGTGTACGACATGGTCGAGGGCCGGAATTAGAGGAACCATCGACTTACTTCCAATCCAGCTCTTTGTCCTTTCGGTTGACGAGTGCCCGAGCCTCGAGAGCTTGGCGCACCGATAGAAGGAGAAGCCAGTACCTGCCAATACCAACACAAAACTATTCATTCGCCATTATATCGCTCAGGTTGAAGTCGTCTGAACAGGGACTGGAACTACAGCTTTGCATCGACTGTCTTACGACCATGAAGGTGGAATTGGGCCAAGAGAGCTCGCTTCCGCCCCAAGCGGGCTGGCGCCGGACCAACGAACCGGAGCTGCTAAAGCGGTTCAAACTTTACCAGGAGGCTAATATTGTATTGTGAACGCGTTTCGCGGTCAGTCTCGCTACCGAAGTAGTTCAACATTCGCATGCGTCGGGTTATCTCTCTCTCTGTCGTACTCTCTGCCCTCGCCCACAGTCCGTCGTGTGGCACGTATGCAAGTAGCGCGTCAACGAGTGCTTTCCACCCCTTCCGGTCTTTCGCACAGAGGCGGAGAAGGTAGAGGTCACCCGCTGTCTGGAGTCGGTGCCCGGACGATAGGGTCTGGAGGTCTGCGTCGAGAACTAGAGGAAGCGTTAGTCGTCGTCTGCCTTGCCACCTGCCGTTGTTACTGGAGGCTAATATTTGTATTGTGAACGCGTTACGCGAGCCGTCTTACCACCTTGGTGGGTCAACTTCCGCATGCGTCGGGTTATCTCTCATCTCTCTAATTCTCTCTGTTCTCGACCAGAGTCCGTCAATCGGCACGTACGCAAGTAGGGCCTCCGTCAGGTGCTTCCAGCTTTTTCGATCCTGCGCGCAAAGGCGAAGGAGGTAAAGATCGGGAGAACGACGAAGACGGTGCCCGGAAGAAAGAGTCTGGAGGTCGGCGTCGAGGATGGAGGCTAATAACTAAGGTTAAATAGACTTCCTTCTCTCTCTTGAAGTCGTCTGATCCTGTAACCTTACGATTGTTGCTTCTCTGGCCTCGCGGCGTCGGCTGCTGCGGTCGATGCACTGTCGACAGGGGCGAATGCAGGCGGGAGGAACTGCGTGTAGCGGCTAAGGATGAAGTTCTCGGCCTTCTGCATGCGCTCGTAGTCGTCGTCCAGCTCGTGGTCGTATCTGCACAACAAATAAACGATCAATTCGGTCAGTCCAAGGGCGAAGCGATTCACAGTCTGAAGCTGTAGCGTCGGCGCTCACCCCATCAAGTGGCACAGTCCGTGCGCCATGAGCACCGGCAGTCGCTCCTCCAGCGTCGTGACTTCTTCGAGTTCCGGGTCTTCGCACTGACGTCGCACGTACGCTGGACTGATGTAGATGTCCCCGAGATAGCGCTCCTCCTTGGTCTTGACCCGCGGGAATCGCCCTGGAGCGCGCACCTGCAACGCCAGCGAATCCATTATTGAGCAACCATGGCCAGTCAATCCACTTAGACTAAAAGCTTACCTTGTGGAACGGGAAGGACAGGGTGTCCGTGGGCTTGTCCTTCTTGCGGAACTTGCGGTTGAGCTTCTGGACGTGGTCATCCGTCGTCAGCATCACGCCGACGTCCCTGTTCGTCGCCGTCGGCAGCAGCACAACCAGTAGGTGAGAATGGAGACCAAGTTATCCCTCCACCAGTGGAGGACGCTCCTCCTTCAACGCTGTCCGGTGCGATCAAATTTGGGCGGTTGCTGCTCATACCAGGGTCCTCCGGGGCAGTTGAGGCAGCGCACCATGGCCTGCACTTGCGCCTGCAGTTTGAGCAGCGCCCGCGGCGACAGCGCCGCTCTCGTGCCCGCGAGCGCCTTGGACACCTGCACCATGATTGTCAGAAAAACAACTGAGGCGATGCATACTTTAATCAAGTCAAACTTGCAATGACCGGCAGAATCTTGCGGGGTCGTACACAGCGTTGTAAAGCGATTGTCCGCCAAGGGGACCCCTGCCGAGGGAAGTGCATTAACGAAGATCAGTGCCACTGGCAATGCGTTGCTTTATGGTACTTATTGGCATCTATCCATAGTTCTGCGTGAAATACGTACTGCAGGAGTGCGTCCCTCTTTCAGACGATTACACGCGTCGGTACACTGCTCAGTACGCCTCACATACACCCCACCTTGGGCACTCTTAGTAAAGCATGATCCGAAACCAAGCACCGTACAGTACGGCCAGTGCTTGGTGCTCTTATCCGCTCTGCGCATTGTAATTCTTGCCGCCATGCTGCCGACGAGCTCCTGGGGCTACAGTATCTTCGAGAGATGGCCTCGTTATCCGGTACATGTCCAGAAGCCCGCCGCCATTTGCCTTGCAGTGTGGCTGGCTCACCGCGAGCCAGGGCCGATGATATTATACCAGGCCCGTCGATATCTGTTGTTGCCGGACATCGCGGTGTGCTGCATGTACCGAGGTGCGCCATCGTAGCGAGCAACGAGCAGAGAGCACCATACACCATGCACCGCTCGCCAAGGCCTCGCCGGTGCTCGAACTTCTAGTGGAAGTCGTCCACCAGCCCTGCTCACTCAGCGGTGCTCGCGCGATTTGGATCACTTTGCTCCCGCCCGCTGCTGTTCCGGCCGCCCGGCTGTCCAAACACTCGAACCAGCAGCGTCGACGCTGCCTCGTCGGCCTGCACCACCAGAGAGAGAGAGAGTCTGGTAGAGCTGCTGCGGCGGCGGAAGCTCAGCGCGGCGACAATACTCGTGGTGGCGGCGTGCCGACCGAGACTCTCGACGGCACCATCAAGTGCAGCTTGTTAAACGACGTGCGTTTTTACGGTACTTCGGCCGTTTCGGAAAGATCGCGTGGCTCCGCTAGTCGAGTCCGAGGGGTGACACCGGCTCAGCGAGTCAACATGCGGCCAACTGGCTCACGCAGAGCCTCCGCAGACAGTGGAAGTACGCGGAAGTTTTGGCTTGCAATGCAGGTGATGGCAAAATGCCATTGGCAATGGCTATGACGATTAGAGCGAATAATGTGCAGGAGAAGAGTGATGCATGCATGTAAAGCGGTTGCCGTTGTCGCTGCTACCGCTGCAGGAAGCAGCGCATGCTGTAATCGACTGCCAAAATGATACCTTCACTGTCGGCAATGCCGACACGACATGATAAGCGCTGCTGTCCACGCCGATATCTCCGCGAGGATTCCACCACGCTGTGAGCGCTACGCCCACACGTCCTCCACATGCGGTGATGTACCGATATTCGCAAGCAGCACTTGCGTTCCGGTTGCAGACGCAAGGACGAAGCCCTAGATCGAGCCTGCCAGCACGACCTAGCCGCTTTCGACGCTTCGGCCGACGGGTTCCACGTGCAGTTACTGTTGTCGTATGGCGCCAACATCGGAATCGCCGTGCGACCGTCGCCATCCCGACTTCAAGCAGCTCGCCATGCCACCAGAACGCGATCGTGGTGGCGAGGCGCCGCCAGGAAGCCCCTAGCTGCAGTACTGTACGGTGCTTGGCGCGCGGCGAGCAAAATGCTGGTGGCGCTGCTGCCGTCTGCACAAAGACCGGGCGCACGTGACGAGGCGCTGTCGACGGGCGGCTTTCGTTTAAAAACCCCGGTCCAGAGCCGGGGCGTTTGGGCTTTTCAGAATAAAACCCGGGATCAAGAACCCACCGATGGGCGCTCTTTGTTGAAGCGGTCTTGTGTAAAATGCGCCCAAGCAGCAAAGCTGCAGGGCGGTTTTGACAGCCGAAAGACAGCGAGCCCCTCTCTTGTGCGGAGCCCGCCGCCGCGCTAGAGCGCCACGTGTCGGGCATGCAGGCCTCGACGACGACGTCACTGCACTGCAAGTTGCTTCGCAAAACTGCGTCAAGAGGAGGCAGATGCTGCCGACGGCGGCGGGAATCGTGGACCAACCATTCAAACGTCGGAGCAACCAACTTGTTCCCTCGCAGGTTGGTTTTTAATCATGAAAAGGTTGGTGGCAGCGACACTTTGCTGGAGTGTTTGCAATGACAAAATACACGAAGCGCCAGCGTTCGGCGGTAACATAGCCGTTTACGCGGTCGGGATCGCTTACGTTGCCTTTCGCTACCGCTGGCCATGAAAGTCATGCAGGTCTGAAGGGCCGAGCAAGAAGCGCGCCTGCACCAAGCAGCGTGTCCCAAATTCAAAAGACCCATGCGTCCCGTTTCTGTTGAATCCTTGAAAAACCCAGGCCCGTTTGTGAAATCATGTGACGGCGCTTTCCTCTTGCAGAGACTATTCCCATACAGTTTCCAAGTCATTTTTGGACCCGCGCCCCTTCACACGGGGACCAGAACAGAAACGAGCGAGCCAAAACTGACGTGGCTTTGGTCTCCTTCAGTGCTTCATTCTGGTATTTGCCGTCTCGAGCGCATTCGTCTCCTCCACCTCCAAGCAAACCGCCACCCCACCACCGCCACCACCATGGCCAACGCCGGATACACCGCCATGCGCACGCCCATCGCCAACAAGGGCCTGGCCTTCACGGAGGAGCAGCGCCAGCAGCTCGGCCTGCGCGGCCTGCTGCCGGCCGCCGTGTCGTCGACCGAGTTTGAGACGGAGCGCGCCATGGCCCAGCTCCGCCGCAAGCCGTCGCCCATCGAGAAGTACATCTTCATGCAGAACATGCAGAACACCAACGAGGACGTGTACTACCGCATGCTCATCGAGCACACGCCAGAGCTCATGCCCATCGTGTACACGCCCACGGTCGGCCAGGGCTGCCAGGAGTTCAGCCACAACTACGCGCAACACCCGCGCGGCCTCTTCATCTCGGTCAAGGACATCGGCCACGTCGCCGAGATCCTGGACAACTGGCCGGAGAAGGACATCCGCGCCATTTGCTTCACGGACGGCGAGCGCATCCTCGGCCTGGGCGACCAGGGCGCCAACGGCATGGGCATCCCCGTCGGCAAGCTGTCGCTGTACACGGCCTGCGCCGGCGTGCCGCCCCAGATGTGCCTGCCCGTCGTTCTTGACTGCGGCACCAACAACGAGGAGTACCTGGCCGACCCGTTCTACATTGGTCTGCGCCAGAAGCGCGAGCGCGGCGAGAAGTTCGAGCAGCTCGTGGACGAGTTCATGAACGCGGCCAAGGCCAAGTACGGCGACAAGGTGCTGCTGCAGTTTGAGGACTTCGGCAACTCGACGGCCTTCCACCTGCTGCGCAAGTACCAGAACACGCACTGCACGTTCAACGACGACATCCAGGGCACGGCCTCGGTCGTGCTTGGTGGCCTGCTGGCCGCTGTGCCCCTGTCGGGCAAGGCCATCTCGGAGCAGACCTTCCTGTTCCTCGGCGCCGGTGAGGCCGGTACGGGCATTGCCGAGCTGATCGCCCAGGCCATCGCCCAGGAGACTGGAAAGTCCGTGGAGGAGTCCCGCAAGCAGATCTGGCTGGTGGACTCGCGCGGCCTCATCGTCGACTCCCGCAAAGAGTCGCTGCAGCACCACAAGCTACTGTTCGCCCACGACGCCCCCGCGTGCCCGGACCTCCTGTCGGCCATCGAGCAGATCAAGCCCACGGCCCTCATCGGTGTGTGCACCATCGCCAAGGCCTTCAGCAAGGAGGTGTGCCAGAAGATGTGCGAGATCAACGAGCGCCCCATCATCTTCGCGCTGAGCAACCCCACGTCCAAGGCCGAGTGCACGGCTGAGGAGGCCTACACGTTCACGGACGGCAAGTGCATCTTCGCCAGCGGCAGCCCGTTCGACCCCGTCCTGTACAACGGCAAGCGCTTCGTGCCCGGCCAGGGCAACAACTCGTACGTGTTCCCGGGCATTGGCCTCGGCATCGTAGCGGCCGGCCTGACCCACGTCGACGACGAGGTCATGATCATCGCCGCCAAGACGCTGGCCAGCCTGACCACCCCCGCCGACCTGGAGACCGGCTGCGTGTACCCGCCGCTGTCCACGATCCGCAACGTGTCGCTCAAGATCGCTGAGACTGTGGCCGAGTACGGCTACCAGAAGGGCTTCGCCACGGTCCCCAAGCCGGAGAACCTGACCCAGTTCCTGAGCGAGTTCATGTACAACCCCTAAGCGCTCGGTGCTTGCGCTGCAGTAGTTCGCAGCACAAGAACCGCTCGGAAGGACCGACCACCGCTCCTTCCGGTGGAAATTTAGCGTCAGTGTTTTGAAAGTTGAATGCACTTATATTGAAGACATCATTGCTGCCTGCGTTTCCCGCTTCTCTGCACTTCTGAAGTTTTCGCTCGTCGAGCGCAGTGCTGCTGACTCACCTCAGTTCTTGCTAGAGAATGTAAACGGATGAGCCAATCCGTTTTGAATAGACTTGAATCCAATCCGCGGCAACCGGATTTAAAACGGATCAAATTCGGATCGAATCCGTTTGGCGTGGGAGTTCATTGGACAGAAATTGACCAATCGTGCTTCAATGTTACTCTGTGTATTTTGTTGTACCTGATTGACGTGATACGAGCATATCGGCCAGTAGAGGGCAAACCGCAGTCGGGAATCCCGACTCGGGATGGGCTTGACGGTCAAGCCTTGACCACTACGCGGGAGCCGCCAACCTCAAGGAGGTAACCGGATGAAACCACGGTACTTCTACCTCACGTTCATTCTCCATTTTGCTTCCAAGGCCACGGAGTACGTGGCACCAACCCACGCCCTTCAGGTCACACGTCAAGTCCGGCGGTGCACTGCCGCACACAAGTCCCATCACTACGAACCGAAGGATCGCTGCCTAGCATGGACGACACCGACAGCATCTCTACGGTTTCTTCTATCGGCCCGTCCATCTCTTCCGTCGGTGTTGCTAGCTCCGTGGGTCACAAACGCAAGCGCAAGAACGCTTCTGATGTGTTCGAGTACGTTGAAGAGCTCAATACAGGTATCTACAAATGCATGCTGTGTACGGCTGACGAGCAGATCTGGAGCAGTCGTAACACTGGTAACTTCCGGAAACACCTCGTTGACTATCATCCTGAGGACTACGGCAATTCCAGCGCCCTACCATCGAATGCTCGAGGCAGCATCCGCATAGCCGCCGCGGTGATGACCCCAGACGCTGTAAAAAGCTGCGTCGATAAGCTGATTAAATGGATCGTTGTGAATTCACACTCGTTTGCGGTTGTCGACCAAGAGGAGTTCGTGGAGGTTTGCAAGGCGTTGCGTCCGGAGTACAGTGTTCCGTACCAACAGACTATCCGCAAAAAAGTCCTCGGTCAATGGAAAGTGGAGAAGGATGTTGCTCGCGTAGAGATTTGTCGCGAAGTGGCTGGACGCCGTGTCAGCTTCACGACCGACCTGTGGACTTCCCCGTCAAAGAGAGGCTACATGGTAGTTACAATGCACTTTATTGACAGCAACTGGGTGATGAGGTCTGTCATTATTGCGTTTACACGCGTGATGTATCCACACACTGGTAAACGGCTCGCCGACCACTTCATTCGCGCAGTGAAAGACATGGATGCCTCACTTCTCCGCTGTATGTGGACGATCACTGCCGACAACGCCACCAATAACACAACCATGGTAGCTGAGATCAACGAACGGTTGCAGCGCGATATTGAAAGACTTTCGCGAACGGCTCAAGCAGAATTGACCGACCCTGGATCGTGGTATTGGAAAGTGGCAGTTTCCAACGCTGTTGACCCGCCAGCCCGACAATCAAGTTCAATCAAGGGGCGATCAAGGCGAGGTCAAGCGAGAGACGGAGATGGCTGCTTCTGATTGGATGATGACATTACCCTCGGTAGAGTGACAGGCAGTGGCCGAAGCCTCGTCGGGTCCTAATAGAACCCCGAACGAGGCTTCATGGTACCCACTTTTAGGTACAGATGCATTTAGTTACGTACTTCGGCCGCACTTATTAGTGTAGCCGCGGTCGTCATTTGATGTGTCCAGAATCGCCTTATTGCGATCGTTCACACTAGATATTTGTATAGGGACATAGGACTCATCATAGGATGACCAGAACGAGGCCCCAGGGCCTCAGAAAAATCAGTAATAAAAAGACAGTCTTCCCCCAAAGCCAACATGGGTCAAGTCCGACTTCGGTAAGTGTAGCTAGCTTATTGTAGTGCCTGGATACGCTCGGCTGCGTGTGGATGCCTGTCGGGGAGCTTATCGTGCATTGACCGAGAGTTTCCTCGGCAGCGCCAAGAGTTGGCGTGGCCGGAGAGGCAGGAACGGTATTAGAGTATCGTTCAGTATATATTTGTGGGATAAGAGTTCCCTGAGTGTATTAGTCTACATACCGAGGTTTTACCTTGGTTCCCCTGTATAAGGCCTAACACGCCGGTACCCTTCCTTTCTGAGGGACTGCAGTGGGGTTGCGCGAAAGCGCTACATAGTATCCTAGCCTTAGCTCGTGGCTAGTGGTACAGGTTTTTGGGTTGACCGAAGACAACCTAAGGTGCACAGAGGCGCTTGCAACCGACCCGGTGTAAGGGATCGTTCCTGGTCTTCAGGTTTTGATCCAATAAGCGCTTACCTTTGCGGGTTAGCGTGTTGTTGGTGTCTCTAATACCTTTTGGTAGAAGAGAATTTAAGTGGTATTACCACACCACAGGATCGCCACGCGGGCAAACCACCAGCTCGACTTCAAGAACTGTTGTTCAACTACGATGCACCGCGCATGTTCTGCAGTTGACAGTAAAGGAAGGTCTCAAGGAGTGTCCATTTGTCGATTCTGCAATTGGCCATTTGCGTGACATCGTGAAAAAGATTTCGGAGTCAACTAAGCTGTCTGAAGCGCTTCAAGGGGTGTGCAGTGACCTGGACGAAAACTTTATAACCACTAAGCTTGATGTGCCGACACGATGGAATAGAACGTGGACTATGATGGAGAGCCTTCTAACGCTAAAGCAGCCCCTGAACGAGTTGCTTCGCCGTATTCGTGGTAAGATCCGTGAGTATACGGATTTCAGTATTCGACCAAGTGATTCGCTGGCCAAGGAGATTTCAGTGGAGGCGTGGGCGGCTGTGGACGCTCTTTACAAGTTTCTCAGGCCCATCAAAGAAGCCACTGATATGCTATCTGCGTCGACGTATCCTACGTTCGGGATTCTGCTCTACGCGTACTCTTTGATCCAGTTTCACGCAACGGAAACTATAGCAACCGAACAAGACGAGCAGACACTGAAATTTGCTGGAGCTGTTAAGTCCAAGATGGATGAGTACACGGTGAAGGTAAATACAAGAGAAGCCCGGATAGCTCTAGCTCTTGATCCTCGTGCTAAGCGGTATCTGCACCTCTTGGTGGAAGATGTCAATCAAGTCAAGGAGGAAATTGAAGATGAGTTCAACAAGAATTACCGCGAAGCATTTCTGGCCCAACAGCAACTAGCCTCCGGTCCGCCGTCAGCAAAAAAGAAGCGAGGTAGCGAGCTGAAGGGCCTCATGGCGCGTTTTTCCAAGCAGAATGGTGAAAGTATATCCGATGGCACCCCTGTGGACGATATAGGCGACAGCCAGCTTGAAAGTAGCGGGGTTTTAGGCGGTTGGGAAATGCAGCGTGAGGATTCGTCGTTCGCGAAAGGGCTTGACAGGTGGCTAGCAGCTGATGAAGGCATGAGTGAGATGAAAGAAAGCAAGCAAGTGTGCGCGTGGTTTCAAGTTACGTGGGACGTCTATCCTCGTATTAAGCAAATGGCTCAAGATTTTTTGGCGGTCACGGCAACGTCGGTTCCAAGTGAGGTTGCATTTTCAGCAGCAGGCATAGCTCTCAACGCTCGCCGTGCTCGCTTGGGTGATGATACGGTGAGGGCAATCTGCGAGCTGAAGTCATTCTTTAACTTTAATCGCCGTCTGAGTGACCAAGAGTTTTCGAATACGGATGAGGCAGCGACTTGTGCTCATGAGTAAGCTCATTCACAATATAATGTGTGTTTATATAGTTGTTCGTACTGTTTTGAGGTCACATCTTCACTAACCTACACGCTAAAGCACACCTTCGTGAGATCTTCATTAAGCCACGCCAGCTGCTCAAACATTGACTGACACTGTGTCGCCAGCTCACGCACGGGACAAATAATCACGACACGCGTGGACTGCACACGACGCGAACGCAACAGCAGACGCTCCAGAATGGGCAGCAAGAAGGTAGCGGTCTTACCACTAGCCGTTTGGGCACAGATGTCCTTGTCCGTGAGCGCGATGGGGATCGGAATCGGCGTCCGTTTTTTCGGAGACAATGTGCTAGATGGCTTGCATAATGGGGCGAGACAGCTTCAAGTCGGCGAAAGGCTTGAACTTGGTCTTGCCGAACTCCTTGGCAGCGAAAGGGTCCGTCCCGAAGAACTCGGCAGCCTTCTTCTCCAACGCGTCCACCAGCTCTTCCAGCAGCGATTGGAGACGCTTCACCTCCTCCACGACAACATCGTCCTCTTCCACATCCTGCTCCTCCTTCTCGTCATCAGAGGACTCCGACTTCTCCTCCATCTCGTCCTCACTCTCGCTGTCGCCGTCACCTCCTCCTTCTCTTCTTCTTCCTCGGAGTCACCGTTCTCGTGGCCGGTTTTTCGGTCTCCTTCTTGCGGCGCTTCTCGATCTTGGCCTGGATGGGCGTGCGCCTGGTGGCCGCGGGGGTGCCGCTCGCCATCTTCTCGATGCGCGAGATGGCGGCCGTGAAGTCCCACGAGCTGCCGCCTGACGTGTGGAAGGTGCCGCCGTCGTCGAACTTAAAGTCCTCGGCGATCTCGTTCTCCTTCGGCTCTCCTTCTGCTACTGGCGGCTCCGCACGGCGCCCTTGAGCCCCGCGCCTTCCTGCTCGTCCTCCGAGTCCGAGCTGCCCTCGACACTGGACATTTCGTCGTCCGACGCGATGATCATCACCAGGTCCTCGTCCTCCTGCTGCACCTGTTGGCCCGCCTTTTGCCCATGGTCGCTATCCTACGTCTTCTCCAGCAGCGTGTTAGCGTGGACAGACACTGCCCGGCCGCGCCCTGATCTAACATCGCTATGTGTGGGATCTTGGGCTCTGCTTCAGCGAGCTTGGGAGCATATTCACCAAAGCGCCGTAGTCGCTCGTGTTCGTTACCCACATCATCCGGCTCTGTGTGTGCTGGCTGTGATTGCTCCACCGCCAAGAAGCGCCGCTCCAAAGTCTCTCTAGCAGCAGCGATGCGCATCGATATCAGGAGAAAACGTCATCACCTTGACGCAGCTCATCTTGGGTCGGAGCTTCGTACAGACTGTTCATCACCGAGGTGTCGGCGCAGCGATCACCTTTTCGCTCATTGTCGCCGTCACAGTAGAAACAGACTGAATGCGCTCTTCGTCTTGTTGTTGGTTCCGGTCTTACTGCAGCGCTCGACATAATACTCACCTCCTCTCCACCGACGCGCCAGCGCGAATTGCCCCACCAGCAGCAGAAGCACCGCTCACAGCAGCAGTGCCAGCATGAACAGAAGATCAGCTCGACATGCTCACAGTAGCAGTAGCCACCGGGCCAGACGCCGACGCAGACGCAGACTCTCCGACTCCACCTCTGTGGCGTCAAACACCAACAAAAGCATCTGGCAGTACTACGCTCTGGATGCGCATGCGCAGCTCCTGGCGTCAGACGCATGTACACGCTGCGAATGCGCACGAAAATGGTGAGCACGTGCTCAGCAAGGCTCAGCTCCACGGTGTGATGAACATCATATCATCGGCGACCATGCGGCCCTGGCTCGCCTTGTATTGCGTGTCCGTGTCCGCAGCAACCTTTGCACACCTGTTTATTGGTGAGTTGAGCTCGGACGTCTCACCACGCATGGCTGTCAGGTCCATCTTCTTGACGCTGCTGATCTTGCGGGCGCAGCGCGCGTACATGCTCCTCATCGCCGTGGTGGCGGCTCCTCGTTGACAACAGGCATGCTGGGACTTGCGCACATGCAGGAGGCCGGATCGAGTCTTCGGCCACGGAAGGCACTGTAGATCTACGCGCAGCCGAAGGGCACCTTGCTGATATTATACTCGAGCAGACAGCGGAAGATGAGGAAGATGCCCTGGGTCGTCTCGGGACACAGGTAGCCAGTATGTCCCCCCTGGGAGCCATTGGTGCACTTGAACATGAGGTTGAACGAGATGGGGAAGCTCCGGTCCGCGTCCATGCATGCGCCTTGATGTCATACTGCTGGAAGATCTCGTGGATTGCCTCGGGCGAGTATGACTCGGCCATGGTGTCCTGCATCTCGTACTTCTCGCGTTCCTCCTGGCTCGGGTCTGGGTACTTGCCCAAATATCGTCCTAGAGCAGCTTCTCAGCGCGCCCGACTTGGAGCACTTGACCATGAGGTCCGTGAAGCAGTCAACTTGACCCGACGTTTGAGCACCACCTCGGGCATGATGTTCGTGCACTCAATCTCCAGCAGCTTGTCGGCGGACACGAATTGGCGGCGCCAGAACCTGTACGCCCCCTTGGTCTCCACTAGCACGGTCCGCGTGCTTGCGCAGATGCTGCTCCGTCGCGGGGTAGATCAGGTTCACCTGCATCCCGTTCATTTACCACGCACAATATCCGTAAGTCTCCTTCTCTTCCCACACCCATTGCAATGTTTACGCACCTTGTACGGCTTGACATCTCGCGCCACGTCTTCCTAGAACGTGCTGTAGTTGTCGTTCACCAGGATCTCGAGCAGTGACATGCCCGCCAGCAGTCGGTCCAGAGTGTCTGAGTCCATGACCGCCGTCTGGATGCTGAGCACCGCCGACTTCTTGTGGTTGCCGCTCTTGAAATTGCACAGCAGCGTCATCTACAGCAGGTTGCTCTTGAGCGCGCAGGACGGCGAGCCAAAGGCATAGAACCGCTCACGCCGCCGTAGATCTCGGAGCTTGGCACCACGATCATCTTGCGCAGCAGCAGGTTGTCCAGCGCCTTGTTGTCGCTCTTCCTGAGACCGTCCTCGGCGGAGGTCTGCAGCACCGTAGGCATCTCAAGCCCCAACTTGAGCTTCTTGAGATCGTCGACGATGGCCTGGGCGGCCTCGCCCGCCGCGCTTCTGCTTCTGCTTCTGCTTCTGCTGGCGCACGTGCACGCAAATGACGAGTGACAGTCACAGCTAGATGTGTACAGTAGCGATGCGGAGGGTGCTCTCCGTTTTCGCCGTCGTCTTGGCAGCGCCAGTCGCATCCATGCTCGACGTTCTCTCCGCAGGCTCGGCTTCGACTGTTTCGTCAGAGAACGGCGTAAACTTTGATATCGAATCTAAATGCTATTGACCAAAACTATTAGAAATCACCGACGCGTACTAGCACTCTAATTGGACATAATCTTTCCTCTTTCATCCAATTGGCGTCGTTATTCTACCCCTGAGATTTGATATTCAATGTCTTGTTATACCGTTTATACATTAATTTTAAGGAGTACATTGTAGAAATGCATACTTTTATAATCCGACTCAATCCGGATTATCCGGATTCAAGTCGGATGCATCCGGTTGTGCAATCCGGATTCCGTTTGCAACCGGTTTACATTCTCTAGTTCTTGCAAGATGAACTGCACATTGCGTCTCCACCGAATGCTCCAGTCCTTTTGATTGGCATGTAAGACCAGTTCAACTTCAACGTCAACATGTAATCTAGCAGCCCCTGCCACCAGAAAAGCCCAAACACGACGTTGGCTCGTACACCGACAGCGCGTGCACCGCCACCACGAACACCAAGCTCAGACACAACAGCACCAGCAGACCCACTCCACGGACCGTCGAGTTTCCGCTTCGCACCTTCATCTCGTGCGCCTCGCTCGCGTGCTTCGGCAACACCAACAGCCACAGCAGCGACACCAGCTGCAACGCGTACGCGATGAAGAACGTCGCCATGATGCTCTCGCGCACACCAGTCGTGTCGCTCATGATGTCCTGGTTCGCCACGTCAAACAGCGCGTCCACGTACTTGGACAGCGCGAGACCGAGCGGACCGGCCAGGAACGACACGCTCGTGACCAGCGCACTCACCGTGGAGTAAGCGCTCGCATCGGCGATCTCCGTCAGCACGACCGTAGAAATCGTGTAGTCCAGCGCCGACGGAATCGCCTCCAGTACGGGCAGACCGATCCAGAACCACTGGCTGCGCACCACGCCCCAGATCGTGAACAGCGTCGCGCCACAGTCCAGCATCAGCGCAGCGATCGTGCCCACGACGATCACCGCGCGGTAGTCCACGTCCCAGTCCTCCTGCTTGCCCACCCAGCTCAACGCCCACAGCACCACGACGATGGCCACGAACGACACGACCGTGTCGTTCAGAGGCTGCACGCCAGCGTAGTAGAACGCGACCGGGTTCACCGCCGTGGCGCTCACGCCAGCGCACACGCCGCCCACGAACCGGCACAGCAGCACGTGGTTCAGCGCGCAGTTGTGCACGAGCGACCAGATCTGTCGCAGCGACTGGCGCAGCGACCGGCGCTCTCGAGCCGTCTCGCCCACCGTGAAGCCCAGCAAAGCCACCGGCAGCATGGACACCAGTCCCACCAGCAGCATCACCTGCGTGTACTCGAGCGAGAAGTCAAAGTCTCCGCCGTAGTCCCACCCGCTCATGCCCACGCCCATGAACAGGAAGCAGCCCAGCATGGCCAGCACACGGTACTTGGTCATCACCGGCTGCAGCACGTCGTCCTCGTCGCGTGGAGACACCGACACGCCCAAGTGGTGCGTCGCCACATCTCGGATCAGCTCGTCCCCAGCGACGTCGGCCAGCACGAACCCCACAGAGGCCACGCTCATCAGCATCACGTAGAAGGCGCCGTGGGCTGGAGCGTCCAGGTTGATCGAGCTCAGCTGCTGCGGCGACAGCTCCGTCAGCGGGGTGCCGACCATCTTGCGGTCCTGGAAGTACGGCGTCGGCTGCTCCCGGAAGTAGATGGCGATCAGAGCGCAAGCCGTGACGCTCCAGCCCAGCATCATCACAGCGCGGAGATGGAAGCCGCGAGGCAGCAGCGGGAAGCAGTGCACGAACAGCGCGAAGATCGGCTTGAGCGCCCACGGCAGACCGAGCAGCGTGCGCGCCGACAGCGTCTGCGTGCCTTCCATGTTGAGGTTGCAGGTGAGGAAGGGGTAGACGCACAGCGGTAGGACGGTGCTGACGATGCCGATAGCGACGCTGTGGAGCACGAGGCCGCACCACCGACGGTCCCAAATGTTGACCGCCGGGGTCTCCGATGGAGCCCTTGAATCGCCGATCTCCAAGTGCTGTAGCTGTTCCGGATCTCGCAGTAAACTATCGGGTGGTGACCCCATGCAAACGAAGGCGTCGCTTGATGCTGTAGTTCTCCGCTTCCGATCTTGTTGGCGCTGCTGCTCGTCGTCACTGGTGAGCTCACGATCACGCTGCGACAGACTCGACCGCGAGAGCCTCAACATGATGTCTCTCACGGGCGGATCGCCCAGTCGACTCATTTTCCCTCGACTCCACGGTATTCCAGCAGTAAGCTTACTCGCCCGAAAATGAGGAATGAGCTCATTCCGTCCGGTAGTCTGGTCGACTATCCGCGTGTGCTACGAAATGGGGCTGAACCCACCCCAGATCGCATGCCGCAGTTGTTAAGGTTTGAAGCCGTATTTGCTTGAAATAAACAACGGCTTCTGTCGCGTCTTGGAATCAACATGGAGATGTTCACCCCCGGCCGCTGGATCGTCTCAGAACCTGCAACGCTCACCACCTCACTCCTTCCATCCAAGCAGCGTTACTGTCGATAGTTCAGGCTGGACTTGAGCCAGTGGTTCAAGTTAATAGAGTTAGTACAGTGGCTGCAACCGTCTCGTACTTCGCGTGATTGTCGGCTGCGTGGCGTCGGACGCGCTCTCCAACTTCGCATACTCTCCAATGAGGTATCGCGCGTTCTCCTGCGCCTCGTCGAGCATGCCGACGTCCATGAACTCGGTGTAGTGGTGCATGTGCGCCCTACGGCTGTAGAGCTTGTGGAAGCGCGTGTGCAGACGCTCAAACGTCTCGCGGATGCAGCAGTTGTTGGACAGACACAGCAGCGACGACTTCTGCCCCACAGGCGGCACTGAGCAGACGCCGACCTTGAAGCCCTCTTGATTCCAGTGGATCATGCGCACTTCGGACTGCAGGCGCTGGATGTTGGCGTTGATGTCGGACACCTCGACGTTTCCACGCATCAAGAGGCCGCACGCCAAGTAGACGCTAGCTCGGGGGTTGGCCCGGATGAGCTGATGGTCCCTGCCGTAAACGCACATATAAAGGTTAGTATCTCCGCAGTACCCCACCCATTGTCACCCCAGACCACACGTACCTTTGAAATGCCTCGGAGAACATTTGGTTCAGTCGGCGAGGCTGCTGCCTCGGGTCGGCCGTCGCGAAGACCGGACTCATGCTCGAGAGCAAGAAGTGGAGCTTGGGGAACGGCACCAGGTTGGTCGTGATCTCGTTCAGATCTACGTTCAAGGATCCCTCGAACCTCATGGAGCTGGTCAGATTCGTCAGCAGCCGGGCCACGATATTGTTCATCTCCCCGAACGCGCTCGTCTTCTTCTGAGCCCCAGCGAAAGCTGCTGCTGCTCCGCCCTTCTTCTTGGCCAGCCTGGTGGCCGCTGCCGGGGGGCCTTTGCCACTCTTGTAGAACTTCTCCAGCTGCCTCAAGTCCACACCGTCCGTGAGCCGCGAGTCGTCCACTACTCGAGCCGCGCTCTCCTCCGAGCCGAAGCCTGAGAGCGCGGCCGACGCCGTCCCCCTGTCGATTTTGGCGCACATTTCCATCAGCGCCTCGTTCTCAATGGGCAGCACGCAGTCCGCGTGCTCCGTGAGCTCTCGCAGGGCCAGCATGCTGTTGTACGGAGACGTGACCACGTCGTCGTCCTCGGACGGGAAGACGACGGTCGCGAACCGATACACGTCCGGGTACTGGTCCTCCAGCAGCCCCAGGATGTACGTGCCGAGCCCCGAGCCCGTGCCTCCGCCCATGGAGTGCATGACGAAGAAGGACTGCAGCGAGTCGCAGAGCTCCACGGCCTGGTGCAGCTTGTCCTGCAACTGCTCGTCGTACTTGGGGCCGTAGACGCAGTGGCCGTGCGCCCAATTGTTGCCCGAGCCGGACACGTCCGTGAGCAGCTGCTGCTGGTCGAAGAGCTCGCCCAACGGCCCGGCCATCGTCTCGGCCACGGGGCCCTGCTCCATGTCCACGAGGATGGCGCGCGCCTTGAGCGACCTGATGGCCGACCGGCCCGCGTTGAACGGCAGGTCCATGGGCGGCGAGGCGCGCGCGTCCACGTTGCGGAAGAAGCTGCTCATGCTCTCGTCGAACACGGCGCGCCGCGAGTGCTGCGCGTGCTCCTCCAGCGCCAGCTGCCAGAACTGGCGGCCGATCTGGTTGCCGCATTGGCCCACCTGCAGAGTGATGAGCTCGCGCGGCATCGGCCCCGAGCCTCCTGCTTTGATACGGCTGCGCTTGGATGCACAGGAGTCGACAAAACCGGGTATCACAACATGGCTACAGTTTTACTGTAGCCATGTTGTACCATAATTTCATGTGGGTCTCCCCGAAACACTCCGTGCCACGGATCATCCACGCTGCTGCATCTATCGTTTGGACCTTTTGATGCGCTACATATTCGACCTCAACTCGTGCATGTTACTGACGAGGAGGAGCATCTTCAGCTTCATCTTCAGAAGTACCGGCAATGGTTTGGCACCACAGAAAATCTTGTCGCCATGCAGCACCAAACTCACGACGGAACCGCTGCATCGGCTGAGTGTGCCGTGTGAAGTCAAACTATACAACTGCCAGGTAGTTTGCTTTCCAGTATTTGTCAAAATAAACTTTAGATGAAGTATTTAGCTCAAGCAAGAAGTTGGCCGTGCTCGAGGGCCACCACCACCACCAGCACCCGCAGTCGCTGAGCGAGATCGCGCGCTGCAGCATGAGCGTGCTGGACGAGGTCATCGAGTTCGAGCTCACCAAGAACGTATGAGCGGTAGTAGGTTGTGAGTATTTCCAATCGTATATTGATATAGTACATGTAGACTTTGGATCCCCGTCATTTCCCGAAGGACGTTCGTCAATCTTCGTTGTAGGATACGCTGCAGATCCGATGCGGCGCCATTATTGGCATTTCGTGTAGTGCACGCATTGCAGCGCGGGGCTGGCAAGCAGCAAGCAAGCAGGTAGGTAGGTATGTAGGCAGGCGAGCAGAAGCACCGTTGCCTGCTGTGTTCGCGTTCGTGTAGCGCCAGCGGAGCCGAGTCGAGCGCGCGATAGGCCGACACGTCAATCGGTCGCTGCCTCCGACAGGCCGGCCGGCTTCACTTCAACCACGTGGGCTGGGCCTCGCTCTGGCACCTGCGGTGGACACCGCCGGCAAGGAACAAGCATGGCGCACGGGCCGAACTGCAACGCGCGAGCTTGAACTGCAAGGGCGTGGGAACGATCAAATCGAGGACAAGCTCTTTCTGCGCAGGTGGTGTCCTGCTCTTTTCCTCGACTTCAAGTTGCCTCTCTGAGCTTTCGCACCGGCACCCGTATTGGAGGTGCCCCACCAAGCTCTTGCACCAGAATCCAGACACGTAATACGGGCAAGCGCTTCCTGCAGCTGTTGACTCGCGAGGCCCACGTCCGTGTGAGCTAGCCTCGTCTCTTTAAGATCGCGTTACGGTGCAGGAGCCGCTGCAGCAGCAGCAGCAGCAGGAGGAGGAGGCTGCTAGGATATCTGCACGAACACCGACCGACCGACCGCGCTCTGACCCACAGCTTCGCAGCTCCTGGGCAATTTTTGCTTGCCTGCCAAACTTTGGCCCTAGGCGCGCGCGTACCATCAAGCACCTGACCAACCTGACGTCACGCGCGGAGGCGTGCGTTGGCGGAGACAAGTTCAACTTCACGGTGTCGCGCTGCGATCGAGCCTCGCTGTTAAACGAGCGCCGCGGCAAGAGAGAGAGAGAGCTGATCCTGGTTGCTTTGGGCGGGCGGCTTGCCGGTTTCCGGTGCGAAGGCTGCTGATGAACGGGTGTTTGCAAATCCTACTCGCCAGAGCTTCAACTGCCCAGGACCAGGCCGTCCGAAGCGCTACATACATGTACATACAGTATTACGGCAGGTGCAACAGCAACAACAGCAGAATTTTGTCTACATGTAGCTGCCAGCGCACGCACCGGCAGCGTGGCGTACGTATCCCTGCCTTCGAGTCGGTCTGTTGCCGGCGACATATGATGATGTCTGTACTGCCCTGTGTGCCTGCTCGCAGCATTGGAATCTCAGCTTCAAGCTCAGCTTCTTCGAGCTCGCTGGTTGTGCCCAATTTCGCCTGCGCTGTTCGCCGCTCGGCGAGACGCCCGGGCTGGTGCTTACATGTAGAAGAGCTGCGAGCGTCGCCGCATTGCAGGCGATCGCATCGTCTCCGAAAAGTCACCACCCGGACTGACAAGTGCTCGGGCGTGGTCCTGCCAGTATGTACAGGTTGCAGTACTACCTCAAGTTCGCCTGGTCACATGAGAGACAAGTCGGGCGCATCGCGTCCCGGATGTGCTGCACCCGATCGATGCCAGGCAGACTTGCCTGGACCTCTGCAAAATTTGCTTGAGCGAGCAGCGCGGAGCGCTCAGTCGAGTTTGGACAAGGCGGAGAGCGGAGTCGACCCAGGCCGGCAGACGTACATGTAGACGCAGGGGAGGAACCTCTGCGCCCCGACAAGAGCGCCAGCCATTGTCCGGTGACTGAAATCTCTCCTCTCTCCGAGATACGTTTGCCCTGTGTGTTCATGCCGTGGCGCGATACTGTTCTGCAGCACATTAGTCCGACCTCGGCGCCGCTTTCGCTGTCAAGAGCTGCGCATGTACGTATGTATGTACCGCGCCTCGGCCTTCACAAGTCGTCACTAAGTCGCTCGATCGTCGCGATTTGTGTTTCAGATGCATGCATATGCAGCCCATCGCCATGGCCGCGTTAAAATGGGGCCACGTTATCCGAAATGCACGACGTCTACGCTAATGGGACGCCGGGCCTGTGTGTATCAAGTCGGTGGGTGGGTGTTGGGCGTACGAGGGTTTCTGTGTCTCTAGACTGATAACAGTACCAGCGCACAGTACGGCGGCTTTCGCGAAAACGTTTGCGCTGGCAACTAATGCCACGGCGTTCTTCCATCGGCCAAGGCGAGCAGGAGCTACATGTATTTACATGAATGGTCAACGTTAGTCGACGTTGTAGCGCGTTGTTGCGGTGCGGAGGTGCAGGCTAGCGCGAGTGGCGCGGCGAGGGTCATCGAGGCGTTTACCACCTGACGCGCGTGAACACGGCGTTTCCAGCAATCGGTTTCGATGCTTGAAGGGATACTAGCAATAATGAATGATCCCTCACGCCTGCGACTTACCATGAAGCGATTATCGTACTAAAAACATGTACGCCTTCGTAACGTGCATGGTTAATTTGATTTAATGTTTGACGGAGCTAGTGTTTGCTCATGCTCATCGTATCCGAAAGTATCGAGTCGTGGCGGGTCACTTTTCACAGGCATCGGGCCACCCTTCATCTGTACGGCCGCGAACGCGTTCCTGAGACACGGATTGTAGCTGAACAGAGCCATCAATTAGTTGTATCTTGCACTGCAGGCGTCGAGTCGTGGAAACATGAACGTTCTACCGAAAATCGTGAATACCTCGGACAGCAACACACCCACTCTTGTACAACTTTTGCTTCGGTTAACAGTAAGCTTATGCATTCTCATGCAAATTAAAACAACACTGTAGTCGAGCTACAAAACGCGTCAACCGGCATAACCTTATACTACGTACCAGTTAGTAGTACTCGAACACCTCAACACAATGACAAAAATGTGTATCAATAACGTCTAATACGTTTTTCTCCAAAACTGGGTATCCCTTCAAGCATCGAAACCGATTGCTGGAAACGCCGTGTTCACGCGCGTCAGGTGGTAAACGCCTCGATGACCCTCGCCGCGCCACTCGCGCTAGCCTGCACCTCCGCACCGCAACAACGCGCTACAACGTCGACTAACGTTGACCATTCATGTAAATACATGTAGCTCCTGCTCGCCTTGGCCGATGGAAGAAGAACGCCGTGGCATTAGTTGCCAGCGCAAACGTTTTCGCGAAAGCCGCCGTACTGTGCGCTGGTACTGTTATCAGTCTAGAGACACAGAAACCCTCGTACGCCCAACACCCACCCACCGACTTGATACACACAGGCCCGGCGTCCCATTAGCGTAGACGTCGTGCATTTCGGATAACGTGGCCCCATTTTAACGCGGCCATGGCGATGGGCTGCATATGCATGCATCTGAAACACAAATCGCGACGATCGAGCGACTTAGTGACGACTTGTGAAGGCCGAGGCGCGGTACATACATACGTACATGCGCAGCTCTTGACAGCGAAAGCGGCGCCGAGGTCGGACTAATGTGCTGCAGAACAGTATCGCGCCACGGCATGAACACACAGGGCAAACGTATCTCGGAGAGAGGAGAGATTTCAGTCACCGGACAATGGCTGGCGCTCTTGTCGGGGCGCAGAGGTTCCTCCCCTGCGTCTACATGTACGTCTGCCGGCCTGGGTCGACTCCGCTCTCCGCCTTGTCCAAACTCGACTGAGCGCTCCGCGCTGCTCGCTCAAGCAAATTTTGCAGAGGTCCAGGCAAGTCTGCCTGGCATCGATCGGGTGCAGCACATCCGGGACGCGATGCGCCCGACTTGTCTCTCATGTGACCAGGCGAACTTGAGGTAGTACTGCAACCTGTACATACTGGCAGGACCACGCCCGAGCACTTGTCAGTCCGGGTGGTGACTTTTCGGAGACGATGCGATCGCCTGCAATGCGGCGACGCTCGCAGCTCTTCTACATGTAAGCACCAGCCCGGGCGTCTCGCCGAGCGGCGAACAGCGCAGGCGAAATTGGGCACAACCAGCGAGCTCGAAGAAGCTGAGCTTGAAGCTGAGATTCCAATGCTGCGAGCAGGCACACAGGGCAGTACAGACATCATCATATGTCGCCGGCAACAGACCGACTCGAAGGCAGGGATACGTACGCCACGCTGCCGGTGCGTGCGCTGGCAGCTACATGTAGACAAAATTCTGCTGTTGTTGCTGTTGCACCTGCCGTAATACTGTATGTACATGTATGTAGCGCTTCGGACGGCCTGGTCCTGGGCAGTTGAAGCTCTGGCGAGTAGGATTTGCAAACACCCGTTCATCAGCAGCCTTCGCACCGGAAACCGGCAAGCCGCCCGCCCAAAGCAACCAGGATCAGCTCTCTCTCTCTCTTGCCGCGGCGCTCGTTTAACAGCGAGGCTCGATCGCAGCGCGACACCGTGAAGTTGAACTTGTCTCCGCCAACGCACGCCTCCGCGCGTGACGTCAGGTTGGTCAGGTGCTTGATGGTACGCGCGCGCCTAGGGCCAAAGTTTGGCAGGCAAGCAAAAATTGCCCAGGAGCTGCGAAGCTGTGGGTCAGAGCGCGGTCGGTCGGTCGGTGTTCGTGCAGATATCCTAGCAGCCTCCTCCTCCTGCTGCTGCTGCTGCTGCAGCGGCTCCTGCACCGTAACGCGATCTTAAAGAGACGAGGCTAGCTCACACGGACGTGGGCCTCGCGAGTCAACAGCTGCAGGAAGCGCTTGCCCGTATTACGTGTCTGGATTCTGGTGCAAGAGCTTGGTGGGGCACCTCCAATACGGGTGCCGGTGCGAAAGCTCAGAGAGGCAACTTGAAGTCGAGGAAAAGAGCAGGACACCACCTGCGCAGAAAGAGCTTGTCCTCGATTTGATCGTTCCCACGCCCTTGCAGTTCAAGCTCGCGCGTTGCAGTTCGGCCCGTGCGCCATGCTTGTTCCTTGCCGGCGGTGTCCACCGCAGGTGCCAGAGCGAGGCCCAGCCCACGTGGTTGAAGTGAAGCCGGCCGGCCTGTCGGAGGCAGCGACCGATTGACGTGTCGGCCTATCGCGCGCTCGACTCGGCTCCGCTGGCGCTACACGAACGCGAACACGGCAGGCAACGGTGCTTCTGCTCGCCTGCCTACATACCTACCTACCTGCTTGCTTGCTGCTTGCCAGCCCCGCGCTGCAATGCGTGCACTACACGAAATGCCAATAATGGCGCCGCATCGGATCTGCAGCGTATCCTACAACGAAGATTGACGAACGTCCTTCGGGAAATGACGGGGATCCAAAGTCTACATGTACTATATCAATATACGATTGGAAATACTCACAACCTACTACCGCTCATACGTTCTTGGTGAGCTCGAACTCGATGACCTCGTCCAGCACGCTCATGCTGCAGCGCGCGATCTCGCTCAGCGACTGCGGGTGCTGGTGGTGGTGGTGGCCCTCGAGCACGGCTAGCTCCTGCGGCCGGGCCGCGAACGGCTGCACGGGTGGCTCGCAAGCCATTTGGAAGGCTGAGAGCTCGTCCTGGAACAACGACAGCTCGACCGAGTCGGGCGAGAAGACCGGGGTCGGCTCGATCTTGGCCAGCATGTGAGGCGACGGCATGTCATGCCGGACGTCGGCAATGTGCAGGGGTTGCGAATGGATGCCATTCGGAGCCTCTGGCCGGTGCATGGGGGACGGCATGACGGGGCGCGGGAACTGGTAGGACGGGTAGGTTGTGGTAGTCCGCACGAGCTCCGGGTGGCGGTTCTTGATGTGCCGCGTGAGGTTGCCGGCCGTGCTGAAGGTCTTGGTGCAGCCGGTGGCTCGGCACATGTGGGTCCTCCGGCCCGTGTGGATCTTGATGTGGTGGTCGAGCTTCTCCTGGCTGGGGAAGGAGCGCTTGCAGCCGTTGATGTCGCACTCGAAGGGCTTGAGCGACGCGTGCAGGCGCTTGTGGCGCGCCAGGTTGCCGGACGTGCTGAAGCGCCGGCTGCACTCGGCCAGCGGGCACACGTAGGGCTTCTCGCCCGTGTGGGTCTTCTTGTGCTCGCTGAGCGTGAACTTGCGGTTGAAGCGCCGGCCGCAGCCGGGCTCCTCGCAGACGAAGGGCCGGTCCTTGGTGTTGTTGTTGATGCTGCTGTTGTTGCTGCTGCTGGTGCTGCTGCCGCTGGGCGAGGCTGCGGCCATCGGCACCGGCATGGGCGCGGCCTCGTAGGCGCCGAAGACCAGGCGGCTGCTGGAGCGGGGCGAGAGCGGCTGGGCGAGGAGCGACATCATGGTGAAGGAGGGCGGTGGTGGCGGTGGGGCTGTTGACTCACTGCGGCGTGCTGCCTGGGCGGCGGCCAAACGTAAAATGATCCGCTACGAGCAGCCCGCGCGCGGCCTGATGTGGTGAGCGGCAGCCAGCTGGCGCCGTCGCCGAACTCGCCCATTCCGAGATGGGTAAACCACTCGCCGCGCGTGACTCGCCAAGGGGACCCATTCGCGGGCTGGCCCGGCCGTGGCTGCCGAGAGGGAACCGGATGGCCGCCGAAATACTTTAGACACGCCTGATGGCCCGGCGGCTTGAAGCAGAGCCCTTTGAAGCCCCGCGGCCAGAGCGGCCCTCGCACCTGCGCGCAGTCGTCGGCTCGCCACCGGCACTGCCGTGCCGGTCCGGCAGTGGCGGCAGTGCCCTAGCGCCATCGCCGCCGAGCAGGTGAGGCCCGCGCGCACGCATGGAGAGCGACGCCAAAGACTCGCGCGAACCGTCTTCTGCGACCGTGGGAGGCGCATCTCCGCCGGCCATGGAGTCATGCCAAATCCGAGCGGAGCCGCTGGAGGCGACTGGAGCTTCAGCGCGCTGGCTGGCCTGCCGACGGCGTGCCGGCGGGCAGAACAGCGCTCGCTGCGTCTCGACGCGGTGGCAGCAGCAGCCCCCGCAGTCGCCGTCCTGCCTGGTGTGTTGAGACCGGGCGGCGTTAAACCAGTCGGGCTTTGCTCGGTGGAGCGCGCCGCCAGCCGGGAAGCCATCATCATCGCGAGCGTCCTGCAGAGTGTCCCCATGCGAATTGCACTGCCGCGACGAGAGAGATTGACGCAACTTGAGCCCGCTTCGATCTCGATGATCTGCTCGCCTCTCAACGACTCGCCGCGGAGCTTGTGCAGGCTGCAGTGCAGCGAGCTGCCATCAACCGCGCCAGCCGCCGGAGCCAGCGCTCCGGGCCCCACTCGGCACAAGCAGCGTCGGCGCTTGCGCAAAGCGGCGAGTATCACGGCTGCTTGAAGCGCGCGGCAGAGTCCGGGTCGCCAGTGTACCAACTTTGGACCATAAACAGCCTTCTTTGGGACAATGGCAACCTAAAAAAGACGAGAACAACCAAAAGAGCTGGAAAGTGATCGTCAACAACCACTTTTTCGATCACTAGCAACCTGTCCTTTCTACTGCCCTTTCTCCAGGTTCCTGCGCTAAGCCGGGCGCCTGCGAATGGCCGCTACACAAACTACATGTACATCTACTTGAGCTCAGTATAGCTTTGCCTGGTTCAAATTCAAAATAACTCGCGCGCGTTAAAATGGTCCAGATGCTTCAGAATAACCCGCGCGAGTTAATTTGAATTAAATTACTCGCGAGACATCATAAAGTGAGTTGTATTAATACATGGAGAATAGACTCCGGTTGCGCATGCGTATAGGCAGCTATTAGGAGTTGTTATAATGTGGCGTCATGCGAGGTACGGAGCTGATATGAGGCCAATTATACTGTTTTAAATTGAAATGGCACGTACTAGAGTATACTGTACTGTGAGTTTAGTAAAGGGTAATTATACGTGAGCATTTCGGAATTCAACCCGAGCACGGTAGCCACAAAGTAATCCGTGTGAACAAATGCATACATTTAGTTTGTCTTAGGATGCAATGTATCACAACATACCCAGATTGTCCCTTACATGTGAGTGTCGTGTAGGAACACGCACTAAATTATATAATAGCACACTTTCCCTACCAACAACACCCACCAAGTCCCAATGACTCAATGGGCTTGTTAAGGTTAGAACCGGAAGGCCCAGGAACTTTCCCTTGCACCAGGTTGATGTTTCCTCTGTGCACCGTGTTTCCGCTTAGTCAACTGACGGAAACCCAGCGTCACAAGCCACGAGCAAAGGCTGGCACGCTCTCACACGCAATATAAACCTCGCAGGCCCTCAGGCAAGAAGGGTCCCAGCCAGTCACGGCTTGATACGAGGGTACCGGAGCTATACTCCGGCGGGAAGGATAAATGGAGTGCGCTCTCGCTCCTCCACTACTCGGCGATGACTCGCCCTTCGTATACACGGCCACTTCTTCACTACTCTTGGCCTGACCACGGGTAAACGCACGCTACGATACTAGCAGGCGCGTCCACCGACAGTCATAATCCTACCAACAGGTTTATCCAATTGCTACGGGAACTCACCGATAGCCCGGACGTCTTCCTTGAGTGGTTGGGAGGAAAAGCTGTTTTGTTCTTGTTGCCCAAAGGGCTTATCTGTTCTATCTTCTCTTTCCTATGATTCAATACAAATATCTAGTATAAACGCGTCCGTTTTGGATCTTTCCAAGTAACCACCGACCCTTCAGAGCCTCCTCGACGCCCCAAGAGGCCTCTCGATGACTCTATTGGACGATGAAGTCTTGGAGCAGTCGCCGGGGCTCGAACGGTCGTCTTAAGTGCGGATCTTGGGTCGAAGTTCGCTGTAAGTTCGGATCGTTCTTGAAGTCCTGGGTCTCGAACTTGGGTGTCGACGAGTCTTCGGCACCGGTCCAGAATGGCCAATCAGCATCCGCCGAACATTGCGGAACATGTCCCGACGACTCGGGTCGCCACATAAGCTTGGTCGTCAGCTCGATTCTCGTTTACTGCCAAATCACTACACCACATGAGTATATGCCGATTGAGTGAGTAAAACGTTTTAGTAAGGTTCGCACCAGTTCCTGCCTCTAAGCCACCGGGTAGCCGCTTCCCCTGTTATCAGAGATGGTAGTGGTGTGTATGGTTACGACGCATTGTTTGATTTTATCTGTGTGGAGCATTTATACAGAACTTACAGCTCTACTCAGAGATTCGATAATATATAGAGAGTAGTTGGGTATCACCTCGTATTCTAGTGCCTCGTGCTGAACCACCTAAGTGTCCGTTATACTACTCAGCTAGCGTGGATACCTTGCATGCTAAAGTATATATGGCATATTTCAAGTGGCAACGTATAACCTTCAAAAATACTCAGGGCTATTTATCAGGCTTAAGAATTTCAGCGAGCCAACCAGCATACTAAGTACTTAAGTACTTCAGTATTTTGTTTTGGAAATAAGGTATATAGAGTTCACTTACACTAGTAACGAGTATCCATAGCCATAACGCTCACTGCCTCGATGTTAGTGACAATCAGCACAATGGTCCGCGTTGGGGTTTCAAACCACGAACCCTTTCGCACTGCATACTTTTAAATAAAGGCGTTAGGACTCAACCAACCTCTCTATAACTACTAATCCTAGGCGCGTTGAGGTGCAACTACAACGTCTGAATTTGGAGCAATATGTATGTGTGCACTACGATGCGAAAATTCGCTGGGAATTGTAGCTATATTGTGACCGACGAGTAAATATTAAAGGCGCACACCCTTGCTGTGAGTGGCATTTGAGCTAACTGTAAGTCGTGTGACTTTCCAGTCAAAAACGCTTACTCAAGTAGTATATCCTACCTCTTCAATACGAGCTTTCCACAATAACTTCACTAAAACAGACGTGTTAGCCCCCCTCATGAACGTTATTGCTCGTTGTGCAGTTACATCGTAGCCGACGTTATATATCAACTTTGGAATTTGAATTTGTTGGGCGTTAGACGGCTATCTACCACTACCATTACGATGTACTGGTGTAGCCTCACCAACAGTCCACGTGCCTCGATGACTCGAGTCTGCGGTAGTGGTCCACGAAATTATAGTCTACAATCTAACTCGCTAAGAACGATGTTTGTTTGGTTCATTGCTATTTACTTGTGCAGTTAGTTGACTATACCTCGTTCTTATTTGATTCCAACACTCTCTGGGGTAATGAGCATTGTTGGTACCATTCTTGCAAGTTTTTACAGGATTGAATGTTGACGGTATTTTACCCAGTCACACAGCTTCATTGAAATATCTAAGCCAATTTTCTCACTTTACCAACCTGATCGTTTAGCAACTTTCGAGCTTGACGCATGTAGCTGTTATGAATCAAACTAACTCGAGCAGTTTTGAATCCACTGCTCATATTAACTCGCGCGAGTTGTTTTGAATCCACTACTTCATATTAACTCGCGCGAGTTATTTTGAATCCACGACTTCGTATTAACTCGCGCGAGTTGTTTTGAATCCACGACTTCATATTAACTCGCGCGAGTTATTTTGAAGTAGACATTAATCATTCTTAGAGGTCAATAGGCATGTCGGCACGTTGTTGGCACCGTCCTGTTCGCGGCTCAGCTCGCCGCCACCTGTAGACAATGCCTGCGTCCTTTTGGTGGTTTTGGTGTTGGTGGACCGTGACACGAACTTGCGATATGCGGTGTAATACACCGCACAGAAAAGCAACCACTTTTAAGTACAGAACCGAGTAATACAGGATCGGTTCTGTACACAAAAGTGGTTGCTGGTGCCCGTTTGGTGTGGTTGCTGATGTACAAATCGCAGGTTGTTATCGTCCTTTACTCCGCGCGGCAAGGCAAGACTCGGCTCGCGTGACACGGGCCCGTCAAACAGCCGTGACGCGCTCCACATCACGTCTCGCTGCCCCTGCGCTGCATTGCGCTCGGGATGGCCGCCTTCGCTTCACGCGAGGGCGGACTGCCGTCCGGACGGCGCCGACATAAGGCTCCGCTCGAACTCGAACTGTCTTCTTGGTCTCCACCGCCGCCGCGGTCGCCTCAAGTTGCCTCAAGTCGCCGCAGCCTGGTCACATGCCGGGCGGAGATACGGCGCGCTTGACTCGGATGTGCTGCACGCCGACATATTCGCGCTGTCCGGCGTTCGTCCACAGGCGTCGACGTCTCCACGCATCTCCGCGCGGCAGTACAAGGCACCCTCGCCGTCTAACCATCGGAACGGCAGGATGGACCTTCTTCAAGCAGCGCATTTGGATGCAGCAGCAGCAGCACCCACGACGTGAAGCAGGCCGGCTCGGCTACCACGAGGAGCATCCTCGTCGCCCGCAGCAGGCCGAGTAGCTCAGCACAGTTGCAGCCAGTGAGTCAACGCAGACTAACGGCAACCGCCTTAATGGCCTAGCAGGACAGCGCTCGCGGCAGGCAAGGCCATGACGCTGTACAGACAGCGGTCTTCTCACTCGCTGATCACACGAACCAATTCACAGGTCGAAGACCTGTGCTTGGCCCCGGCAAAAAACTTGTAACTTTCCAAAACCGGGTACCAAACCGGGTCTCTCTTTCTTAATTGTAATGTTTAAGCTAATATCTGCCGGAATCAGGTACCCGTCGATAAATGCTAAGATTTATGCACATTATTTACCAAAGGTTGATACTAATCGTTTATTATTTACCAAAACCTGCATTCAACACTTACGGACGCTCCAACACTATGAGAGCCATGGCTTCGCTAAAGGCGTATCAATTTGCGCCATAATCGACCAAGCTTAGCTTGCGGAATGAGAAATACGCTAATGGGCCAATTCCTTGGAAGTGGATGCTTCAACGCAGGGAAAAAGTCTTATTCAAACGAACGATGCTCGTGTCACTGTCGAGTTGAGCTGATTGGTTTGGCGACAGACACGAGGTTGGGCATCTTCGGCTAAGAGTGATTGGGTATTGAGCAAATTGACGTGTAGAAAATGCAGCCTGCACCTAGACAAGTCATGTTGGTCAACTTCACATGCCCCCCAAGCCCTCAAGTTAAAAGTTTGTTTGTTTGTTTGTTTTGTTTTTGAATTGAGGATCATTATTGTCACTGAGCTAACATCCTCAAGTTAAAAGGTCAAGATCAGCGCACCATGCGTATCTCCTTCGTTCTGCTACTGTTGCTCTCTCGTCTGATCGTTAGCACACAACATAGTACAAAAATGAGCACAGTATACTTTACCTGCAAAATAAATGAAATAGCTCTCTCGTTGCTGGCGCCAACGCAGCCATTGGACGCTGACCAGGGTGTTATGTCACCGATGGCCTCATCAGACCAGGCAACCTCAATTGGTGACTTTCGGTTCCTGAGAACCCATCACGATAAAGAAGAGCGGGGCTTGCTGGTTACCAGCCTCACAAAGGTTTAGCTAAAACATCATTTCCGTATCGATACACTTCGATGTGCGCAACTATTTGTTCAATTACGCATTCTCGGGCAGATGCTGCGGCTGCGAAGCAGGCGCGGTAGATGCCCACGTTAGAATCAACTAGAGAGTTGGGCTGGTAGTGCTTTTAAGGATTAAAAACAAAACAACTTTGGGATTTACTCAATTATTATCCGTTATCATCATCCATGAAACTATTCGTCGACCTGTGTACCCTCCCGGAGCAACGCTATTGCCAGCGCTTGTAGACCAGGCTCGACATGGCTACACTTTTCGTCGTCTCCTGATTGGCGCAAACGCAATCCTCATATCGACCAATCCCGACACTTCTTGCACGCGCCGGCACCCTCACTCTGACTTCCAGCGCCGACATGGGGCGTCTGCGCGTGCTGCTGCTGCTGGTCGCGGCCCTGCTGGGCGTCGCCCTCCTCTCGGCTGCCGACGACGCCGCAGTGCCATCGACGCCCGCAGTCCGCGGCGACGATCATCACGAGGATCACGACCACGACACCCACGACCAGGGAGCCCACGCCCACGATCACCACGACCATGACCATCACGATCACCTCAGTCATCAGACGACTGCTGCCGCCGCGCAGCCCAAGGCCGGAAGGTTCTCCCCGATCGTGTGGGGCCAGGCGCTGTTCGCCACCGCCTTGGTGGGCGCCGCGCCCGTGCTGGTGCTGCTGGTGGTGCCGCTGGGCGTCGGCAGCCAGGAGAAGCAGCAGCCGCTGCTGCGCGTGTTCCTGAGCTTCGCGGCCGGGGGGCTCCTGGGCGACGCGCTGCTGCACCTGCTGCCCCACTCGCTGCCCGAGGGCGCCGGCCACAGTCACGACCATGATCACGACCACGAGGGCCACGACCACGGGCTCTCGCACTCGCACTCGATGGCGGACCTCTACGTGTGGCTCTGGACGCTGGCCGGCATGCTGACGTTCCTCATGCTGGAGAAGTTTGTGCGAGCGCAGACTGGCGGCGGCCACGGACACTCCCACGGACACTCGCACCCCTCGGCGTCGGTGCAGGACGGCGGCGCCTCGCCGGTGGCCAACAAGACGACGGCCAGGAAGCGTGCCGTGTTCAAGGAGGGCAAGGGAGACGACGCCGAGGTGGCCCCTGACGACGATCCGCTGGTCCCGTCGGTGCCAGAGAAGAAGACCATTGCAGCCGCAGGCTACCTCAACCTGGCAGCAGACTTCTCGCACAACTTTACGGACGGGCTGGCCATCGGCGCGACATTCCTAAGAGGTACGGGTTGGACCACGACGGTGGCGATGCTTCTGCACGAACTGCCTCACGAGATCGGCGACTTCGCCATTCTCATCCAGTCGGGCTTCACGCGGCGCGAGGCGATGGTCACGCAGCTGCTGACGGCCATCGGAGCCATGATCGGAACGGTCATTGGTCTCCTGATGGAGGGCGCCGGGGACTCGAGCTCGGTGTGGATCTCCCCATTCACGGCTGGCGGCTTCATCTACATCGCGTGCACCAGCGTCATGCCGGAACTGCTGGAAGACTGCTCCCTCGCTCAGTCGCTTAAGGAGGCCACCGCTATGTGCGCGGGCATCGGCCTCATGGCCCTCATCGCGCTGAACGAGTAAGCATATACTACATCTTGCTAGGTACAGTAGAGACTTTAGTTCTGACGAGGATAGAAGGCCTCGAACACCAACATGAAAGTGCCAATGCTGTTTGTTTTGCTTTTATCGTTATTGGCGGCGTCGCTCGATATACATATGCATGACTAGCTGACGAACGCGGTCCGCACCTTGCTCGGCTGCCACGCCCTCCACCACAGTTACGAATCGACCTGCTCCAGCGCAGGACGGGTTGATGCTACTTGTCGGCTGTTTTCGTAATGCACACCTTTGCTCGCCTTCTTCTAGCACACGCACGCGCTCAATATGCTTACTTCGCATCCTCCTCCTCCTTCTTCTCGTCACCATCAGTCGGACTGTAGCCGCTCGCAGTCGGGTTGTAGCCCTCCGTAGGGTTATACTCGGGCGACGCTGGGCTGTAGCTTGGCGACGTTGGGCTGTACGCCGGAGACGTTGGCGAGTAGGCGGGCGACGTCGGGCTGTACGCTGGAGATGTGGGCGAGTAGGCAGGCGATGTGGGCGAGTACGCAGGCGATGTCGGCGAGTAGGCAGGCGACGTCGGCGAATACGCTGGTGATGTCGGACTGTAGGCTGGAGACGTCGGCGAGTACGCGGGTGTGTATGCCGGAGAAGTAGGACTGTAAGCCGGAGACGTCGGACTGTAGGCCGGAGACGTCGGGCTGTACGCAGGAGACGTCGGCGAGTACGCAGGCGAAGTCGGGCTGTAAGCTGGAGACGTCGGGCTGTATGCAGGCGATGTCGGCGAGTAAGCCGGAGACGTCGGGCTGTACGCTGGGGAAGTCGGCGAGTACGCCGGCGAAGTGGGGCTGTAGGCCGGAGACGTCGGGCTGTATGCCGGGGACGTCGGCGAATACGCTGGGGAAGTCGGGCTGTAAGCCGGCGAGGTCGGCGAGTATGCAGGCGACGTGGGGCTGTAAGCAGGTGACGTCGGCGAGTACGCGGGAGATGTCGGGCTGTAAGCAGGCGAAGTCGGACTGTACGCAGGCGAAGTGGGAGAGTAGGCTGGGGACATGGGGCTGTATGCAGGCGATGTGGGGTTCAGCGGAGACGCTGGGCTGTGCGCAGGCGAAGCCGCCATGAATCCGGGAGATGCCGGACTCGCCATGGGCGAGAAGGCACCAGCCGCCGGCGAGAACGAACCGCCACCAGGGCTGAACGGCGACGAGGCCGAAAAGCCCGGCGTCGACGCGAACGGAGTCGCCATCGGCGTACCAGGTCCTTGGTCCGGGCTCCTCCACTCGTTGTCGAGACCCTGCATCACCTGCTGGATCTCCGAAGCCTCGTACTCGATAGCGTTCGCAAGCTTCTTGGCGTCGAGCACCAGGTCCATGATACCCGTACCAAGAGGGGCCAGCTGGCCAAGCATCACATTTTCGGACACACCCGTCAACGGGTCACCCTCTGAGAACATAGCAGCATCCATCAGAATCTCCACCGTCTCCTCGAACGAACATCGGACAAGCGGGCCAGAGTCGTCACGGTTGATACCGTGGCGAGTGATAGCCATGAGGTGACCACGGAACGTCATCACGTCACACAAGCAAGCCAAATGCCGATAGTTCACATAAGCACCATCGAACGAAATAACCTGCCGGATTTCGTTCAGAAGAGCGCGACGAACGGCCTCAATACCCAGCACCTGAATGATTTCCACAATATCGTTCGAAATGGTACGGGTGGCATCGACCTGCGGGTAGCACATTACATCAAGCAAGTTCGTGCCATCCGTATCCAGCATCCACTCATTCATCATCTTGAAGCCAACGTCGTCGAACCAGTGCGTCGACGGGCCCTCGCGAATGTACACCTTCTTCACACCCTCAATACCGCGCAGCTTCATCTGCGTCAGCATGTTGTGTTCCACACGCTTCAGGAACGTGTCATCTTCCTGTCCTACGGCAGTCTCACCCGAGCGCTGGAGCTTCTCCTCCTCATCGCTCATAATACGAATACGCAGCACGAGACGATCGGCGTTATCATCCGTGAAGATACATGAAAGATCCTGACCGTACTCGGACTCAACCTGCGCGGCAATTTCGCCCATCGTCAGCTTCTTGTCGGCCATCATCTTCGGGTTCAGCTCGATACGCAGAAGCCACGGAGAACGAGCGATCGGCGTGTCTTCATCGGGCATTTCGTAGTACGACGCCACGAACTCCTGGTCTTCCTCAACCACAGTGTTCATCGGGTCCGGGTCGTAGTAGATGGAGGTGTTCGCCGTCACATCAGCCAGCGTTGTGTATTCGAGTTGCGACTGAATGAACTTTGCCTTGTCGGCATCGTGTGCGCAATCGGGTGTCAAGAAGATACGCAATGACGGAGTTCTCACGTCCTTTGCGATATTCATAATTTCCTTCAGGCGAGGCACACCAAGCGTCACGTTCTTTGCGGACACACCGGCGTAGTGGAATGTGTTCAGCGTCATCTGCGTCGCCGGCTCACCAATCGACTGCGCACCAACAACACCAGCCATTTCACCAGCAGACACCAAAGCGCTAGTAAACTTGGACTCAATTTCACCCATCAGCCATTCGAACGCTGTCTCAGTCAGGCGGTGCTCAAGCGTAACACACTTGGAGGCCAGCGTCGACCGCAACAGAATCTGGAAGAACAAAGTTGCGTTCTCCTGGGCTTCAATACTCAGTCGGTCATCGCCCTGCACGACAATAATCTTCTTGCACAGCTCCTTAACACCCTCAATAATGCGGGATGGGTGCAAGCTAGACGGCTTCCTCATGTCGATGCTGAATAGCTGCTGGGCATTTTCCACCAGACGCCGGATATTAACAGGAATCTGGGCAGCGTTATCGGACTCCTGCCCCTGACCACGACTTGCCAAAATGACACGCAGGTTGACACGGTCCTTCTGAAGCTGAGCCAGTTCCTCTCGCAAGAGTTGCTGTGTCCGCTGGTTCGTTCGGATGTCCTTAATAATATCGGGCTCGAGGTAAAGCTGGTCGGGGCAGTTCGGCACACAGCCAAGCTCTTCGTCAGACGGATCAAACACATATTTTTTCTCGAACTGGACCTTGTTCAGCTTGTGTGACTCGAACCGCTGCTTCTCGACCCAAACGGCATCCATACCGTCTTCACCGTACAGGAACTGGATAATCTCGCCTTGCGCATTTCGGACGGTACCATCGTAACGCGTCATAACCGACTCCATTGCCTTCACCAGACGGCGCTGAATGTAACCAGTCTCGGCCGTCTTCACAGCCGTATCAATTAGACCTTCACGACCACCCATGGCGTGGAAGAAGAATTCTTGAGGTGTCAAACCCTTCAGGTACGAGTTCTCCACGAAACCACGACTTTCGGGGCCCAAATCGTCCTTGCCGTAGTGCGGCAACGTACGATGGTTGAAGCCGTACGGGATACGCTTTCCTTCAACGTTCTGCTGGCCCACGCAAGCAATAATCTGCGAGATATTAATGAAAGAACCCTTGGAACCCGACGTCACCGTAGCCTTAATGTTGTTTGTCTCATCCAGACTGCCCTGCGCCTCACGACCGGCCTGGTCACGGGCTGTGTTAAGCACAATATTGACGAGACCTTCAAACGACTCAACCATGGTTCGGCCAGGCTGGGTTTCAAGTTTTCCCTTTTGACCACGCACCACCAGATCGTGCACTTGCACCTTGGCTTGGGTAATAATATCGACAATAGTCTTCAAAGTCGACACATCGGCAATTGTGTCACTCACACCAACAGTGAAACTGCGGCCAACCAACCAGTTGTTTACCAGTTGCTGAATTGCACCAAGGAGGCGCTTCGTCTCATCGGGACCCTTTTCAAGCATCGTGATGTGAATCAAACCACCTGCTGACGAACCAATAATCTTCTTGTCAATAATACCAGCAAGTAGTTCACCCTGCTGAATGATCACGCGAGAGTCGATGGGAGAGAGATCCGAGAACTTCTCCTTGCTGTTGTGTGTGGACGAAAAGCCAGTAAAGTTAATCCCCGGTACAATCGTCGAGAAGAGCTGCTTGCCCGTCCAGATCGGAGTGTACTTGCCCAACTCACCCTTCTTCGGCACCAGAATTGCAGGCGTCGGCACCTTTCCATCCCAGTTGGAAACCCACATCAACAGGTTCATGACCCAATCCTTGGTCAAGAAAATGTCACGCTTGGTAAACTTCTGAGCACCCAGCAGCGAGTCCTGCACAATACCCATGACGGGACGGTTACTCTGCGGGGTGATAATCACCTTGTGCACCATCATCAGCTCCTGTGCGTCGGCACGAGCAGTCATGGACTGCGGCACGTGCAAGTTCATTTCATCACCATCGAAATCGGCGTTGTACGGTGATGTGACGGACAGGTTCAAACGGAACGTCGACCAGTCAAACACCTTCACGCGATGAGACATAATGGACATCTTGTGAAGAGACGGCTGACGGTTGAACAACACCAAGTCGTCGTCACGAAGATGCCGCTCCACGATCCATCCACACTTCAGCGCAAGGTCCGACTTGTTCTTGATGTAACGCAAATCAATGCGGTTGCCATCTTCACGAATAATGTACTTGGCGCCAGGGTGCTCCAGCGGACCGTTCGCAATCAGCTGATGCATGTAGTTCATATTGAACGGCGTGACACGTTCTGGCACGGTAAGGTTCATGGCGATCGAACGAGGGACACCGACTTGATCAATGGCAATGTTGGGGTCGGCCGTGATGACGGTACGGGCCGAGAAGTCCACACGCTTACCCATGAGGTTACCACGAATACGACCCTCTTTACCACGCAAACGCTGTCGCAGCGTCTTCAGCGGTTTTCCGGACCGCTGTTGGGCTTGAGGGAGACCGGGCTGTTCATTGTTGAGGAAGGTAGCCAAATGGAACTGCAGTAGCTGTTCGAACTGCTCGATAATGTGCGACGGTTCACCCTTCCGCACGCAGTTGAGCAGCGCCAAGTTTGCCTTCACGATAGACGCCAGGTTGTGTGTAAGGTCATCTTCACCACGCGCCATGCCATCGATAGCCACAGAAGGACGGACGTGCGGAGGCGGCACGGGCATCAGCGTCATGACGAGCCAGTCCGGACGAGCCCAACGCGGGTCCAGTCCGAGAGCGAAGCAGTCTTCGTCCGAGATGTTCTTGAAAATCGAGAGCACCTTCGCGGCAGGCAGGTTCTGTTTGCGGTCGCCCGATCCAGGCACGTCCTCCATCTGCTCGGGGAACTCGACCAGCAGCTTAATGCCCTGCTTGCGGTACTTGGGCTGAAGACCACCACAACCGCCGTGGCCTCCCTCCTTGGGCTTGGACTTGTCGTCCAGACCGCCCTGCAGACCGATGTTCAGGTCCTCGCGCATCTTTTCCATGTCGGCCTCCTCACCGTACTCGCACATGCTCTTGTTGCTGCAGATCTCGTACACGGCCTTGAGGCGGCGCTTGCCGTTCTTGATCTTCATGGCCGACCTGAAGCGGTGATCGCGCTCGTCGCTCAGCACCTTGGAGCAGTGGAAGCACACGGAGCGCAAGATCTTGAGCACCTCCTTGATGAAGCCCATGTGGTACATGGGTCGGGCCAGCTCAATGTGGCCAAAGTGGCCGGGACAGTCGTTCACCTTGCCGCCGCTGCCGCTGTAGGTGCCTGCAGTCAGTCAAGCCAAACAGAACAACACATCACTTGAGTAACTGAACAAGATCTCAGCGCGTCCCCCGGCCCGGAGGGAGGGGGCGAGGGGGGTCACGTGAGTGAGGCGCCCCTCCTACAGCGTGTATCGTGGCTCCAGCATGGTTCACGTACAGTCGCAGGTCTTGCAGCGCGCGCGGAAGTCGCACGTGCCCATGCGTGGGTCTCCGATGCCGCCGATGACGGGGTGGCCATTCAGGTACGTCTCCGGGCGCGAGATGCCATCCGGGATGATGCGGTCGTTGACCTTGGTCTGCTTGGTCACGGACATGGCGCGGATCTCCTCGGGGCTGAACACGCCGAACTGCAGGTACTTGACGCGGCGCAGGCGCGCGCTCGAGTACGAGAACTGCGTGGACGACATGGCTGGCTGGCTGGCTGCTCGCTGCTAAGTCACTGGTGCGTGGGGGGGGCGAGCGCCTGAGGCGGGAGGGGGCGGAGAGCTCGGGGCGCGCGCTTTCAGACCGCGACGACCAACACTCCGCACTTGCTAGCTTCCCGCGCGCTTTCACCACCAAGCGGAGAGTTCGCAAGTGAGTGGGCGAAAGGGGGGAGGAGGCCGTTTCGTGGAGCGGCCCGGCCATTGGCGGAAAAGATGTGCCAGAACGCTCGGTGATTGGACGACGCCAAATTTAGATTATCCGGCGCGCGGTATCCGGATCCTGACCTTCAGGAGGCATGCACACGTATCCATCTTACTTCATCTATCCGCTAAGCCTCGCTCTCTACATCCAGCTCAGCGTCCTGCGAACTCGCCCAAGTCCGTGAAGGTGTACTTGGGGAAGCCGTGCGCGCCGTTGTCGTCGGACCCGATGGAGTTGTGCTCGGGCGAGAGCTCGCCCGCCAGCGCCTGCAGGTCCAGCGCGCTGTACAGCTGCGAGAGGAGCTCCTCCGTGGCCGAGTCTCGTCGCTCGGGCGACGAGTGCGTCGAGCAGTCGAGAAACCGCGATGCGCAGCTGCTGCTGGGGGCTGCTAAGGCCTCGTGCTGCTGCTGATTTGACTCGCGGCGTCTGGCCGCCAGGTACTTGGGCGTTCGCGCCGTCAGCCGCGGCTTGAAGGTGCACTCCTCCAGCTGCCGCTCCTGGACGGCCTTCTTCTCCCGAGCCACCTCCCGGTCGCGCTTGTCCGCCCACCGCATGGTCCTCCTGAAGAACGCCGCGCTGTCCTCTTTACCGCCTTCCTTCTTGCCGAGCCGAGCCACTGGATCGCCGATGGTATTCCACGCCTTCTGGTAGTACGGGTTCCGAAAGGTGCACTCGGTCATCGCCAGCGTCTCCTGCAGCTGCTTCTGCTGACAGTGTCTGACGTCGTTGGCGTTTTTCCAGCGCAGCTGTCGCTCGTAGATGTCGGCGGCGTGCTTTGGATTCACTCGCGGCTCGACCGTGCAGCCACACTTCCCCTCCTTGTCTTCCTTGCCCCCGCAGCAGCCGCAGCGCAAGGGGCTCTTTGGCGCCGGGTTCTTCTTCTTCTTTGCGGCTAGCTTCCGACTTCGAGCACTCATCTTTGGTGTGGTCTAGCATGGAAACCATTAGTGCCTACCACTACTATCACATGATGCCGGTGGCATACGTACCCGCAAGCTCTCCAAGTATTGTTTCCGCTCTTCATCCCGCAAAAGCAGCTTCTGTTGGTGCTTCTTACTCAGCCCATGGAGTCGCTGCACAGTGCGTGCAATAGTTTCACGGCTCGTGCGTCGACCCCGCCTCCGTTGAGCTGCAGAACTGCTTGGATAGTGCTCAAGGTCGTTGTTACCTTTCCCCATACTTCTCTTCGACAACTGGTAGAGACGTTCATGAACCGAGTAGCGCCTCCTGCGCTGCGCATTTGCAGAGTGAGGGGCCAGCTGAGGCTGTACATTCGAAGCCGCTTGTCTCTCTTCAGCTCGTTTTCGCTCCTCTTGCTGATATTGGTAAATAAGACCCAGCAAATGGAGCCGATCTTCCACTTTGCAGCGCGCGACATCGTCCTGCCTTTTTGAGAACATTGTTACGGATCGCCTGCTGATAGAGGGCTTCCCCACATACACTGCTTCTTGCTTGGCACTCTCAGCATCTCGCATTCGACTCAGCTTGCTTTCCTTTTCATGATTCCACGCCATGAGGTGTGAGACGCTTCGCGGAATGGACTTTGATTTCTGCAGGAAGCGTAGGCCACAGACAAATGTCAATACTTTAGTACGCAGTAGTAAGAGTGCTAAGAAAATAATTGTCGTTCTGCACCTGGTTGATTCGCGGCATCGGTACGATCGCCGGGTCCTCTTCAACGGCAATAGACTGGCGAATCCTCTCCTTCTTCTGCTGATTCTTTATCAAAAACTTCTTCATGCGCGTTTGAAAGTCTGGTTCGAAGGTCGCACTTCTCCTGAGAAGCTCTTCCGACGTCTTGTTCATGTGTTTCTTCGAGAAGTACTTCTCCTGACGCGGGGTGTCTTCTTCCACATAGTCTTCGTCGCTCGCGAACTCTTCAGTGTCGACGCGGTCCAGATCGTTCACTGCGTCTTCCGGGCCCAGGCTCCACTCGCAACCTGGAAAGCAAGTGTTGTGACGCTGGTGTGGTCGGGGTGACCGAATCGGCAATGGTGCTATCGGAGCCGCTTGCTCTTCCTCGAGGGAGTAAGCTGAGCATCCAGCACTCGAACTTGCCTCGGACCTGGGTACCCCCATCAGCTCCAGTAGCCGGTCATTCCGAATCACTCCCTCGCCTGGTGCCGGCAACGCAGGCTCGAACATGTTCTCTTGGTCTGCAAGCAGCATTCCCTGCACGAGCCAAAAAAACAAAGATCAGAACGTAGCCCAATGCATTTTAGCTCTACAGTTCAGTCCACCGAACCTGCAGGAACTGCTTGAGCGCGAGCACTTGGTCGCCTGCTCCTGCTCAAATCCACGCCACACCATGTACCATGAGCCCACCATACCTAAGTACGCGCCAGATACACAGCCCTCACCTTGGTCTCGCTCCTCCATCGCCATCGCCAGCGCTGTACTGCACGATGCTACAGAAGTTGAAGTTACGACCGACTAAAAATAACGGCTCCAAAAATAGCCGACCAATCAGGAGCCGCCCGATGTTCAGTGTCCATCACGATCGCCCGACGCTAGAAGATACCCAGGCGAAGATGGCCAACGTGAGCTGGGAGCGCTTCGAGGAGCAGACCAAGCTGGCGTTCGTGGGGGACCCGCTGCGCTCGCGCTTCTTCCTCAAGACGCGCGAGACGGCCAACAAGAGCGTGAAGGTGGTGGCGCGGGTGGCGCATCAGTCGGCCAAGCCCGCGCCCGCGTCGCCTCAGGGCCGTGAGGAGACTGTCAAATACGCCACCGCAGACGCGTCCAACCTGTTCCGGCTCACGAGGCTGCTGCGCTTTGTGATGCAGGAGGTGCTGGGGCCCATGAAGGCGCTGCTGGCATCGACTACGTCGCAACCGCAGCCGGCCGAGGCTTCGGCGGCAGCTGCTGATCCGGCGGACAAGAAGAAGAAATCCAAGAAGAAGAAGAAAGCGGCCAAGAAGTGAAGAGACGGCGTAGGAATTTGTGCATTCTTGCATTGCGTTGCACATGCACTACATGGCAGTCCAGTCAGTTAGCCCTCTCATAATAAATCGCGAACGTACACGGCTGTCTTGATGCCGCACGTGTAGCCTTCGTTGAACTTGTAGCGCACCATGGAGTGCGCGTGGGCGTCGTCGGTGCGCTGCTGCTTGAACTTGGCGTTCAGCTCCTCGTCGCGCTTTCGCTTGGCCTCACGGTGCGCGAACGCGAACGGATTGCGCTTGCGGAGCGCCTCGTCCTTCTTCTCCAGCTCCGCCTCTGTTAGTCATGGAACAAAACTGTGAGTGAGTATGGTCGTCTAAGACCACACCTCCACAAGTAAACGTACCGCTGAGCTCCGGGCGAACGTAGGAAACCTTCGCAGCCTTCTCTTCGATAGTCGCTTCGGCTACTTTCTCGGTAGTCACTGGTTGCTTCTTGTTGTCGTTGCTGCTCGGCTTTGATGACGAATCCGAGTTTTCACTCCGACGCATCTGCTCCAGCTCCACCTCGCGAGCGATCATCTTTCGTACAGTTAACGGAAGCATGGATTGATACACTGCCCCATCGTCGTTTCCGCGGAACTCCACGAGTTCGTTTAGCGCCCTGTAAAGGTAAAACAAAATGAGAATTGTACACAGAATCCGATAGCGCCAATGAATGGATACGTACGGCTCGAGCGAGTAGTCTTCACTGCCGTCGGGCAAGTACTTGTGGCGGAACGATAGTCCCAGCGACGCCATGAGCTCAATGAGGCGCTGAATCATCACCTTCTCCTCCTTCGTCTGCAGTGACGGATTAATGCGACGAATGTTGGGCGATAAACTCGCGACAAGCCAGGGCACTACGTCCACGACAAGCACGTTGGTGCTCATACGCAGAATTGGTTGCAGCTGTGCGCCCTCCGCCAATGCCACAAGGATGTTTTCAGAGCGATCACGTTTCTTTTGCAACTCGAACTGCGCGCGAGGGTACTCCACACGACGCCTTGAGCTCGTGCAACAAGCTGCGTGCGTGGCGATGGCAGCAAACGGGATGTACGCCTGGAAGACGAACTGTTGTTCCGAGCGAGCACGATTCTCGTACTCATCTGCAAGTCCGAGCCACTCGAACACGTCGCAAATCTTGTTCATGGTCGGGTCGTTGAAGATCATCTTCGGTACGTTCTCGTCCAAGCCGTTGATCAACAGAGGGAAGTTCCCCAGTGACACAACGGCCTCCTCGATTTTCTCGGTCGCAGGACGCTCGCCCTTGGCTGACTTTGACCGCGCCTCGAAGAATACGAGATCCATAGCCTCAAACATGCCGTGGACGTGATCCTTTTGAGCAACGAGACCAGTCGTCAGCGTCACGATCGCTGACTTGTCCTTCACCGCACGCCGTGACTGAGTACTCTGGAACTGCAGCGTGTTCAAACAGTATCGAATGTCATTGTCAGCACTGGAGCACAAAGCTGCTAGCGCACCGGTTGACGCCTTGATGCCTTCATGACGACAAATGTACTTCAAACGGGTCACGAGGCGCTGCGAGTGTGGCGTGTCCAGCGTGAAGATCTTCGCCATCTGACGTAGCGGGCGCAACACGGAGGCGTACAGGTCATTGCAGATACAAATGAGTGGCCTAGTCAGCGGGTGGCGGTTCTTAGCGGTAGTTTTAGCTCCTGTCTTCTTCCTTTGCAGGGGCGCGTTGGCGATCTCAAGAATGACCTCAATTGCCGATTTCCCGTCCGACCCGTTCATCGCGCCATCAATTTCATCAAGAATGATGCAGTTCGGCTTCCGTTCTCCCCAAATGGACTGCATCTCCATGGCGCTAATGAGCTTGTTGCGCAGTACCGATGCGGTGCGGTCGTCGCTCGCATTAACCTCGATAGGGTTGTAGCCCGCGTGCCGCGCAACGATATTAGCCAACGTGGTTTTACCTGCTCCAGGAGGGCCACACAGCAAGATAATCTTGTTGAATGGTCGCTTGTCCTCGTCTTCTTCGGACTCTGCGCGACCACTGCCTTGATTCTTCGCTGCCCAGGAGAACTTATTGCCGAAGCTATTGGGCTTCGCAGGAGACACGGGGAGTGTACCATTAGGTCGCAGCTTCTTCGGGAACACAAACCTGTCCCATGATTTAATCCACGTGAGGACTTCACGGTTGGTCCGTTCGTCACTCAGAAGATCCAGGAAGCTCTGCGGTTTGTACTTATCCAGCCAGAGCACTGCGTTCGCTGCTTGTGACGAATCGTTGCTGTCCGAACCAAGTTCCTGGAGCAAAGCCTCGTCCTCCTTCGCAGCAGCCTCCTCGATCTCCATCTGAATCAAGCAAAAACACGTAGATACGGCATTAGAGGCAGCAACCCCAATCGAAGTTGCCGCGACAACCTACCCGCTCAACAGCCTCCATCAACTCCTTAATGGGGACAAGTGACGACGCTGAGCTGCGCACAGAATTGGACGTGACATGCTTGGAGCTCGGTCGTTTCTTGCGCAGAAACATCCTCTTGCCCTCGTTCAGCACCACGGGCAGCGAGCCCACGTCAATGGGCGGTCGACTGTACAGAAATCCGGTTGTGCTATTGTCCACATCAGCTGCACTAGACTGCTTGCTCTTGCGCGCAAAGGGCTCAGCTCTGGGCTCGGCGCTGTCCATGGCTGCGTCCTCATCTCCGTCCTCGCCCAGCAGCGTCGCGCAGCGAGCCAGCACTTGGTCCAATCGGCTCTGCGCCATCTCCAAACCGCCATCGCCCCTCTCCGCTGCTGCAGCATTGTTACTGCTCACAGGCGGCTGAGTGGCTGGAGCTTGAGCTGGGGCTGGAGCAGGCGGCTGCAGCTGGCTCTCCCCCGCCTGCCGTTGCTCGAAGGCCTCCACAGCACGCATCTCCTCCTCCGCAGCCTCCATCTCGTGCGCGTGCATGGCTTCCCACTCGTCCATCTCGTCGAACTCCTGCTCGTACGCATAGATGTCGGCGTCCGTCATGGTCGCCCGCCTGCCCGCCTATGGAGCTCCTCGCGCGCAATGACGTTGTGAAAGAGCGCGAACGATTGTGATTGGTCCATATCATGTGGTTATTTCAGTACACTACTGGTACATGTAGTTGAAGTGGCTAGGACGCTGCCAATTTCTTCTGCTCATAAATACTGTTGTCTGCTAGCCTATTAGAGCTGGCCGCTCCGTCATCTCTGGGGGTGGTGACTGCCTCCGCTCCAGCGTGCGCGCGAGGTCGTTGAACTCGTCCATAGTTGTCTGGAGCTCGTTCTCGCACGCTGCCAAAATCTCCGACCGTCGGCGCTGCACCTCGCTGGTGACGGTCAGTGTGTCCAAGCGTGCGAGCCCCTGCTCCATTAGCATGTCGCCCAAAAGTGCCTCCGTCTGGTTCAACACCTCGATGCTTTTGGAGACGGTGTAGGGCACTGCCACGGGGTCGTGCAGATCGAAGGACCGGGCGTACAGATCGTTGGACAGCTCCTCCGCGACCTGCTGCAGCTTGAGCATGTGCGCTTCGTACACTTTATCTCGTCGCTCGAGCTCAGCAATGTGCTCGTTTGCGCGCAGAAGCTGCAGTGATGCCGTTGATTAGTTCTCACTACAGTCGAAGAAAACTCCTCCAAAAGCACCGTACCTGTTGAGTCAGCTTCTCGTTGGCGTAGTGCTAAAGCATCAAAAACAACTTCTGTCAGCCTGTGATCAACGTATATGCACACAGCCTTCAAAATAGTAGCCGTACCATAGCAGCTAGCCTGCTCTTTGTCAGTAGACGCTCGTTTAGCGCAACTGGGAGCCCTGTAGATCGCGTGAGCATTCGCTCTCGCTTCCACCGACGTTGACGGACACGGGCACTCATCGTTTGCTCGCTGCAGACGCCATATATTGTGAGGCCCAGGAACCATGAGGTTTTAGCAATGCATGATGCCTACCTGCGATGCAGTTGACAGGCGTCTCGCAGTTGCTCCCACGAGTCTGCATACACCCACCCGCTCTCGTCCGTGTGGGCGTGGATATCGCATTGCCAATCGGACACCCACTCCCAGTTCGACGACGGCAGCTGCACCTAAGGATGCACGGTGCATTGCACCAGAAGTCAGTCTTCAGCTCCGCAGCACACGCTTCAAGCACTTTACTGTAGACACCTCGCTGAACCGCGCTTCCTCGCCGTCGGCTCGACACAGCACAGGCAGCTCCGCCCTGGACAGGCGCATGGCGGAGACCCTCGGCGTCAGGTTCTGGTTCTCGAACAGCTCCTCCTCCACGCGATGCAGGTCTGGGACGTTCTTACGGTTGTGGCAGAAGCAGCTAGCGCCTCTAGCAGCCGCGAGTTGGTCCTGATACCGCTGCAATAGCTCCTCCATGGCGTGCAACTCGCTGGGAGTGACAACAAGCACACGGAATTAGCCACGACTCTCCCGCTAATTATCACCTAAATTGCACCTCTACCCACCTGCGTAGCTGCTCGCACTCGTCCTCCAACTGCCTTTCCCTCTTGCTCATTGTGCGTCGGCGGCGCGGAGACCAGCAGGATCCCTGAGTCTGGACTGGGGCTTCCTTCCAGCGCTGCAAGCATTCCTATCCGCTTTGACTTGAAGTGAATATGGACCAATCCTGTGTGAGAACGCTTCTTATTCGCTGAAACTGAACTTCTGCGTAATTACGCCTTTTTACGAGGGCTTTTGACCGCAACAATACCATCACCAACCGATTCCCCAAGCGGCGCGAGGGACCAATACAGAGCCATTCGGAAACTTGCCAGGGTCGACCGCAGTCGAGAACAGGAAACGCAGCGCGGAGGAGTGGGTCCTTACTTACCAGGGGTTCTCAAGTGATTACACAATCAGATGACGAGTCTGAGGATGACGAGCGTCTTATTGCATTGCGTTCTGCCGTGCTCCGAGACGTCTCTGACTCCCGATGTGAAGAACATTCGAGGCATTTGTATGATGAGACCGATCCATTGCATATTGTGTGTATTTGTGTGGATGAGTGAATTGAGCGCCCAGTCGATGATGTATGAAAAATATTTGCTACTCTCGATATACCTTTGGGTATTGTGACGACATTTATTTATCACCAAGATCACTGAGACGGCCTCAACTGACTGTGTACTTTAATTCTACTGAAAGGCAGTGACGAATGCTATAGGGACATCTGAGACGCAGTGGGGATGTAGTGTCCTCATCGCCTGAAGATAGTATATAGTGGAATCTCATTACCTGAGCCTTTCAACCATCATCTAATGTGTGTTGGTAGCTGGAACCAAAGTCGTCAAATTCTCGCCGCTCCTCCCATGGGCGTGCGAAGCCAAATCTTTGGGACACCAATTCACGCAGAGACGCTGTCGGCCTGCGGATCCTTCTCTTGAGGAAGAGGGCGGCAGCAGAAATGTTGTCGAGCAGACCCAAGTCCCTGTGTGAACATACCAAACAGCTTTCATACTTTGCATTTTGCTCACTCTAGATCAATCTTAGCTGCTGTCTGAAACATGCTAGCCGCTTGAAACTTGAACACCTACCAAAACAAAAAGGAAACAGAATGTTAGATTTAGCACACGACAACGTGACGGTAGGAAATGCTCCGGCGTTCGTTACCTCGTTCCCGATACTTGTCCAATGCGGCCGCAGCTCTCGTGCGAATAGCTCTGCTTTCATGGCGGAAGTCGGGATGATATCCTCTTTGAAGAAGCACTCCGGCGGAGGTTTCCACGAGTGACGGAGCGGGATACCGAGTACGATTCGTGTCTGTTCACCTAGTCGTTGATGAAGTCGCCGCTCGTGCTCTGGGTCTTTTGCGCGATAGGCAACGACCAACGTCTCGACAGGAAGGCGATGGCTTGAGTCCAACGGAGTGACGAGTTCGCCACTCTTGCTCAGCTTCAGCCAGTACCAGCTCCCATGATACGTGAAGCCCCACGCAGGCAGCGCTTGCTCACGAAGATATGCCATGTAGCGCGGCCGGTTCGTGACCCACACCGCTAGAATGCACTCGCCCGGATCTGCAAGGCGAGGGATATCAATCTTGAGCAGCTCCGTGTGGTCGAACATGTCGTAGCGCTTCGCACGGGAGACGCTCTTGTTTTGCCAGGGCGGATCCATCACAATGAGCTTGTGCCTTCCGAGCGGCAGCCGGTGGATCTCGCGAACATCTCGCTGGGCGAAACACGACCCGGCCGGCAGTAAAACCTTGGCACCACTCACAGCAGAGACTCGAAGTTGATCCGTGTCGTTATAGTGCAGATTGCCGTCGTCGAGAGCGTCTGTATGCGGCAGTGCGGGCAACGAATCCAGCACCCCCTGGATGCCGTCACTGTGGTCTTGGAACGATGGGAGAAAATCTCGGAGTACGAATCGCGGGCCTCCAAAACGCTCAAACGCTTTTTGCAGCGCATTGAGGACTTGCTCACTTAGTGGCACGAACTTGCCCTGTGCTGTGAGCTCCCCAAGTCGCTCCGATCTCCGTCGAGCCGCGGTCTCGCGCTTGCGGTGTCGACGCGCTGCAGCTGCTGACAGCGCCCCCGGAGCATGGGCGATGGGCGGTCGAATGAATGCGGTGACTGGAATTTGTAGTGAGTCCTCTCGCAAGCACAGGTGCCCCATGTAGTAGCCGTTCACGAGCGCGGCATGGTTGACTCTCGACACCTGGGGCTCCATCGACGTGGTGCCAATGAAATTTGTGATGTGCCGCACACAACTTCAACTTGATGAGCAAAATCATACAGGAAGTGTTGGCATCCCTAGACCATTCAGGAGCGGGGGTTAACATTATTGAGCTGTCTTTTCATTGCTCAACGCTGAAATCCCTGCAGTGGATTCGTGCTTCGCGCGAGTAAAGCGAAAGGTGTGCCGTTGTCGAAGTTTCGACCTGTACTTAATAAGCTTTGGTATTGCACCGTGTTTCGCATTGTTGAGCAATAGAAAATCAAACAACACATTGATTCGGGTAACATCACCCGAATCAATGTGCAAGACCAGCTTAGTGCAAGACCAGCCAGTCGTGGATTTAGTTGACGGAGAAGCGCGGGATGGCCGCGTATCCCTGACGACGACGCCACGTCGCGACGAGCATGGCAGTGCCGACTGCCGCGATCACGACCATCATGCCCGGCAGCAGTGCGTTCGAAGTGGGTCTCGTTGCAGCAATTACCGAGGATTCCTGTCTCATCGCAGCTCGCGTGACAATGGCAGCAACCGCATCGATCTCGGTCAATTCGTCCAGACAGCCCGTAGACGCCAGCTTGCTGAACCACTTGGCGGACGGACGCGCGATACGCTGCAAGTCCGTCGGCTTGGGTTTGTAGCCCTCCACGGATCCGGTTTGCGCGGTAAAGTTGACGTAGTAGAGCCCGAAACGAGGGCCGTATGACCCCCACTCGTAGTTGTCCAAGAAACTCCAGGCAGTGTAGCCGATGATAGGGATCTTCTCCTCCACCACGGCCTTGTCGACTTGCTCAATGTACGACTGGAAGAACCACAGCTGGTCCAAGTTCTCCACCTCGTCATTGCCGCACCAGCCGTTCTCCGTCAGCAAGATCTACGCCGAGGGGTCCTTGGCGTCCATCCACTTGATCGTGTCCAAGTACCCGGGAGGGTAGGCCGTGTACGACTTGCAGTAGTTGTTGCCTTGGCTGTCCTGCAGTCCTGGACGGGAGCCTAGAACGATATGCGTGTCGTCGACACCCTTGTCCTGCCCGAAGCCGACGTGGAGTGAAGAGCACGGCGTATTGGACACCTCCGAGTCGCAGGAAGTGACGGAACGCGCGTAGTAATGATTGAGCATTAGCGCGCCATATGAGCCCTTGACCAAAGCGGTCTGCTCGGCAGTGAAGGGAGGCAAGCGCTCACCGACTCGCTCGCGCATGACGGGCGGGTAGTCGCCGGAGGTGAGGAGCAGAAGCCACCAGCCGAACTCGAAGTTCATCGCGCGCTCCGCAGCTTCTGCATCCTCAATGTTGTTCTCCCGAAGAGGATAGAACTGATTGGCATTGAGTACGATGCCGATGCGCGCTTTAGGCTGAACGACACCACTCGACTTGAGCTCTTTGAACCGTTGCACGGAGTACGCGTGCGAGAGCAGCACATTGTGCGCCACCTCGTAGACCAGCGTGGGCGAGTCGTGGAATCCCGGCGGGTGCAGCCCCGTGTTGTAGCCGTACACGGCGAAGGACAGAGGCTCGTTGAAGGTGGTCCAGAAGTCGACCTTGTCGCCAAATTCGTTGTACAGCAGCGTCGAGTACTCCACGAAGTGATCGATGATCTCCGGGTTGAGCCATCCCTGCGGGGTGAGCTCGTTGTGCAGCTCCGTGGGCAGGTCCCAGTGGTAAATGGTAAGAATCGGAGAGATGCCGCTCCCGACCAACTTGTCTAGCAAAGCGTGGTAGAAGACCAGACCCGGGGCGTTGGGGCGCATGCGCCGCGTTTCCGGGTCCCAGTTCATCACGCGCGACCACGAGACGGAGAAGCGGAAGGACTGGAGCCCCGTCTCCACCATGAGCTTGATGTCGTCCGCATAGCGGTGGTAGAAGTCGTCGGCGACGTTGGCGCACTCGAAGCCAGGCTGTTCACGGCAAAAGTCGTCCCAGATGCTCGGCGTGCGGCCGTCCTCGTTCCACGCGCCCTCGACCTGGTACGACGCGGTGGCAGACCCGAAGAGGAAATTGTCAGGGAAGCAGCGAGGCCCGGCGGCCGCTGCAGGGGAAGAGAGCAGGGTGGCGGTTGTCGCCGCCGCGAGTCCGAGGAGGTGCAGTAGTCACATCACTTGCGCTGTGAGTCCGAGGCGGCAACTTCACGAATGAGGCAGGAGCGGATTCGCAAGATCTCGACGAAAGCGTTGGCGCCGATCACGAGGCTCGTGACGCGAGCACAGCAGCTGATTCCTGCAGGTTGAAGAAGCACGATGAGTGTAAGGTTCATCCAAGCGGCCTTGATCACCTGTCGGTGAGCGACTGCTTGAACACGCAAAGAGGCAGCGGGCCATGCCAAACCCAACTGTCGTGCTGGCACCAAGATTTGAGATTGTACTTAAGTAAGAGGTTTTTGACATTGTTAAACATACTATACTAAGTATCAAAAAGTATACACTTGTATACTTTTGATGGCCGGGACCACGCTGCTCGCCGTGTATCAGGGGCTATGGAGGGCGTCCATGCCACTCGTGACCTGGTACGTCCGTCGGAAGGACTTAAGACGGCTGGTGCCAGCGGCCATCACCGCCGAGCGCTTCGGTCGTAGCGCACCACCAGGTAGAACGGCTTCAAGTGTCGTGTCTCGCCGTAGCTTTCCCCGCTTAACGCATTTTTCGCCTCTCTTGATGTCTCAAAGCCCACTGGCAGAACAGCGGAGTTGATACAAGGACCGACTGCTTCACGCTGTGGATCCACGGTGCCTCTGTGGGGGAGTGTCTGTCGGCTTTGCCGCTCGTGGAATTGGCGCTGGGCCACAAACTGGACCAAGCAGTAGCCGCGTCGACTGGTGACGAGAAGAGGAGAGTTCGGGTGGTGCTGTCGACAACTACCACGGCAGCTCGCCAACTGCTCTCCGAACGGTTGAAAGAGGTCAGCTGCAGTTGATGGGGTTGCTTATAGCAGCGGCTTCGGTCCTTGACCTTTGTGTGCTGCATTGGCTGGTATATCGCTAGAACAAGGGCGCGGTGTGTGTCTTGGCACCGCTGGACCACCCGCGGTGCGTGGAGCGCTTCTACGACGCGTGGCAACCAGAGTACGACGTCTCCCTGCTGATTGTGCTCCTTTATTTCTTCAAGTGCTCGTTGTACTGATGCTGCGGGCGTGCAGTGCAGGGATCTGGATCGAATCAGAGCTTTGGCCGACGCTCATCATGGAAGCAAAGCGACGAGGGGTCCGCATTGGCCTGATCAACGGTCGAATGTCGCCGGAGTCATTCCGGTTGTGGCGGTTGCCGGGTCTGCTTGAGCTTTCAAAACGTGTGGTGGGATTGTTCTCTTTGGTACTTTGCCAAGACGAACAGGTGCGTCTAGCTGTCCGATCACTCTGCAGATCCGACACTCACCGACATCTTGCTTTTGTAGAACCGGCAGCGCTTCGAGTTTCTGGGAGCTCGGGACGCCCGCACAGCGTTGAATCTCAAATTTGGTATGAGGTCTCGGTCGCCTCCTAGCTAGCCAATGTTCACTCGCGACTCATGTTGTTGCTGTTGTTTACTGCTCGGACGCGAAGCCTCTCCGCATTTGATCAGCAACGAAACGGAGGTTTCGACTTGGTGGCGCGCAATTGGCTCGAGACCAGCGTGGGTAGCGGCTAGTACTCACGACGGCGAGGAGATGATGATGGCTGGAGTTCACGCAGCTCTCTCGAAGCGTCTAGACCACGACCAGCACCTCCTTACGGTCATTATTCCGCGGCATCCTACGCGGACACCTGCCATCGTGAAGCAGCTTCAGAACCAGGTATATCCTTGCGTATCCATGAGCTGTTAGAAACTTGAACCGGTCTAAGAAATGTTGATGTGGCCCTCTTAGTTCCCCGAGCTTTTGGTCGGTGTGCGCTCGCGCGATGGACTTCCCTCGAACTCGGTCGATCTTTTCTTTGTGGATACGATGGTAAGCAGATTGACGTGTTGGCTGCCGTAGCGTGAAGTACCGCCCCGATTCACGATCTCTTCGATGTGTGATATCCATTACAGGGCGAAACAAACTTGCTTTACGACGCGATTTCAACTGCAGTTATTGGAGGTAGGGACTCAAGAGCTTGAGCGGATTGCTTTGTGCTTGTGCCTTTAGCACTCATTGAATCTTCTCGCAGGAACTTTTGTGGAGCGAGGCGGTCACAACCCAATCGAGCCGTTGCGAGCGGGGTGCGTGTGCTGGTCAATAGCGAGTTTCAGCTTGCATTCCAAACCTAGTGGCTGACGGATGTGCTTGCAGGTGCCAGGTGCTAACGGGTCCTCACATGGAAAACTTCGCGGATATACTCCAGCAGCTCCGAAGCCAATCTCGAGTCTCGGAGTCTCTCAGATCGGTGGGCACTCCAGAAGAGCTCGTTGCAGTACTGCAGTTTCGATTCAAGGGTCTCGACGGCCGGTCTGTTGTTGATGCTACTTCAACTTCAGTGCTGTCGAACCCGAGCACCGATCGAAGAACCGAGCTTACTCGAGCAATGTCAGACCTCGCGGTGTCAACGTTGTCGTTGCACGAGTTGCGGTTAATTAGTTGGTTAGCAAATGACGACTACAGATGATCCCGAAACACGGCGTTCAGTAGCGACAGCGAGTAGTACGAATAACACGGCGGCAGGGTGAAAAAAGTATCGATTTCATAGCAACAGGTACGAGCTGGAGAAGGCGAGCCGAGGAAGTCGGGGGAGGGGAAACCAGCACATCGTAGCTGGGGTGGGAACAAAGTGTGCCGGATCGCGCGCACGTCCATTTTGCGGTTGCGCGGCTCGAATCGGTTCTCTGCCTTCGCTTTCTCGTGTCGCGGGTGCTTAGTACGGACGGTATCGGTCCGATCGTCCGTCCGCCTGAGCCTCCTTGAGTGCCCGAGCTGTCCTGACGGTAGCCACCGCCAGCTCTTTGAGCGGGACGACGGCTTCTTCCAGCTCGTCGCGCTCGCCTTCTTGGCGTTCGTGGAGCTCTTCTGCGAGGAAGTGTCGGCCAACCTCTGGATGCGAGACAACACCACTTGCTCCGAGTGTCTCGATATTCGGTCAGGCTTGAAGGCACAGCTCCACTGCGCTACCAGGTTCTGTTCTGATTGAAATTGCACCTGGTTTACTCGGATCAGCTTTTGTCTTGGCCTCAGCCTCAGAGCCAGAAGCGGCCTTCGCCTTGGACGACCTTGATGACTTGTTGAACGAGCTCGCGCCCAACGAGGGCGCCAACATGCAGGAGCAGTAGCTGCAGGTGGAGGCGAGCAACAATACGGAGAACAAACCGCCAGCCGCCTCCGCCGCGTACCTGGCCCCCGCTGCTAGAGGCGAGAAGAAGGACGGCAAGAAGAAGAAGAAGAAGAAGAAGAAGAAGAAGAAGAAGAAGAAGAAGGGCAAGAAAAACCCAATGCCGACGCCAAGAAGGACGACGAGAAGAAGCCCATGTCGGCGGCGGCTAATGGAGTGCCAAGCGGCCCTCAAGGTCGAGCAGGAGTGTCTACATCCTCCAGGAGGAGGATGCCAAGCGTCCCGTGGACATCGAGCGCGACATCGACGGAGACGAGGAACTCTTGCAGCTCGAGCAGAAGAAGGAGCAAGAGCGTTCACGCCAGCAGGGTTCATCGCTGCTGGTTGGTGTACTCCTGGTGCTGCTGCTGCGGCGACTGCTGATGCTGCGAGTCCAGGTCGTCCGGGTTGCCGGCCAGCGCGAGGATCTCGTCGTCGTCGTCGTCCTCTGCCACGATGCCGGCCGCGGACGGCGCCCCCGCCGCCTGCTGCGCGTCCACCGCCGGCTCCTCCTGCTCGTACACGTCGCCAACCCTCCGCTTCTTCGCGAATGTTGGGCGTCTGATGATGATGTCATTGGACAAAATAGATTGTCTTGCAACCGCTTTTCAGCCAATAACCGCCATGTTGAAGCGCGAGGAGCCACGGCAACACTAACGTTAGCCATGATGCCGCCGGACGGGCAGCAGGAGCTCGGGGCCGAGTGGCTCAGCGTCATCGAGCGCCAGCAGCAGGAGATCGAGCTACTGCGGCAGGAGCTGGAGGCAGCCGCAGCCTCGGGCCACGAGGGCGCTCTGTCGCCGCTGCGCTGCTCTGCGTCGAGACGCGGCAGCGACGCCAGCATCGCGAGCAGCGTGTCGTCGCTGGCCTTCTCCGTCCTGTCCACGAGGGACACCCTGCCCATGGACAGCAAGCGGTACGCTCAGATCTGCGAGAAGATGGAGCGCTTGCGAGCGGCGCTGGCCCGGAAAGACGCCAGGCTCCAGAAGGCGCGCGCGCAGTGCAGCGAGGGACAAAAGACGGCGGCGCGTCTCCGAGACGCCGTGGCGAATGCGCGGGCGGAGATGGAGACGCAGCGCGCGCTATTCACACAAAAGCTCGCTGTCTCGCAGGAGGCAGTGGACAATGCGGTCGAAAAGGCCGCGCAGGCTCTCATCCAGAACGACGGTGTGAAAGCGGAGTTGAGCCAGGGGAAAGAGCTTGAAGCCGAGCTGCAGGGGCAGATCCGTGTGCGCAGCAATGCGTTGCAAGCAGCTGAAGCTGCCAAAGAGGAGCTTCAGAAGGAGCTTAACCGAGCTCAACTGGAAGCGTCTCGACAGACAGCGGAAGTCCGAGCGCTTCAGAGCGAAAAGAACGCTCTGAAGAGCAAACTTGAGGCCATTCAGCAAGAGTTGACTGCGAAACGACAACACGATTCCGAGTGGAGCGAACTCGGCAAACAGAGACAGACACTGCAGCAGCGTGTCAATGAGCTAGAATCTACCGTCCAGCAGCAGACCGTGCAGTTGGAGCAACAAGCTGGAACAATTGAGCAGCAGAACCAGTACATCCAGCGCCTCGAAGAGGAGCAGGCTCTCGCACAGCGAGCTTCTGCCGTTGAGCGTGCTGAAGATCAAATGCATGCTCAGCACTTATTGAAGAACAACATTTCGCTGCAGTATCAGCTGCAGTGCGAGCAAGCAAGGAGTCACAAACTCGACGAACAGGTACGAGAATTGTCCGAGACGTCGCAGCTGCTCGCCGAAGACATGCTTCAGATGAAGCTCAAGCTCGCAGGACGAGATCAAATGCTACTGAAACGTGGTCAAAAGTATGCGGAGCTTGCTCATGCTTACCGTGTACTGAGCCGGCACGCCCAAGCGATAGAACTATCCGAGCGCGAGCTTGTTTCAGTGCTCATTCCGACCAAGAAGCGACTGGCACTTCTCCAAGACACGCTAACAAGGTTCTGCTTCGAGCTGGAGGGGATAAGCAAGCAAATGGTGGCGAGTCGCAGTCGGTTAGTGCACCTAGATCACCGATTGCTGATGAATTTGTGACTAACACCTTGGTTTATTCTGCTCTTTAGCGAAGTTTCACTAGGGCGAGCATTGCGAGAATATGGCAAACGCAATAGAGAGCTGCAAGCTGGAGTAGTTGCTGCCAGAAAACAGGTACGAGAGCTACCTGTAAATTGAAGCGAAACCCAGAGGAGCACAATCTGACTAACACTTTGCACGGATCAGCTTCAATCCGTGGTGAGCGCTTTCCGTAGCAGTGAGAAGCGAAAGGAGCAGGCGATGTCAGCGAACTGGAATCTCAAGCGTGACTTGGTGATCGAGCGCTGCCAACGCACGGAGTACGCTGCATCCTTTTGCTATGCTTGGTGTACCGATTCACTCACTTCTGCTTTGTTGACAATGATGCAGTCTGTTACAGCAATGCAACGAGCTGGAAAGCTGCTTGGATTCTTGCCAAAGCTCGGCGTTGGAGTCCCAAACGCGTGCAGAAGGCCTCGAGCATGACAACGGCGTATTACAACACGCCGTGACACAGCTCGTAGCGTACGCCCAGGAGCTGAGAAGTTCTCAGCAGTCACTGCAGCGCGAGCTAACCAAGTTAGAGATTACCGGCAAGCGGCAGCCTGCCGTGTACGGCTGAACGTGCATTTGCCGACGAAATGCAAGTAGAACCTTGTAGCAATACATACTGTGCTGCGGTCAGAGCTGAGTTCTGCGCGAAAAACTTTAACTTGAAGAAGAAAATCATTCACAGCAGCAGACGCTACGAATCTAGACGCTCTCCATGACGATGTTAGGCGGGTACGCGCTCCCTCCCTTCATCAGCCTGATCGAGTGCTGCAGGTTACGCAGCCGGTCGATCAGCCCCTTCATGACCAAGTTCCTCTCATAAACCTCCTGCTCACCACAACAGCACAAGAAGCATCAGAACCCATAGCCACCATAATTTCCACACACCGATAATAGCGTGTCCGCACCTTGCGCAGCTGATTCCTCCTTTGCACGAGCTTCGCCGTCGCGTCCTGTGGCACCACCACCAACAGCAACAGGTTACGTCAGGTCAGACCCTCCCACTCCACACAACATGCAACCCTTTTTGTACCTTGTCGTCCTGCTGCGGCTCCTGCTTCTTCTCCACCTCCTTCACGGCCTCCAGCAGCTCGGCGCTGATCTTGATGTACTGGGCTTTGAGCGCCGCAATCTTCGAGTACGTGTCTTGGATCTCCTCGGGCGAGTACGGGATCACGATGGGGTGGCCCTGGGCGCCGCCTGCGTGCGCGTGGCTGCCGGCAAATCCCGCAGCAAGCCCGTTGACGTCCGGCAGCGCCTCGTCCTGCGGCGCGTCGGCCTCAGCGGGAGAACGCGGCGGCGAGCTGGGCGCGTCGGCGGCGAACAGCTTGGAGCTCGGGCGCAGCGGCGGCTTCAGGTTCATGTGCTTGGTCTCGTCCAGCACGTGGTACGCGATGGATAGCAAGTGCGCCAGCATCTGCTGCCCATTCTTGGTCGCCTGGGCCCTCGGCGGCGCGGCGGCGGCGGTGGCGGTAGTGGCGGCCTGCTCGTCCATGCTGGGCTGGAAAATGTGTTGAGTTTATGATCACAATAAACTCATGTAAATGCATATCCTATCGTGGACGATAAACCTGACATCATGAATTATCTCATGTTGAAGTGATGGTCTTGTTGCCGTTGTTGCAACCGCCGCGCTGCTGATAAACTACCATCGCGCGGCCGCCATGACGATGGACTCGACGTCCGCGTCCTCATCCAAGGCGCACGCGGACCCGGCGACCGAGGCGAGCGACCGCGAGGCGCGCATGAACGTGCGGCGCCAGCGCATCGAGGCACGCAACGCGTCCAAGGATGACGCCTCGCGCAAGAAGCAGCTGCAGGTGGGCGAGTCGCAGCGCATGAGCCGCGGCCAGCAGCAGGTGGCCGACAGCCTCAACCAGCTGGACTGCCGCAAGCTCGCGGGCATCCGCCACGTCACGAGCGTGCGCGTGGAGGCGGACGACGCCGAGAACCGCCGCCGCGTCGAGGAGGAGGAGCGGCGCCACCGGCGCGTGCAGAAGCTCCAGCAGGAGGCCATCGACAGCGGCGCCAAGAACGCCGCCGTGGAGATGCGCTGGGCCGATCTCTTCGAGTTCAGCATGCCGCAGGAGCTGCACAACGAGCTGGAGCTGCAGAACCGGGCGTGCGCCGAGATCTTGGCGTCCAAGGACGCGGTGATCCGCGAGTTCCAGAACCAGCTCAAGGCCAAGGACGAAGAGTACGTGACGGCGCTCAAGGTTCAAGCGGAAGAGGTGGAGAAGCTCGTGGACCGGATGAGCCAGCAGTACCGCGAGATGCAGGACGAGTACGAGCTCGAGCTCGAGCAGATGGAAGACGCCTTCCTCAAGGAGCGAGACGAGCTCATCGCCAACAACAAGCTCGAGATCGACTCGCTGTTCGAGCGCAGGCGCGAGATGGAGATGGTCTACATGGAGACCAAGCAGACGCGCGACGAGCAGTATCTGCAGGAGATCGAGGAGCTACGAGTGCGCGATGCAGAGGACTACAACGAGCTCAAGATTAAGCTCGAGACCAACATCCAGACGCTCGAGCAGCAGCTTGAAGAGATGCGCGCCACGTACCAGCTCAACACAGAGAAGCTCGAATACAACTACCGAGTACTGACGGAGCGCGATATGGAGAACTCGGCGACGCTCAGTCAGCAGAAGCGGAAGTTGGCTCGACTGAAAGACGCGCTGGCCACTCTGATCGCCAAGTACAACCAGACTGACGCCCGAGATCGACACCAAAACGAGGAGCTCACGGAGGAATATCGGCGCCTCACGAAGCAGTACCGCGATCTGCAGAGGAAGTACGCGCACTTCGAATCCAGCGACAGCAACAAGTTCGACGAGGTGTGGCAGATGCACGAAGAAGACGCGATTCATAAGATCGAAAAGCTGCTGGACGCAGATCGCATCATCCACGAGCAGCAGCTTGGTCTCACGTGGCGGCCACCGGCGCAGTCCATCCGTAACTGGAGTCAGTCTGCAAAGGCTGGTGATGTGGCAGCTCTCCAGAAGCAGCTCGAGAACGGAGACGAGTCGTCGCCCGATTCCAACGAGAGCGACAAGGGCGGCAGCAGGCGAGACGACAATTTGAACGCCGACCAGGACGATTTCGACGACGAATCGGTCGAGGCCTACACGCCTCCAGTCAAGAAAATATCGGGCGCGAAGCTGAAGTACATGCTGAAGATGCTCGCGTCCGAGGCTGGGTTCCTGGTGAACGGCAGCGTGCAGCAAGCGCTGGAAAATTTACCGGATGACGAGGCGGAGCTTGTGAAGGCGGACATGATCATGCGCGCGCTCGGGATCGACAACGAGGAGGACATGGAGAAGCTCATGGGCTACTTCTTCGAGGATCCGCGACAGGAGGTTCCTGTTGGCGGCGACAACAACCGGGAGGGCAGTTCACCCGGCAAGGACGGGGCCAAGTCATCGTGGGGCCTTGTCGTCGGCCCGGAGGACGTCATCCGAGTCATCAAGCAGTTCGTTGAGGTCCGTCGCCGTGAACATTGCTGCTATCTGCTCTGCTCTGTGTTGAACTAATCGTTTGGGCTTGCGTACATTTACAGGAGACGAATGCGCAGAAGCGGGCTGCTCCTGTTGCTCGGATCCTGCACCGCTCAGTCAGCGGCGACACGGAGGGCGGCAAGAAGGCGACAAAAGGCACCAGCTCGGCTGCGCTCAAGGCCAGGGCCCGGAAGGGCGGAGAAGGAATACTGGACCAACATCGTCAAGGTGTTCCCGGCGCAGAAGATCCGCGTTATGGCCACGCTCGAGAAGGGGCTGACGCACTACAACACGGCGCTGCTGCGTCGCAAGGAGCTGATCGACGAGGTGACGGCCATGAAAACCCAGAACGCAGAGCTCAAGAACCTGCTCAAGCAGTACCTGGCCGCCCCCATCAACGAGGACCTCATCGTGCCGCCCACGCAGATGCAGCTCTACCAGTGACAGGCAGCGAAGTTGAAGTGCTACTTAGTCGAAATGGACTCACAATACCCTTTGCAGTGTAAAACGCAAAATCATTGTATACTTAATCAAAACCGAGACTTTGATACGCTACTCATTTTTCAGAACTCTTCCAACAACCATCATGGCCCGAGTCGGCTACGTCGCGCTCTTCTTCGTGAGCGCTGCGGCCGCAGGCCTGCTGCGCACCTTCGGCCAGAGTATACATCGTCCATCTGCTCTTGTATACCTGTTCGAGTGTGGCTGACACCTGCCCGCCTGCTCTGTTGCTGCAGACGTGCTGTCGAGGCTCGGCGTCTTCGACGAGTGCGACGACTCGGCGTACCCGAGCACATGCATGGGCAACCAGTTGGTCTACCGCATCAGCTTCAGCCTGGGCTGCTTCTTCACGCTCACGGCGCTGCTGAGCTGCGCCGTGGCCAGAGGCTGCGAGAGTGTCTGCTGCATGCTGCTGTTCCAGCTGCCGCTCTACGCTGGCATGGCGCTGGCGTCGCTTTTCATCCCCAATGGTAGGCCACCTCTGTGGGAGTAGAGCAGATGGAAGCACTGTACAGGGCTAATGTGTTGTGAGTGCGCGGGGGTAATAGATTTCTTCGATGGATACGTGGACATCGCGCGCGTGGCGTCGGCACTCTTCATCATCCTGCAGATCATCATCATCCTGGACTCGACGTGTAGGATCGAGTTGGCGGTGAAGTTACACTATATTACTACCTCCTGTTGCTGACCTGGTTGTGCTGGCTGTTGCAGACAGTCTGCGGGACTACATCTTGGACAAGATGGACGAGGCTGACCGCGACGACGATGCGCGCCATGCTCTGCTGGGCAGCAGCTTTGACTCGACGCAAGGCGACGGAACCAAGACCATGTGGTGAGCTCCGTGTAGAATGTCAACTCGACTCGCGCGCTGAGTCTCATCTAATATTTTGATTTGTTCCAATGTCCAGGGAGGGGGCGTACCTTGCGCTGGTGTTCGTCTGTATGGCGCTGTCAATCGCGGGACTCGCCCTCGTGTACTCGCGGTATGCCGAGTGTGAGCTGAACGTCATGTTCATCTCAATTACGCTGTTATCAGTCATCATCCTGACTGCGTTGAGCGGTACGCTACTGTCTGTCTTGTTGAGTAAAGTTCCAGCTCTCTGATGTTGCGTATTATGCAGTCGTGACGTGGGTAAACATGGGTCTCCTGCCGTCAACTGCAGTCTCCCTTTACCTCGTGTTCTTGTGCTACCAGACAGTTCGAGCGAACCCAAGTGCCGCCTGCGCGCCGTTGCATTTCACCACTGAAGAGAAGCAGCAGGAGCAATCAGGAGTTATCACGAACACTTTGGTTGCAGCGTTCACTATCACCTGGACAAGCTGGCGAACGTCGGCGACCAGCACCTCGTTTTTCGGGTCGTCTTCTGCTCAAAAGCATCCTGAAAATGCTGGAGATGAAGATGACGAGGAACTCGCGAGTATCGGGCTGACGTCTTCGCGGTTGGCGAAGGAAGCGCAGCGTGAGGTGGAAGTGGTGCCAGAGTACCAGTTCCACGTGCTGATGGTGCTGGCATCGCTTTACATGGCGATGGTTCTCACGAACTGGGGAAGCTTCGACGGGTAAGGGAGGATTTTCGTTGTTGAACTTGGCTACCGCTGAAAACTTACGTACATGGTTGGCATTGTCAGGTCGTCGTCGAACGATGATGAAGTTGTGACTATGTGGGTCAAGGCGATCTCACAATGGGTGGCGTCTGGACTATTCCTTTGGACCCTCGTAGCGCCTGCCGTATTCCCCGGCCGGGACTTCTTGTAGGTGAGGCCGCTATCAAACGCGGAATGCTGTAACAATGCGTAATTCATGAGCTGGTTGTGTCGTTTGTCTCTCAAAATCCCGTATCATTCTCTATTTCATTTTCGGCTCCTTGGATCAACACGCTGTCGCTTTCGACGCCCAGATCCCGAGCGAGCTTTACCTCCACCTCCAGCTCCTCGTTGCCTTGTCGATGTTGACTTCGCAACCCGAAGTGTCTGTCCCCCACACAGCGATCCATCCAACTTACGAACTGCGTCAAGCGCCTGAGCCTCGTTGGCGAAGTCCACCATGTACCCAGTCAAGTCAGCCGCGGCGCTGGCGTCTTTCGTAAATGACACTACTCCTGGACACTCTTGGAGGGCATTGACCAAAGTCACCAGCTCTAGCGGTTCGCTGGTCGAAACGTGAATAGAGGAGGAAGCTTGGCTGCTGCAGCTGCTGGCGCCGTCCTCGATGTCCATTTGCTCCGACGATGAGCGTGCTGAGCGAGGCTTCGGGGGAACAGCATACGCGTCGCCATTATTTAATGGTACGCTGCTACTGTTATCGACGACAGGGAACGCCATTTCTTGCTCTGGCGCGCACGAGAACGGATACTGCGGGGCTCCTCCTTGATAGTACGGTGGCTGTGGTGCACTCATCCACCCAGGCGCACTTCCTCCGAAACTTTGATGCTGTGGCACCTGTTGGTAGTTCGCTGGGCCTCCATAGTTTGCATACGGCTGGAAAGGTTGCTGGGGGGCTGGAGGATACGGCACAAGCTGCATCGGGTAGTACTCGACCCCCGCCGACATTCCCATGGAAGTATGAAACCCGGCTGAGTGAGACGGTGGGTAGCTGTCGTTTGGTACGACTTCTCTGGGCGAAGTCATCGAGTACTGCGGGAAATAACCCCCTTCCCTTGAGTGCTCCGTGCTTCGCATCAGGTGCGCGAAACGCGCCTCCACTGCACGCAAGTCGACATCTTCCGAGCACCCCGTCACGACACGTTCACTGGACGAGTGATCCAGACGCATGGAGTCGTTGGTGCCGATTGAATTGCCGCCGTGCGTGGTAGTGAACAGACTTGGCGCCAAAATGACAATCGCTTGTAGAAACTTGCCAGAGCCGAGGGGCAGCTCCATTTGGTGAAGCTGCAGCGCTGCCTGGGCAGCGTTTGTCTCGCAGTCAAATTTCACGAACGCCACGCCCTGTGCCTCACCCGTGCTCTTTACAACTTTGATATCCATGAACTCCATTCCCGAGAATGACGACACAACCGACGAAAGCATGTGCGTCGCCAAAAACCGATCGTACAGCAGTAGCACCCAAAGCCGCTCTTTTCGACCATCAGAAGTCGCTGTCGTTGTAATTGACGCTGGCGCATTTTCGTGCGGGAGACGGCAACTCATGCCACCAGAGCCCAGGCCACTTTCAGCATGGAAGTTTGTCAATTTATCTCGCTGTTGCAGTTGATGCCCTCCCGTGTCGTGCGCGAAGGATAACTGGATGGCACATACGCGTTAGAACTACGAATACCAGCTTGTACCGCTCGATAGATGGTCGACGCACCGTCATGAACTCAGTTTTCTCAGGACTTTCATCTCCTTGGGACGATTCCTCGCTAAATGATTTGACGACAAGGGCTGCAGTTGAAGACTGCGAGAGACAAGCAGGGTCCAAGGCTTGCATGTCAGATACTGAACTAATCGACAGGCTCTGCACCACAACCTTACCTTTGTATACCTGACGTAGGCCATCGTTCTCACACGACCGAAGCTTTTGACGAGCTCCACGGACTCAAAATCGCCGTAGACGGCAAACATTGCCTCGAGCTCCTGCTCGGTGAACTGTAAAACAAGCGAAGTGTTAAAGAAGCTTGGAGCCCGAATAGGTCGGATACCGGGATCGCACCTTGTATGTCGACGTGAAGAAAAGCTTCGTTCGTGCCGGCTCAGGAGTCTCCGATTTGAACTCGAGCTTTATGCTCCGGTGTTTCTCGTAGCTGCTATCTACACCGGCGCTACTGGGTCGAGCAGATCCTCGTTCTATCGCGTTGCTGTCTTGGGTGTGTCTCTCGTGAGTTGCCTGATGCTTCGCTACTCGATACGACTCTTCCAGCGTGTTGTCCGAAGACTGCCGTTTGCAAAGCTTTTTGGATATTATCTCTGCCTTCAGCGCCTCCGGCGACAAACTGATGTCACTTCGATCGGAGATTTTACGAGGCGGGGACAACGGCGGGATGTTGCCGCGGGACTGCGCTTTCAGCGTCGGCGGAGGCGACGTGGTTGTGTTGCTTCGTTTGCGGCGGATACCGCTAGCATCAGACCCATCCTCAGTGCTGGAACCGCTGCCATCTAGACTCTGACGTCGCCTGCGCAATTGGTGCTTCGAGCGCGGAGGAGGCACGGCCCGGCTCTCTCTCGTCGACACTCTAGGTGTCCACAGGGAATCGGGAGGAGATCCTCGAACTGTCATCGGAGTCGAAGCCAGCGTCACGGAGCGGATGCTGGAGGCCAGTGAGTCTGTGCAGTTTTCCTCCTCCAGCTCGTCCTCAGATCCCGGCACCACAATCGACAAATTGCCACCGCCACGCTTTTTCTTGTTGCCACGGCTCGGAGTTGCCATCACACGCTGGTACGCAACAAAAAGGTTATCACCCGACTTGGTCCGTGCCCCTTGCTCCACCACCGTCAGCATGCCGCTCATTACCTGCTCCACTTGCTTCCGGTCTGCATCCGGGTCCATCGACTCGTCCCTGACATTACCAGCAGTGGAGGGCTGCTTTGACACCACCACCTCCTCTTTCTTCGCAGTCTTCGCAGCGGTGTGGATAGCAGTAGCAGCCACGAAACCCTCCAGTCGATGCTTGTCCAGCAGATACGCCGGCGAAACTCTGCTGGAGCCCAAGGGCTGAGCAGCAACTGGCGGACTTGAGCGCTGTCGCTTGCCCGGCAGTCGAGCCTCGATCCCCCCGTCGTCTTCTCTGAGTCCGCCCTCCGCTTTCCCATCCAGATCCTGTCGCGCGTGCTGGTCGCGCTTCAATTTGCCATTGCCGCCCACAGGTCTCTCCTTGGCCACCGTCACCTGGAAAAAGCGTTAAAACACGGTAAAACCACGAGTCAGATTTTGCCCCGCTTAATTCACCTTCGAACCAAAGACTCCTCTTGCCCCAGCACCTTGAGTATGTGGCCGTCCTCGAGCTTCATGTGGTCCAGCTTCTCGATGGCGGCGGCCGCGTTGGCCGGGTCCTCATACTGCAAGAAGGCGAAACCCTATCGTCCGTTTGAGCGTTTTTAACATATCAGAAACAGTGGAGACAGCATAGTGAAAGCAAGTAAAAAGTTAAAACAATTGCGTACGCGTGATTTTTTGCTTCGGTCGAGCGCCAAATGCAGGTGTTTGATGGCGCCGCACGTCGAAAAGAGCGCGCGCAGCTCGTCCACTTTGCGGTCGCGTCCGCACACGATAAAGAGCCGCGAGAGCTCGGAGAGGCGCGGATCTGCAGCGGCGGACGCAGGCGCGGACTCGGACTCGGTCGCCGGCTGCTGGGACGCGCTGGGGCCCGCGGCCGCGCGGCCGCCACCTTGGTGTTCCATGCGCTGTTTTGTTGTGACGTTGGCACGATTTACGAATAAGAAGTACGATTTAGCGATCCTGTGGTTTGGCATATGGGGAAGCACAGGTTTTCCGGCGGTCGTAAGGCTTTTGTAGCCATGTTGTAGCCGATCTTCGCTGAGATCAATTGAGACGCGAGGCCTCGTGCGTTGTGCGGTCGCTGCTGGGGCTACTTACTGGCTGGGGGCTCTTTAACGCTCAACTGGTGGGTGCTGCTGGTGCTGGGTGTTGTCCGTACAGATCCACAGCTCGTTGGCGACAACCTGGCTTACACTAAGGTTGCGTTTTCCGGATCAGAGTCTATTGGCATGAGAATCTCCTGGAGCGTGTACTACGCGGAAGTTATTGTGAGGGGCAGCATGGTTGCACTTTTCATCGTTGCGGCGCTGGACTCGCACACAGTTACGGGTATTTTTATTTTGGTAGTTCCTGAGGGCTGATTTTAGTAGTTCCTGAGGATATCTTGCGATCAACATCTCCAGCTATTCTTACCTTTGCCCACCACGCAATCAATACCCCACTGCTTCATTCTCAGTTCTGGAGGGAGTTCCTCGAGCAACGACCAATCTTAGCATACTTCCTTCAACCAGTTTTCATTTCGACTTCCAAGTGACTGATAATCAGTGCAGCTTAGACAGAGCAGAGGTTTGACCACTGTACTGCGAGTGTTCATGACGAAGACGCACGTGCTGCTTCCAGGAGGGAAGAGGGGGCCGAGAGCGAGCTCGGTGGACTCAACCGCAGTCACCCACGAGGGCGAGTTCATCGCTGTGCACCTCAAGAGCAAAAAGCACGAGTGGAAGTGGCAGTTCTTCAACCTCTCGCGTCGGCTGGGAGCCATCGTCTCGGCCTGCATTTACGTGTACGCGTCCATGACCGCGTCCTGGTGGGCGATCCAAGTGCTGAGCGGAGCGCATAACCCCACCGAGACGCTTCGAGTGTTCACGTCGTCGCTCATCAAAGGCTACATGGGCGATGGCTTGATCAAGGACAGTCCGTTGGTGCAGGACGTACTGGGAGGCGACACCACGCCCCGCGACTACATGCTCTTCCTCGAGTCCAGTACAAACACCTCGACCGACGGCTGCTCAGGACTACCGCTCTTCAATTCGGAGATTTACAGCTACGACTTTCTGAGTCCGGGCTATCAGGGGATGGTCTCCAGTACCAAGTACAACGCCACCGCCCTCGCAGACTTGGAGCTCGTGGTTATCATCGCCGATTGCTCCTTCAGCCAGCTCAAGGCTGGCGATCCGTCGGACGTGCGCGTGTACAACCTGGTGCACTCGTGGAGTGATCCCAGCGACTTGTACTTGATGACTCTGTCGCTCTCCGTGCAGGAATACGAACAACGCGACCACAACAAGGAAGGGCCAGCAGTAGTGGGCATGCTCACTCTCGTCCAGAGTATGCAAGACACGAACGTGGCGCAGTACTACATGGTCGCGCTCACCTACCCGTACCAGCGGGCTCCGGACTTCGAAATGTACGAAGTGGTTGGCGTCACGAATGAAAGTTATTTATCCTTGACGAGCATTCCGCGGGACCCAGACACTGAGCCGGTCAAGCACTTGCTTACAGCGCGGAAGCGCGGGTTCTACAATGGAGGCACCCAGTCCAATGTCCGCACGATGTACTCCATCCTGGACGGTGTGAACGCCACGAACGCGTTGACTCGTTGGGAATGGATCGGTGAAGCCGTGACAATCGACTCGTGGGCCTGGGTGCACTGCATCCATTTCTTCTTCGGGCTGCAGGTAATTTATTCCCTGGTGGTGCTGCTCCTCGTCACGTACCAGAAGATTCGGTCGGGCAAGATCTGGCTTGGAGATCCGTTCGCGTCCATTTCGACGGCGACGCTCGTTATGCGCGGCATTCTGGTGCTGCTCTCTTGGGCGATCGATTCCTTCTGGTCGATCAACGAGTTCGCCATGTCGAGAGCCGCGATGATCTCGGGTTCATCGCCTGTACGCGTCCACAAGGAGCTGATGCACGCCGACCTTTTCGCCGTGTACCTTGGCTTGGTGGCTTTCCTGAGCTCCGTGTTCCGAGAGCGCATTGATCCCTCTTTCGCCACCTTTTTGTTCGAGATGGTCCACCAGAACCGTCAGAAGATCGTTCGCCTGTCGTCAGCAGTGGTGGAAGAGGTGGTCACCTACTCGGAAGCCCAATACAACATTGGCATTGCAACGGTAACCCCACTACTGGCCGATATGTCCCCACTGCGGCTGTGGTCGTCGTTCGAGTTCCCCGAAAAGGACGCCAAGTTCCTCGCCGCGTCCTTCACGCCCATGCTCTTCCTCATGTGCTCCATCACAGTGTTTGCGATCCTACGCAAGATTTACCGCTTCTTCCGGCCGGATCAAGTTCGACAGAGATCGAGTATTGGCACGGACACGTCCGCAAACTCATCGGCAAACGAGCGCAGTGCCATGACCCAGAGGGGAATCGTCACCAACTTCGAGATCTCGACTGGATCCATGCTGCAGACGCGCTTCGGACTCATCTCCGACTACAGCAACTACGTCTTCTTCAAAGGAATGAAGTTCGCGTCGGCGGACGGGGTCTATTGCTCTGGATATGTGATCGTGAACGAGAAGTATCTGGTGAGCTCGAAAGACTTGTGGGCTATTGTGATGATCAAGTTGCTGCGTACCCGATTTAAGAATGTCCACGTGTATGAGGTACACGGCCACACGGTGAAGGATACGGCGAGGTTGGTGTTCCCTTCGACGTTCTTGTGGTCGGATCTGTGGCGTTTGAACGTCACGGTACTGCTATGAATTCGAGTTATGGCGCAGATAGAGTTAGCGAACCCTGACTTACAGTTAACCTTAAAGCATTTTTCTTCCAGTGTCTTCTCGGTTGCGGCACTTCGCCTTAAAACGTGAGTTCGAAGTGGAGACTGGGATAGAAACGACTACCAAGACACATTATGCCCCGTATGTTGTCCGTTGCCTTATAAGGAGCAGACGCCGTGGTCTTAGAAGCGTACCTGAATGGGAATCTCCGGCGGGCGCGTGGCTCCATCGGCCGACATTGCAATGCTTATTAGCACAGGTTCTTTGCAGGCGGGTTGCAGCTGTTGCGCCATCCGACGAAAATACATCAAGGCCGAAGAGCACTGTTCTGCTTCGCTTCAGCTCTATTCTTACCTTAACCTTGGTGACGTTCCTACGAACTCGATCAGCGCTTCAAGTGAATCTTATCCAGTCATGACGAAGATCGCTGCAAATAGGGAAAGCCAACCTGAGTGCTTTAATGCGTTGAAGTTGGTTGCAACCAGTTTCATTTCGACCCGAAGTACTCATCGAATTAGTTCGGGGGTAAAGAGCACCAAGCGCGTGGATGGTAAAGACACGCGAGGAGCCGGTGAAGAAGGAGAGGGCGAGGGGCATCTCCGTGGATTCGACAGCGCTCACTCACGATGGCGAGTTCATCACTGTGCACTTCAGGGGCAAAAAGCGCGAGTGGAAGTGGCAGTACTTCAACCTACTACGCCGACTCACCGCCATCGCCTCTGCTGGCCTCTACGTGTACTTCTCCATGACGGCCACGTGGTGGTCGTTGTGTGGTGTAGTAGCACGCACAAAATCGTCAGATGGGGCGCCCTAGCTACAAACACAACAACAGCCGTGTTGGCCTGCGCTGAGATGTCCCCCAGCGGTTCGGCCCTTCCGGGACAGTGATGTCTCGTCCTCGCCGAGACCAAGTACCCCAAGCCAGTCAATCACGGAAGCCAGCTGAGTTACCTGACTCCGGAATTAGAAATCCCGTGCCCTCCGCCAAAGGACGGACGACGGCTCTCGCGGGCTTTTACGGGTCGCCGAGAGCAAAGGCTTCTCGACTCAGCAATCAGTGCCCGGGACGTACGGGAACACCGGCGCGCAGCGGTGGCGAGACTTTTCCTTCGCGCTTGGCGAGACACGCGCCCAACCCGGGCCGACCTTAATCTCTTGGCGCTACCAGTCAACACCCTACAAGCTATGCCTCTCGGGTGCTGACAGCAGACATAATCCGGCCCGTGCAGGGGCTTACTGGAAGCGCGTGCACGTGTTGTGGACCTAGAAAATTCTGCGCTGTTGTTTGTTATCTCTGTCGGGCGCCCTGAAGGGGCGCCTCCACTATTCCTAAGCTCCTATACAAATACCAAATGAAAGTGGGCGGTTTTGGATCTCGGCCGACTCTTCACCGAGCTCGGCGACGCTTGAGCTCGGCTAAGCCGGATAACCTGTCCGGATAACCCCTTGAACTCGGCTGAGCCCGATACGGCGTGTCCGGATAACCTGGCGAACTCGGCTGAGCCGAATAAGATGTCCGGATAACCCAGTGAACTCGGCGGAGCCGGATAAGGTGTCCAGATAACACGGCGAACTCGTCGGAGCGACCCTTGGACTCGACTGGGCGACTCCCGGACTCAATTGGACCCGGTTATCGTATCTGGATGGTACGTGGTGCCGTTTAGCCGAGCTCGGCGGCTTGAACTCCCCATGACCTCGGCTGAGCGTGTCCAGTGCCTTCCTGAACTCGGCTGGGTCTTCATCACTGGGCCTACCACGTGTCACCAGGTCGGGGCCGGTGTGCCTTGAGTTTCTGACACCATCAGCCGAGTTCAGCGGTCCATCAGCCCACTGAGCTCGGCGGACGGTCATCCCGCCGAGTAGAACTTGGCTCCTGGTACGTTGTTCCACTGCGGCCTTGGAGTGTGACACAAAACTTGATGTTCCCTACACCACAGTTACAAGTGCTGAGCGGAGCGCACAACCCGACCGAAATTCTTCGAGTGTTCACGTCGTCGCTCATCAAAGGCTACATGGGCGACGGCTTGATCAAGGACAGTCCGTTGGTGCAGGACGTACTGGGAGGTGACACCACGCCCCGTGACAACGTCCTATACCTCGAGACTGCTGAGCAGACTTCCACTGAGGGTTGCTCCGCGTTGCCACTTTTCAACTCGGCGATGTACGGGTACGACTTCCTGAACCCTGCGTACCTGGACATGGTCTCCGACACCAAGTACACTATCACCGCCCTCGAGGAGTTCGAGCTCGTGGTCACTATCGTCGACTGTTCCTTCAGCCAGATCAAGTCAGGCGATACGTCTCAAGCCCGAGTCTACAACTTCGTACGCTCGCGTTTCGACTCGACCGACCTGCACTTGATCACAGTGTCGCTCTCAGTGCAAGAGTACGAAGTACGCGCGCACAATAAGCAGGGTCCCGCGTTGCTGGGCATGCTCACCGTCATCGACGACATGCAAGACACCAACGTGACGCAGTACTACATGGCAGCGCTCACGTACCCGTACCAGCGGACCGCAAACTTCGAGATGTACGAACTTGTGGGCGTCACGGATGAGAGCTACTTGTCTCTAACGAGCATTCCCCAGAACCCCGAGACGGAGCCGGTCAAGCACCTGCTGACAGCTCGGAAGCGCGGGTTCTACAACGGCGACACGCAGTGCAATGTTCGCACGATGTACTCGCTACTTGACGGGGTAAGTGCCACCAAGGCTTTGACTCGCTGGGAATGGATCGGAGAAGCCGTCATGGTCGACTCCTGGACCTGGGTGCACTGTTTTCACTTCTTTTTCGGACTGCAGATGACCTACTCGTTGGTGGTCTTGTTCCTCGTAATGTACCAGAAGATTCGGTCGGGCAAGATCTGGATCGGGGACCCATTCGCCTACACCTCAACGACGACTCTCGTCATGCGCGGCATTTTGGTGTTCTTCTCTTGGATTATCGACTCCTTCTGGCCCGTCAACGAGTTCGCCATGTCGAGGGCTGCAACGCTTGCCAGCGCTCAAACGATCTGCGTCCACCCGGAAATGATGCACGCAGACCTGCTGGTTGTGTACTTTTGCTTGGCGAGTTTTCTGAGCTCCGTGTTCCAAGAGCGAATCGACCTGTCAGGGGCCATCTTTTTGTTCGAAGTCGTGTACGAGCACCGGCAGGCGCTGATCCAGGCTTCTTCAGCCGTGGTCAACGAAATCACAACCACCTTCAGTGTCCAGTACAAAGTCGGCATCGCAAAGCCAATTCCAGTCATTACCGACATGTCCCCACTGCGGCTGTGGTCGTCGTTCGAGTTCCCCGAAAAGGACGCCAAGTTCCTCGCCGCGTCCTTCACGCCCATGCTCTTCCTCATGTGCTCCATCACAGTGTTTGCGATCCTACGCAAGATTTACCGCTTCTTCCGGCCGGATCAAGTTCGACAGAGATCGAGTATTGGCACGGACACGTCCGCAAACTCATCGGCAAACGAGCGCAGTGCCATGACCCAGAGGGGAATCGTCACCAACTTCGAGATCTCGACTGGATCCATGCTGCAGACGCGCTTCGGACTCATCTCCGACTACAGCAACTACGTCTTCTTCAAAGGAATGAAGTTCGCGTCGGCGGACGGGGTCTATTGCTCTGGATATGTGATCGTGAACGAGAAGTATCTGGTGAGCTCGAAAGACTTGTGGGCTATTGTGATGATCAAGTTGCTGCGTACCCGATTTAAGAATGTCCACGTGTATGAGGTACACGGCCACACGGTGAAGGATACGGCGAGGTTGGTGTTCCCTTCGACGTTCTAGTGGTCGGATCTGTGGCGTTTGAACGTCACGGTGCTGCTATGAATTCGATAGATAAAACTTTGAAGGCTATGATTTATGCATTTTTCCATTAGTTTGCCGTGATATTTTCATTTGATAGTGTTACGTGCAGCGTGGTCACGAGTGTGGACCCCAGGCGTAGTTAGCAAACGCCATGTGACCGAGCCCCCATCCACCGTTGAGCTTCTTCGCAGCGGGGCGGTTCTCTTCCATGCCGGCACCTGCCCCCACCACAAATGTCGTGAAGTGATCGGGGGTGCGGTGGCAGACCGAGGCGTGCGGTGCATTCTTCCACGCGATGGTCGCCTCCATGCGCTCCTTGTACGTCTGGGTGGAAGCCGTCGAGAGCGTTTGGTCCAGCCAGCTCTGGAACTCGATCGCCCATGGCTCGATCGGGTGGTCTTCCGGGAACCAGTCCGCGTACATGTTGTGCGTGGCTTGGCCCGAGGTGATGATCAGAGTGTCCTCGTCGCGAAGTGGCGCGAGCGCCCTGCCCAGCTCGAAGTGGTCCTTTGCATTGAGCATGCGGTCGTTGATGGACATGGTGACGATGGGGATGTCGGCGTGCGGCCGCATCAAGAACATGGGCACGAACGTGCCGTGGTCGAACGGGCGGTCCACGAGCTTGGAGGCGATGCCGCTCTGAGACAGCAGCTCCTTCACTCTCGAGGCGAAGGCAGGATCGCCCTTCGCCCCGTACACGAGCTCGTAGGACTCGGCGGGGAATCCGCTGTAGTCGTAGAACATTTCGGGCGCAGCGGACTTGGAGATCTCGATGCCGGTGCTACGCGCCTCCCAATGCGCCGACACGAACAGGATGCGCTTGGGCAACTGGGCGTCGCTGGAGTAGATCTTCTTGAAGATGGCGGCCACGTTCTTGGCCGACTGGGAGTGCATGTCCAGACCCACGAACCCTTCGTCCAGCAGCCAGAGCGGCCCAGCGCCATGAGAGACGGCGACCACGGGCTGGTGGAACTTGTTCATGATTCGGGTTCGGTGCGATGCGTGTAGCTGGCTGGCTGGCTGTGCGTGCGTGCGCTGCAACTAGAGAATTGGAGAATGAGGCCTTGTCGCTCTCAAAACAGGGAGCCTGCTAACGCAGGTTTGATCACTAATGGAGCCTGTCACATTTGCGTTGACCTGTAACACGAGCAGCGGATAACGCTGTGAGCGCGTTTCTTCGCTACCGAAGGACAAGTTAACGCAAACTGTCAACAGCTGAGTAAGTGAGACGGCGAGGAGGCAGTCGATCATTCCTCAATTCCCTTCGTCCCGAACACCGCAAAGCCCAATCCACCACGGCCATGACCACCTTCCACCACCCAGTCGTTGCCGTCTCACACGGACCCGGTCCGCTGTGGCTGCTCTCGTCGGGCTTCGTCGGCATGAGCAACAGCAGCCTGCCCGCGCCCACGCTAACCACCACGTTCGAGAAGCTGTACCCCAAGGGCGAGAACCTCCCCAAGCGAATCTTCTTCATCTTCGCGCACTGGGAGTCCGACAGCAGCGGCTTCGAGATCTCCAGCGCCGCCAGCCCCGACATGATCTTGTGGTATTGGAAAGTGGCAGTTTCCAACGCTGTTGACCCGCCAGCCCGACAATCAAGTTCAATCAAGGGGCGATCAAGGCGAGGTCAAGCGAGAGACGGAGATGGCTGCTTCTGATTGGATGATGACATTATCCTCGGTAGAGTGACAGGCAGTGGCCGAAGCCTCGTCGGGTCCTAATAGAACCCCGAACGAGGCTTCATGGTACCCACTTTTAGGTACAGATGCATTTAGTTACGTACTTCGGCCGCACTTATTAGTGTAGCCGCGGTCGTCATTTGATGTGTCCGGAATCGCCTTATTGCGACCGTTCACACTAGATATTTGTATAGGGACATAGGACTCATCATAGGATGACCAGAACGAGGCCCCAGGGCCTCAGAAAACTCAGTAATAAAAATACAGTCTTCCCCCAAAGCCAACATGGGTCAAGTCCGACTTCGGTAAGTGTAGCTAGCTTATTGTAGTGCCTGGATACGCTCGGCTGCGTGTGGATGCCTGTCGGGGAGCTTATCGTGCATTGACCGAGAGTTTCCTCGGCAGCGCCAAGAGTTGGCGTGGCCGGAGAGGCAGGAACGGTATTAGAGTATCGTTCAGTATATATTTGTCGGATAAGAGTTCCCTGAGTGTATTAGTCTACCTACCGAGGTTTTACCTTGGTTCCCCTGTATAAGGCCTAACACGCCGGTACCCTTCCTTCCTGAGGGACTGCAGTGGGGTTGCGCGAAAGCGCTACATAGTATCCTAGCCTTAGCTCGTGGCTAGTGGTACAGGTTTGGGTTGACCGAAGATAACCTAAGGTGCACAGAGGCGCTTGTAACCGACCCGGTGTAAGGGATCGTTCCTGGTCTTCAGGTTTTCATCAAATAAGCGCTTACCTTTGCGGGTTAGCGTGTTGTTGGAGTCTCTAATACCTTTTGGTAGAGGAGGATTTTAGTGGAATTACCACACCACAGCTGGTGCCGCGACCCGGGATTGGTGTGACCTTCTATGTGTCTTGGTTGTTGTAGGTCTTTACCCCCAACGAGTGAAGAGGAGAAGAAGAAGAAGAGAGAAGATGGCGAAGGGAGTCAAGTCAGCGGTACCAGCAACGCCGACCAAGTCGAGTGGAACGCGCAACGAGACTTCGGTGCGCTCCGGAAGCTCATTCTCGACCCCAACGACGGATCGGATGGAGTCGATTGACGAGCGTTCGGTGAGCTACGACACGGCGATTGATTCGTCGGACGCCAAAGAAGATGACGAAGATGATGACTGGGATGTCCGGACAGCGATGTCCGAGACTTCGAAGCTGCGGTTGTGTCGGCATGCCGCAGTGGAGGATCAAGGTCGATTACCCGCGACCTCTCCGACACGTTCAAGGACATGCCGGGCCCCGAGCCCGCCTACGACGCGGATGACGGTGCCACCGAGGGCTTCAAACCCTCGGTGACGGTAGGAGGGGCAACCTCCGAGCCGGTTGGCACTCGTCCTCCCCTCAACGACAACGGGGATACTCCGGCGGCCAACAAGGTCCTAGGCTGGTGCCTAGACCTGATGAAGACCAAGAGCGAATGGATGCAGTTGTTCTCCCCGAAGCAAGTCCGCCAGGCCATCTGGATGGACCTCGGAGGGGCGTTGGCTACGCCGATCAACTCAACGAGCACTCGGCACGTTGCGCAGAATACTGTGGACCTCCTGCGAGCTATGGGGTGCGAACCCCAGATCCTCCCCACGGAGGCTGCGCTCGCGAGTTGGACGCCGACCGCCGCTGCCACGGCGTTAACCAAGTGGAGGAAGAAGCTGCGTAATGCCTTTGGAGTGGCGGACGTCAGTTCGCGAGGCCCAACGATGCTTCGTTCGACCTCGGAGGCAGTAGACCCGTCGACGGTCCCGCTACCAGCGACCCCTCGGAAGGGAGCCACTGATGACGGTGTCTTTGCAACCAAGGGCGAAGCCTCGCCGTACATGCAAGACTCGCACATGGTAACTCCACGATCTAAGGACCGTTGTGAACGTCTGGCTAGGGAGAACGAGGCTTCATTCGCCACGCCTGGCACGCGCGGAGCGACCGGTCGTCGGTCCGGCCGACGTTACGACCTCCAAGATGATTCGTCGGACAGCGACGACGACCTCGGGCCCGACTACTACGAAGGGGACCTACCGAGCGATGGACACGTCAGGTGCGCGAGCTAAGCGCGACCGACAACCAGAGCTCAACCCCAAAGCTCGAGATCGCCACGCATTTGCCTCTCGCCAACATCAAGCCGTTCTACGGAACGCGCGACAAGAGCGAGCACTCCATGCAGTGGCTCCGAACGTTCATCTATGAGATGAAGGGAACGCGTGCACCACCCAACGAGTGGTGTATGCCGTTCGAACTTAAGCTCAGGGATGGAGCCCTGCACTGGTGTCGCCAGCGCCCACGCAAGACAAGACGCACGTGGAAGTTGCTGAGCGAGGCGTTCATCAAGTACTATTGCTCGAAGTTTTCCCAGTCTGCGAAGGCTCGGTACTACTCGGCCAAGCGGGAAGACCAGGAACACGTTTGTGACTACCTCAACCGGATCAACGGCTACGCTCGCAACGCCGGTGTGCAATTTGAAAACGGTGGTCGTGACGCGAAGGACCACGTGGACCACTTCTTGGTCACGTGTGAGGACCGAAACTTAGAAGACCGTCTGTGCCCCGTCCGGGTCAAGAGCATCCATGACCTCGAAGACATGATCAACGACATCCTGCGTCTCCGTGACCGCAAATCGAACCGAGAGTCGTCGTTCCGCCGCTCTCGGAGTCAAGATGGACGTCGACGCGATGCGAGGTCGAACGAGGATTCTCGTGGTGGCTACCGCCGCGAACGACGCTACCACGACGAAGACCGTCGCGAACGACGTCGCCGTGACAACGACCGCAGTGAAGACGACCGTCGCCGTGACCGACGCGATGGATCGCCGTACCAGTCCCGAGTCACTTTGGTTGACGCGCTGGCCGATGTGATGGCGGAATGGAACGTCGGAGGCTCGGTCGGTGCACGCAACGAGGCTCCATACGCCCCCCGACGTGATGCTGAGGCGAACGAGGATTACTTCGAGGATGATCGCCAATACTCGGACGACCAACGCTTGGACGAGGATTCAGACGCTGATTACGACTCGGATGGGTCTACCGGACATGTCGCTGCTGCTAACGATGCTGAGCGCAGGGCCGCAGCCGAAGGAACGTTCGCTCGGTCTGATTACCGACGCTTCAGGAACGGAGGAGGCCCGTCCAACCGTGAACGAGATGGTCGACGCCAGTACTGTGCAACAGGTGCACGGCGCTGGGAAGTGTGAATCACTCCACGAGCTCACCAAGCTCCTGAAGTCCAAGGTCGACAAGAAGGATCTGTCACCAGAGCTGCAAAGCCTGGTGTATGGAAGCCATTTAAACTAGGCAGCCCGCCAACTGAAACTGGGTTGGTCCCAGTCGGGCTGCCACAGTTAGCTGAGCCTGCTGTTGATGCGGACTATCTGTCCGCGTTCACGGGCGAAAGCAAACGGCCTGACGACGACCTGAAGAACAATGAACGTGTGAAACCGACGGAAAATGGAGAGAACCGGGACGCAAGTCTCGTTGCGATTGGTATTGATGAAGATGATGATGATGAACGTGATGGACACCCGACCGAGGCTTTGATCACAAGGCTAGCCCAGATAAGGGGGGCACCTCGGAACCTCGTTCGGGCGGTGAAATTACTGCCCGGTGAGAGACTGGGTTGGTGGTCGTCCCAACGATACGACAAGAGGAAGGGAATGAGGGCTTTGGTCAATGGCGCAGTGGACGACGCGCGAACGAGGATACTCCTTGACACTGGAGCGAATGTTAGCGTGATTGCTGCCAGCTTCGCCAAGCGGCTACGTGTGCGAGAAGTCCGGGACCACGGACGAAGTCTCGAAGTCCGCGGCATCAACCCAGGGGTGATGGAGACCCGGCGACGGGTGCTCGTCAAGATCACCCTCGGGTGGGAGCAGGTCTACGAATTTGAAATGTGGATAATGGATCACAGTGCCGGGGTGGATGTGGTCCTTGGGATGGACTTCATGATCCCGGCTGGAATCCGGCTGGATCTATTTCATGGCACCGCACGCCTTCCGGACGAGGTCATGGTACCACTGCTAAAGTCGCAGAGTGCTGAAGATGACGAACCTTACGGCACGCAGCCTTCGTGTGGGCCGATCGAGGATTTATACGTACCCGGTCGCGAGTGGCGAGAGTTTCGACTGCCGCGCCAGCGGCTACCTCGTTCGGCGTACGATGTGTGGGTACGACGCACGGGCAAGCTTGTGCCGACCGTAGCGAGGTTTCGACGGGGACAGCCGATGTGGATACGGCTCACTAATATTACGACCACAGCGGCACAGCGCGCCAAGCATGACTCCGTAGTGCTGTGGGTACCGCATGGTGAACTACCGCGAGAGACCGGCTACGCGAGGTTGGATTCTAACAAGTACAAAGAGTGGCAGGTGTTGGCCTATTCAACGAGTCGTGATGAGACTCTGCAAGGACGAGAACGTCGTCTCTACGAGCAATGGTTGGCTGAACAGCCGCCTGCGGTCGAGCGCCGAACTTACCCGACGCCGCGAAAGATCCTGCCGAGGCCACCGGATGCACCGCTATGGCCAGAAGGCCGTCAACAAGCTCCGTTGGATGATGAGTACTCGTCACCCGATGTACATGGCTACGACGACGACCCCAGGGTCAGTGAAGGCTCGGTCGATGTCGCTCGAGCTGATACAACCGATGCGGATCGTGCTGGTGGGTCGAACGATGGTTCGGACGACGAGGCCAGCGCGTCGTATGACTCGGACGTACCCGGAGACTCGCCGCCTAGCCGAGCGGGTTGCCTGCCCGTGAATCCGAACAGTGGTGTTGACTCCACCGGCCAGGGAGCGACATACGCCTCGGTTGAGGCATCGGAAGCCAGTGATGAGCTGAGTGATGGTGACAGCGTGACGAACGACGGTTCGGAGGATGACCGCGACGTGGTAGTAGCGGTCGAGACAACTACATGGGATGTCCTGCCAACAGGGACCGCTGCGTCCAGCCTGGAGCCAGAGGAAACGTCGGCTGCGGTGTGTAGTAGCGAAGTCGACTGGGGT